TACTTGTTTTAAAAATATCATTAATTGCAATGAATGACACTCCAATGCAACAGAAATAATAGAGATGTGACTTCCCCGTGTGCCCCTCCCCCAATTTGAAACTATTTGAATAACCTACAAAAAAGTGCGTTTCATGAGTTTTACACCTATCCTGCGAGTTTGAGCTCTATTTCATCGGACATGATATCATTTATAAAAAATATTCAGTAATCCAATAAATAATAAATTAGTATAATCAATAGATAAAGAAATCTAGCATAAATTGGAGAATAATAATTTAAAACATATATATATATATAAATAAAATTTAATTCATTGCCGTAGTCAGATTTGCCCGACGTCACATTTTCCTGGAATCAGATTCGTCTGTTACACCGGTGTACGTTTATCAATAATAAACTAATACATAATAACTGTCTCATGTAAAAAAAAAAAACAATAGGACAAGTTGGCTCTTTTATCTTGTATAACGAACCTTCCAACATCAGATGTAGCAACTTTGACTAGTTAGTGGGGAGGTCAATTTTTGTATTTCACCATACTGCTTTAAGATGACCTGTCATAGTACATTAATGGGCTCAAAATGTAAAATTCTCGTTTACGGCCCTAGAATTAATGCTATTAGAATGGTAACACAGTTCAGGTTAAGATTAAGCCTCGACCGAGCGAATTTCCGGGATAACGACAGTGGCTTAGGTATTAATATATAATATACTATGTGAATTCTCGAGGGGTGAACCGACGGGCACACAATGTTTGAATCCTTAGTTTTACGAGCTCATTATTATTTTCATCTAAAATAAACAAGGGATTAATTTTGTTTTTCCTGAATTGGACAGGTCTGGATACAGAAGACAGAGCTCCCTGTGCATAAGGACCTATTTAAAGAACTGTATGAGTAGTCACTATGACATCCCCTCAAAAGTAAATTTGACTCCTTTCCTCACCAAAAAAAAATTATTTTGAATACGTACTTGAAAAAACCAAAAACCTATTTCTGCATTTCCACGCACCTAGAGAATGATATCATTGTTATGATAAAAATATATCACAAAAAAAATGTAAAAAGTTAATAAGCATAAAAAAAATTATACATAAAAACATTTATTTGTGTACATAATTAAAACGACAAAACCTTTTATTTTTATAATTATACTAAACTTCCCACATATACAAATAGTGGTAATAAATAATATGATAAAATGTACCAAAAAGATCAACCATGATCAAAAAAATATTGTTACACGTTGTCACAAATATTCTACAAATATTGACTATAATAGCAAATAATAACAATGACAGCATGCAAATAAACTCAAATATCCAGGCCCAGATTGGCGCATGTACACGCGGTGCACGAGCACATGGCCCCCAGATTCCGATTAAATGTAATAAAATAAAAAAGTAAAAACAAAATTATTAAATAGTTAATACTAAATATATTAATTAATTAATTAATTAATGCATCGCCTGGAGTAATGAATGTGGTTTAAATTAAATTTCTTACATTTTTAAGAATTGGACCATATTAGGAGGAGAAGAAAATACCAACTGGAAATGCTGCGAAACACGGATAAAGAATCATCTACTACAATATCCTCTAATAGGGACCACTTTTCAGTGGCGTATTTACGGAGGGAGGGATGGATCAAGGGAATCAATCCCCCCTATAGGCTGTTTATAATATGCAAATAATTATAGTCATATTATTTAAAACATTTTTTATTTATTTAAAATTCTGAGTTGAGCAGAGAAACTTTTTTTTTTTTCTGTGGACAACTTTTCTACCAGCAATTTTGCTCCAATTTTTAATGATAGCAAATTTTCTAAAAGAAAATTTAACTGGGGAAGTACTTTAAAGAGGTAATTTTTCGATTTTTTCCAGAGTTTTCTTAGCAAATTTGAAAAACCTGGGAAAAAACATGGGAAAACCGGGGAAAACATAGGAAAACCAGGGAAATCGGTACAACATTAAACAAATATTATTAAAAAAAATATATAAAGCCTTTTTAATTATTTTACTATAATATGGCATATATATTATTGACAAAGCATCACTATCAATTGAACTCCGCTTAGAATTGTTTTTTCGTTATCAATGGTTTATCGTTGTATATTAAATTCCTGTCTGTATCCTAACTTCTCAACTCTCTACCTACACCAGTAGTTGCACCCGTCCCGATTATCTTACCTTTTTTTATTTTTTCTTAGTGATTACAATAATTGCAAGAATTAAAATATTGTGTAAGTATTCGAGTTGGTATCTCTGGTCAGAGACCAAACCATGGTAATTACATAGAGATTGAGGGATGATGACGGGTTCTTCTGGAGCAATAAGAATAGTTTAACGGCAGTAAAACTCAAGAAAATTAGATTTTGTATTGCAACATTTTTTTTATAATAGGTATTGAATTTTGTTTTAATAAAACATTATATAATGTTAATAAGTTACTTTATTTTATGGAAACTTTGGGTGTAAAAAAAGTTTGTTATACTACTGTATACAATCATATTTCCCCCAAGACAAAAACCTAAATACGCCACTGCCACTTGTGATAAAAATGATTTATACATGGCCAATAACAAAGCAGTAGCAGTCGCGAATTTTTCGATTACCGAGATCTGAACCATACGAAGAAAGAAAATAGGTTTTGATGATACCTATTGTAGATTATATATTTAATCTATGATGTGGATTTCAGACACTTGCCCGAAACCATAGGTAAGCCTAAAATAAGTATTATTACCATGTTTCAATTCTTTACTTTTATTTATAACTGAATTACAGCAAAAAACTCCCAAAAATGACTTTTTTAAAGTACAATCTAGACAACCTGAGCTTTCAGAAAAGGTGCTACACTTATACATCGAAGCAAATTTACTAGGAAAAAACATGTCCACAGACAAGAAAAAAAAAAAGAAAAAAAGAAAAGTCTTAGTAAAACCAATAGCTCCCCGCTATGCTCGAAATCTAAAATATTAATAAAGTAAAATAAATAAACATAAACATATAATATATATTATGTATGTATGCAAAACAAATAAATAAAGTATTACCTATAAAAAGAAAAAAGTTTGTAGTTGGCAAGGTGGGATGCCTAAAGTTAGTTAATTTATACCTGTAACCAACGATCACTGATAGACCATTGATAACGAGAAACGATTCGGAGCAAAGTTCCGATGTACATGTTTTGAAAGACCGTACACCTAATATTTACGATTTCCATCAAAATTGTATTTTAAAACGTTTATGAAAAATACAAATATGACATTACATTCAATTTTTGTTTTACCACTAAGTATAACTTATAGTAAACTTCCTGTTCTTTCTGTTTAGTCTAATAATGTTATCTACAAAGTAGGTACCTATCAAATAAAAATTACGTAAAAAACTCGACAAATTTAAATGTCAATTTTGAAAACTCCTTTGAAAATTAAAAAATGACCTACTCAATGCACCAACTAGAAAAAAGTTTTTTGATCAACGTACTTATATGTACCACGCAGTGTCGGCGCGAGGGGTGTGCAGAAAGTGCAATCGCACTGGGCATCGCACTTTTGGATTTGGCTCTGGGGCCTCGAGCTTTATGTGGTACTTATACAAATTTAAAAATATTATAATTTGCACAACGCCTCGCAAATCATAGCGCCGGCACTGGTACAATGAATTAAGTATATTTGTATTCGTGACCTGTACCATAATATGGCTATCGTCCGTAAAGTAGTGCAGTTGTTTACAAACTTTCAGTGCAATACCTATATATCATAAGTAAATAGATTTCAGGCCATGGGGAGGGTCCATGGGGTCTAGACACCTTCCGAAATTTAAACTTCTTACTAAAAAAATCAGATTAATGGTACAGTTTTTGGTAATCGGTGATAAATTGTATGTTTGAACCCCCCCAAAAATAAAAAATAAAACTCTAAGTACGTGCCTGGTTACAAATGATTACAATTTTTTATTTTAATTTTTCAAAAAATATTTCATCTCCACTCGGAATGGTTTTTTGTTTGCAATGATTAATCGTAATGCGTTTATATGCCAATTCATGCCACTTCTGAGGGTAAAGGCGTTTGTTCCGCGCTCTCAGAAGTCATTCGGCCTATAAAATGTCCACCACAGGATCTTAAACCGTTGTGCACACCAAAAATATTTGTTTGACGTGCGCGTCCGGATAGCATTAATTAGCCCATCGGTGAATTTGTCGCTGCGAAACGAGCTTGTAGGTACCTATTAAGAACTCGAACACTATGGGGCGGAGCCAAAGTTTATACAAGAGGTTCGGGGCCGTTTTAATCCCCGTATCGGGAGCGAAAAATAAAATTCACGGCTGCCGTCTGTACTACATATTTGAAAAAAACACCCATAATATTATAACGTCCCAGCATTTTATGATTCCTCTGTAAATATTGTCCGTATACGATTACATAACACATTATCAATTAAATATTACAATTTTTCACCACCCACCCACCCCCCCACCCGCCGTACTTTTATTTTCTTATTGTTACTCACGATATTTATTTGCAATTTTCCAATACGTTAACACGATAGGCCCGACGGAACGCGGAAGGCCTTAAAAAAAGGACGAGGCGCGTGGCACGCGAGTAAAATAGTGACGGTAAAACCGGGGTCAATACACTCTGCCAGGAACGCGCGCAATTCGTAATCATCCGCGGCGAGATTCGCACCTCGCACGACGAGAGGTGCGAAATAATATTTGTGTTGTTATTATTGTTATGGTTTACGAGGGGTTACTCGACGATCGGGTGTCGCCATCTATTGGCGCCACGGCCGTTCGTCGTCTCACGGTTACCGCGTTTACGCGCGTGGTTTATTTTTTCACGAACATCGCATTATCGATTTTCGACCGTTTCGCCGCCGGTGCGGAACGTTGCGCGAGACGCGCCTTGCGCATTCCCGCCGAACACCCGACCCCTCGGCGCCCCCCCGTAAACTGTTCCCGAGCGTTAACTATGACCAAGCAGTAAGCACGAGTGCACTGTCGTCCGCACACCGCCATCCGCCACTCCCGAACACGTCACCACCCGCCGCATACCGTAAACTGTTCGTTATGCGCTATAGCGTGGTCGGCCATTTTCAACGCGCGTTGCCCAGTTAACCAAACTCTCGTAACTCACCGTCGTGCATCGCGTTGTTTGTGCCCGTGTAACAGCTTTTCTCGTGCTAAACACCGGAAACTCAGTCGTTCACAGTTTTGACCAAGAGCGGCTACCGACGACGCATTTGTTCCGTACCTACTCTGACCTTACCTCGTCCCGCATCGTTTCGCCCTTGTAAGGCAAACAAACCAACCGCCGCGTAAGTACATACGAACACTTCGCGCCACTCCTGTCGGTCAATCATAATAATAACTATAATCATTTTATCATATTAGTTTTGCGTTCATACGTAGTTTATATTAACATCGAGTAAATCATTGAAACACAACAGAATGTCTTCAACCGAAATTAACGAAAACGCCAACGGTGAGATGACTTCAGAACCCAAACCAAACGAATACGTCTCTGCACTAGTCAAAGAGAAATATGCATTGGACGCTTCTTCTCATCTGAACACAATGAAACTTATTGATGACGGTTAGTATTAACAAACTGTTATAATTATGTTTGACACAATTATAAGCTACTGCATCTCAGTTCTGTTAACCTATTACATACTTACTGTTTTATCCCTGTTCTTATGATTATACTTTAAATCCGTTCAAATTATTGTACATTATATCTGAACACAATGAAACTTATTGATGACGGTTAGTATGTAACTGTTTAAACAAATGTAATATAGTTTAGTTGTCCAGTCATTACCTATTTCCTATTTATGTATCTACTGTAGATTAAATTGTGTAGTACTTCAATATGTAAAACAGTAATGTTGAATTAGAAACAATTAATAATACACTAAATGACTCTTTTTGTATATTATGTATAGTGATTTGTTTACTGTAATACCTGGATTTATGTACACTGTCCTCATCTTAATTATCTCAGACGATTTTAAGTTAATTTGATTTCTACTTTTTCTAATCATCATGGAATCGTTTAAGGTTTTATTTTAAAGCAATTTTTAACCTTTTACCCCTACTCCAATGAGTACATACTTTTGATTTTCAAATATGAACTCCCCTTTTTGATCAAATATTTGAATAGAGAATATTTTTCTAGAAATTTTGATGTGCATAACACAAATATGATATTTACCATTTAGGAGTTATAACAGTTTTATGTTTAGACTAGAGGAATAAGGAAGGGGCTATACATTAATATCTAATCTATAACTCTTCCCTACTCCTCTGGTCTAAACTTTAAACTGTTAAATCATGAATGGTAAATTTGATATAAGTGTAATTTGATATATGTGTATAAAAATTTCTAAAAAAATATTCTCTATTCAAATGTGTTGTCAAAAAGGGGATTTCCTATTTGCAAATCAAAAGTATGTACTTAATTACATGGATTAGGGGTAAAAGGTTAAAAATGGTTTTAAAATAAAGCCTAAATGATTCCATGATGAGAAATAAAATTCACTTAATATCCTCTGAGATAATTGCTAGTTTGTGATAAAAAAAATCACTTTATTTAAACCTATAATAGAATTATACCAGACAAAACTTGAATTGCGCTGCTAAAGTTAAATTTAAAATTTGAATATTTTTAAACAAATGTAAAGAGAATATATTTAAGACATCCTGTAATCTTTATTAAAAATGTTAAACAAGTTATAGTATTGTAAATGTGTGTAAATAGGCAAGTTCCTATTTATTATGTTGAATAATATTTTAACTTAAAAAGTTTTTATACATATATGTTTAAATTCTAAATTTAATTTAAAGGACTCAATTTAAGGTTACGCATAAAGTAATTATCTGTTGGATATATAAAAATATTTTATATTATGCATTTGAAAAGATTAAAACCCTAACTTCTAAGTAATCAATTTAAAAATTATATCTGCATTATTTATTTTCTATTTCAGAAATTGCCAGAGCACAGAACACAAATGGCAAACCTGAATCTGCTTATTTGGACATAAATAGTGACAAACCAATTAGGCTTACTGCCAAAATCATGGTTCCAGCAAAAGAATTTCCAAGGGTAAAAATATAGAATAATTATTATACATTACCTAATTAATATATTTGATTTTTTTTTTTTACATTCGTTAATACTATTACGAAATTGAATTTTTCAGTTCAATTTTGTTGGTAAACTATTGGGGCCAAAAGGAAATTCACTGAAACGGCTCCAAGAAGATACAATGACCAAAATGGCAATATTAGGCAAAGGATCGATGCGTAATAAAGAAAAAGTAATGTAAATTTATTTTGATTTTTATTATAACTTCTATATTGAATTAGAAAATATGGACCCTCGAATATTATTATTTATTCACTAATAATTGATTAATGTTTATAGGAAGATGAAATGAGAAGCTCATTAAATCCGAAGTTTGCACACTTGGCTGATGAACTCCATGTTCAAGTTACTGCTTATGCACCTCCTGCTGAAGCTTATGCCCGACTGGCTTATGCACTTGCAGAGCTCAGGAAATTTTTGATACCTGACCATAATGATCAAATTGCACAAGAACAAGCACGTGAAATGCAACAATTTGGTGGTGCTCCACCTGTTCGTCATCCAGGACCAATAATTCATGCTCCACCACCACCTCCTGCTGTTATTCGTCAAATGCCCCCTCAACCCCCACGTATGCCGAGAGCACCAGTTCCTGGAAAAGCTAAAGTAATGAGCATTTTAGACAGAGCACGGTCAGCAATGGAAGGATCAAATGCTTATCCTGGTAATGGAGGTTATGGTGATACAGGTTCATCACATTATTCTCATTTTGATTCAGGGTAAAATTTCTTGTCCTTAATAATTAAATTTGTTGTAAAATAATATTAAACTAAATCCTTAAAGGTATGGAGGTGTAGCAACATATAATGGTGGAGGTAATGATGAATATTACTCAGGAAATTCATACTCGCAAGGTTAGTAAAACATTTTTAACAATGTGTTAATGATGAAAAAATATAATGTATACCACTTGTATTTTACTAGATAATTCTCAAAGTAGTGGCGGACGTGGATGGAAGAACTACAATACTGGCGGTAGTGGTGGACCTTCCAAACCGACTGGTAACCAAGGTGGTCGGTATGGAGGTCGCAACGCTCCATATACAAGACAGAAATAATCAGGTACTTGTCAGGACTATTTCTATTGTAATTGATATAAGGAGACAACAAAGAGAAAAATATTATTGGGTAGAATAATATTTTGAATAAATTCATATTTATTAATTATCTCATAAATAATTTTCCACTTAGTAAAAACAAATTAATTTTATCTTATAAATTTTTTTTATACAAATATATATAAATAAATATATATATATATATATATATATATATGTATATATATATATATATATTTATACAAGTATTGTACATCTAAAATAGAAATATGTGTTTTGATTGGGATGTTAGTTCCAAATCATATTTTTCTTATAATAAAACTTTCAAAATTATAATTAAAACTTAAATGTGTAAGGAATAAAAATTAACTAATATAATTTGTATAATGATTAATGGAGTGTGAAATAAAATGTCTGCGCAAAACTTCTTGACTAGATTATTATTATAATAACATTATATCAAATATTGTTGGGCTACTTATTTTTTTTTTATTATTATTTTTTTTTTTTACAAATATATATATATATATATATTTAATATATATATATATATATATGAACTTGTAAACAGAAAAAGTACTTATAATTTTTGATGTATTTGATTATTACTTTTATAGATACTTATAACATATTTGTCATTTTAGGATTACACCACTGCTACAATACCTTTTAGTAAATTACTTATATAATAACTGCAAAAATAAAAATGAACAAAATATAATTTGTGCTTATAAATTATATCTTTAAAAAAGAAATTGTTGCATTAATATAACTAACTAATCTTTTTAGTATTTTTTGATAGATTAAATTACAATAAAGTATACAAATTTAATTTCCGATACTCGTTAAAAAAATTAAAATAAAATGAATAGAGCTACACTAATAGTGTAGATTGTTGGATTATACCATTTTCCTGATTCATGATCCTTGAAAATGGATCTTAATATTTTGTCTCTTGATGATGACTTTATTGAAAAACAATCTAAAGATTATTCATGTGGTTTGAATTATTATTTTTAATCTAATGTTATTTATTTTTGTAGTAAATTATTGATTTTACCAAAAAAATCTTTAATTAATAAAATAAACTAAATAAAAAAAAACCAAATTCTATTGTGGCAGAGGTAATAATCCGCATTAAATTAAATCCACTGTTGCTTGCTGCTAATATTACAGATGGCTGATTTATAACGGTAAACATTTAAATTCCAACCCTGTGATGATGATTATAATAATAATAACAAAACAATTTACTAATTTAATATTTTTAATTATTATTTTATTATATTTATGTGTTGATTAAAATAATATAACCATTGGATTCATTTTTAAATGTCAGTTATGTTATGTAATTAATAAACAAGAAGAAATATTTGTAGTAATCATAGTTTTATACAGTTATTTATTTATTTTTTTTTTTATTATTATTTATCATTTTATTATAAAAATATGGATTGCACACAATCCAATTCTATTGATAGATGTTAGATTTATAATAATAATAATAATAATAATAATAATAATAATAATATTATAATATTGTAGTTTGTTAGGTACAACAAAATTTATATAAATTAATAAAAACATACAACAAATAAAATAAAATTTTTACAATTTACTTGATCTTCCTATATTTTATATATATTATTCACTTGCACAATAATCTTCTATTAACAGTAGTAGTTATTTACAAACTATATAATATGTATGTTATGGACAGTGTGTATAAAATGGCTAATGTTCACATTTATCTGGATGATACTTAATTAATTAGTATTTAATTAGTTTTGGATTACTTTAATAATATAAATTGTTTATATGGATTAGAATAGTAGTAATTGATTTACCCAAGTACAGGTATGCTTTATTAAACAAACAATGTTTTTGAATAATTTATAATTGGTGCCACTTGTAATTTTTAGCATAATTATTGCATGCTTTTAGGACGTAATACCTCCTGTAATGTAATTGTAAAAAACTGTTGTTTTACATGAATTAAAACTGTCCGGAGAATAGACCTAATTAAAAAACAGAATATCGATCTTAAAAAATTAAAACCAATATTATTAAATGCAGTCCCTTTTCTCTATAGTGAAAATTTGGTTTCTTAATGAGTTTGTAAGAGTAGTTTTTACCTATGTAAGACAGTTTCTCCGTAAACATTTTGGTAATTTCACGCTTGCATAATAAATATAACAAACATCTATTTGTGAATGTATTTGAAATTGAATTAAATATGTTTTAAGTTGAAAAAATTTGATATTTCAAAATGTCAGAACAATTCTCACATCTAATCAAACCCCTTAAATACTAGAGATAGAATGTTCTCTTAATGAATTATTGAATTTGCTTTAAATTGAAAGGCAATATAAATTTAACGATTTATTAATTTTGATTTTATAATGTTAATTTTAAGGGCATAGATTATTTAAAATTTTGAATAATACCTAAGTATAGCTAGAAAATGTTGATATAGACCATAATTATCACATTGGCTGTTCCATATATTTATACGACACATCGTAATAACACTAACTGATAACAATAATAAAGTTTCAGGTGAATCCTTAAAACAACCACTTACACAACTCTAACCTAATTCCTCACCTTCAAAAACAAAACATACAGTATTATAATATAATAATTAAATTGTTCATATTATGTTATCATTTTAGGAATATAATCATGACATTAATGACATAAAATAATTTCCAGCCAATGAAATTCAATATAAAGAGGAGTGGAGATGCTTAAAATCTGCATAAAATATTATTGTGTTGAATACAACTCATTTGATTGGTCTTGGAACTCCCATTTTTAGAGCATAATCATCTCTTGATTTTGTAAAAAGTCAAAAATGGTGAGGTGTGACCACTATTAATATTTAATCTTGAAAGTGATAATATTTTTATAGTATCGTTAATAAATGTATAAAATGTGGTAAGTTATAAGTATTAAAGTATGAGTTTGCTAAATAGCCTTGACAAAAAAAAAAAAACATACAAAAGTTTAAAATTACTATAAACTCGGTAATACATCGATAATACAAAGGAAAAAACGATATCAAATTGAATGAAAATTATTTAAATAACAGGTACATTTTTAAAATTTAATTTGTTAATACATAAATATAAATTATTTAAAATACTAAGCGTTTTTATATTTATTTTTAAAAGAATGAAATAAATAATTGACTGACTTCTGTTTTTCTTATTAGTGCATCAATTACATAAGTATTTTTAAACTTTATTCAATTTTAATATCTGTGTGTTTTGTTTCAGGAGAATGTTGATCAACTTAGAACATTTTCATTGATTTTTCCTGTGACAGCTGCGACGTATCCTATTTGAGTACAAATTATTTTTATTTTTGTTTTATTTTATTTTAATTTGTGGTAATGTAATCCTAATATTTTTTTAAAGTACTTAAGACTGATCGTATCATTTATTTGGTTATTGCTTTTTCCACCTGTGATTTTATTTATTATTTTTATTATTTGTTTACTGTTTTTGTTTTTTGTTTTTTTTTTTACGGAATACATATAAAAAAAAAAAAAAATAATAAAAAAATAGTCAATTATAACCAAATTTGTTTTTGATATTTTAAAATTGTAAACAAAACAACTTAACAAATCTAACTTTTCATATTCTTACGTATGAACAAACTTTTGAACACATCCAAATCTGACTTGGTAACAATGACTTCAAGAACAGAATGCTCTCCATCTGGTTCAATTGCAACTATTGCAGTGTGTGCCCTCAGCCACTCATACTCATCCTGACCAGTGCGTACTCTGATTTTTATTTGGCGTCGATCTGTCACTGCGATTATCCGTTTCTCTATTTGGCTCTTAAGCTCATCCAAGCCAACACCAGTGGTGCATGACACAAACACTGAACTACCGTTGTCACTCTCGGTGGTCTCCGCCACAAGATCGACTTTGTTACCAACATCAATGACATCCTCCAATAGTCTTTGGTCGATACTCAGACTCTTCAATGTATTCTCCACATGTTCCTTCTGTACCTGGACATTTGGATGAGATATGTCCCGAACATGGACAATTACGTCAGCAAACATGGCATCCTCTAATGTAGCAACAAATGGTTCGATTAGCCTAGTCGGTATGTCTGATATGAAACCTATGGTATCTACAAATAGAACTTTCATGTTGGACGGCAATATACCGCCGTGTACAGTCACATCAAGTGTGGCAAACAGACAGTTTTTGGGAACCAATACGGAATCACCAGTCAAGGCTTTCACTAGGGACGTCTTGCCAGCATTGGTATACCCAACTACAGCCACTACAGGGAGGTCCCTGTTCTTTCTACCATACCGGAGGTGTTCCCGGTGGCTTCGCAATTTATCAATTGACTTCTTTAATTTTTTCTCATATTGTTTAAGCAGATTTTTTTTGTCGTCAAACGGCAGATTACCACCAAGTGCTATCTGACCCGCCTCAGTACCTAGTCGTTCAGCGTATCCTTCCTGGACGCCCCGTATCCGGGACCAGATGTACGGTACCTCGGCTAGGGCCACCTGTAGTTTTGCCTCCCTGGTAATGGCATGCCGGCGAAAAATCTGAACAACGATCAAGTACCTGTCATAGACAGGCACCTTAAACTGGTTCTCCAGTGTTTGGTGCTGGGCTGGCTTCAGCACGTTAGTGCTAACGAAAATGGCGGAGATCCGTTTATTCTCTCTGACCTTTTGAGCGATTAGGTCCAAATTTCCCGGGCCAAAAAACGAGTGTTTTCGGAACGACGTCAAGCCTACTTGCATTTCATCTACAATTTTCCAGTCGTCCAGTGTATGCACCAGCGATTTGCTCTCCGCCAGCTTAATTGCTGGTGGTGTGTTCCGGTCTTTTTTCGTGCCCCATTTGATGTATGGCTGAATGACCATCACCTGGTGGCCCATTGGAGCTAGTTTCAGCTGCCTGTCGATGAAATCTTTGACTTGAACATCATCGTCAGTAACGTCTTCATTGTGACTACTACAGTAATACCGTAACCAACCGTTGCTATTGACGTACAACAGCGGAGTTCTGCAGATTAGTTGTCTGAGAACGATCAAAGAGGTCGTTGTTGTTCTTGCCAGCTGGCCCACGAGTTTCGACATTCTCGTACTTTGTCCTTCGCAGCAAAATACGAAGCCGTCGTGCCAGCCAAGAAAGACACAGCAAAGTGAGACCGCTTCACCTGCGGAAAACGCTTACTAATAATCTGTTGCGATATGTGGAATACTGCGAACGTGAATGTCAGCACTCCGAGCCCTGTTCCGTACGATCTCGTTATACAGTCCAAATAAGAACCGAATCCAGGACGCTTGTCTTCGAAATGTTCTTTCAGTATTTTTTCGCTGGTCCTATTCATGATGCTTGACAACGAATATAATGTGCATTATCTGTAGACTGCAGAAAATTATATTTCAGAAAAAGCACAAGAAAAAAAACTTTGATCCCAAATTCCTAAAATTTATTAGTTATAATACATTTATCAATAGTATAACAATTCAATAATCATAAATTACGTTTAACCCGATTTTTCCGGACGATGATCCCGTTATCAAAGCGAAACCATATCTATATAGATAACCGGTATTTTCATGGAAAAGTAATATACAAAATCCTTTACTTCCTAGTAATGAGAATAGTTCATTTTTGCGAAATATTCACTGTTAAAGAAATGACCACCTATTCTACTCAATAATGATCCAAATTTATAGGTAAAAGTACAGTTCTTTCTATAATAAAATGATTCATTTGATTTATTAGTGAACGACATCCAATTTGTTCGTGAGTAGCTATAACTTGTGTTAATAAGGATTACCGTTCATTCTTGATAAGATATCAATAATGAAATTACAAATGAACAATATAAGTGATTTTCCAGAATAAGAGTAGTTAGAACAAGTTCAATTTTTAAGTTAATCATCAAAGGTAAACCGTGTAAACCGCTAAAACCTACTTACATGTTCACTACCAATGAATTATTAAAATATATGAAACCATGTTTTTTTAATGGAATAAACGGTTATCATTACTGTAATCAATCGATTTATTAGTTTCAGTTCAATTTATTTTAAAATACAAAATCTATAATCAAAAATTGATTATTGGAGAAATTGGTTAATATACCTTAAGTAATAATAGTTAAGTTACTATCTATTACTAATAACTGTTAAAGAACTTATCAGTTTTAATTTATCCTACCTTCCATCACCAGAGTAGCACACATGTTCACAGTATCAGCTTTTCTATTTACTTCAGTCTACAATATATTTTTGAAAATATAATACTTTTTATCAATTTAAATTCACAATGCTTCCAAAATTTAATAATATAATAACATACATACAACTAAATAAAAAAAAAAAAAAAGCGATTTGTCATAATTTGTATCTGTAAAAAGCAATAATTAACTATTGTTTACAAAAAATAATTTTAAGTAGAATTCAGTTGATAGAGATGTTTTGTAAGCAATATAAATATGTCATAGTAAAAGAATTAAATAGGAATTATATATTTTCTTTAGTAATATTTGTTCAATATTATATTAAATTTTTTCAGTTTTTCACATTTGCTGGGTTAACTCCTTAGAAAATCGAAAAATCTCTCTAAAGTATCTCCCCAGTCAGATTTCCTTCAATAATGTGCTAGAGCATTGTAAACCTGAGCAAAATTGCTGGTAAAAAATTGTCCACAGAAAAAAAGTTTAACAATATATTTCGTACATTTTTTTTCTGATTGTGTATACTTGGTGAGAAACCTGAGAAAAACAAAACATGACCTCCCTAATAAAGTTACCATTCCAGGGAAATTTCCTTTCAGAAAAGGATTTACATCATATAGATTGGAGTAAGTTTTCTGGCAGAAAGAAAAATCTTTGTAAAATTAATACTTAATACATTCTTCGAATCAAGGATGTAAAATATAATACACAAATAGTGTTTGGTTTATGTGTTTTATTGAAAAATATGTAACTATTAAGACGATGTTTCCATTGCAGCTGCTGCAGCAGATTCTTCAGTGTACTTTCCTTTTCCCTTGAGAGCCAATGCTTGTGCTCTGCCTTTGCCTCTTCTGTCAAGAATCTTCTTACGGTCTTTGTCCAACTTCAGTTTTACAATAACGCACTAAAAATAAAAATAAAATATATATATATATGTATAGATTAATAATAATTATATTTCATAAGCATAAAAAAGTTGAATACATGAATGTAATTAATTTAAAATTTAAAGTTTAAAATAATATTCATTTTTATTAAACATGACATATGTAAAATATCTTTTTGGAATCACATACTCTAAAATGTTACCTTATCCTAATTTGTTGTCATCCATCCTAATTATTGAGGATGAAACCACATTTAATTTCAAAATAGCAATGCCTGTATTATAAATTCTATAGATTTAGAAAAGTTTAAATTTATATTATTTTGGTATTTAAATTTTTAATTGCTATCAACCCGTTTACAAGATATTCCAGTTCTAACTTTTGATTAGAGGGAGAGTAGTAAATAACTCTAATAAACCACTGAACAGGTAGACAGAAATTAAAAATGTATTTATATGCTTGAACTGAAACTTTATCAATTTATGGAATATTTTATGTAGGTTGTGTAATTTTACTCCCAAAAAGTAATTATAGACAATTAAAACATTTACGATTTTTCAAAGTTTTTATCCGTGACTAATTAAAAAAATTTTTTTTAATAAACCATTTAACTGCAAAATTAAATTTTAAAAACCCTGTATAATATACGAGTGCTTGAACAGATATAATTGAAATTTATAACCTTTGACATATATTTTTCTCACTACCCCCTAAAAATCACTATGTACTTTAAATATTCACTTTTGATTTGCCAACCATGGTAACCTCAGACATGGACACATTAATATTACAATAAATGAAAATTGTAGTTTGTCAATTTAAATAATAATAAAAAGGTTAAATTAATAGCATACTCAAGGTCATAATACATTCAAATAAGAGTAAGGTCACACGAGCAGTTTATTAACGGGCGTTACTTTTCCAGTCACACTAGCTAGGGACGTCAGTTTTCATTAAAATGGATAAGGAGATTTTTGCATATACTGCTTTGAAAATTATTCGGTGATATATGTTTTAAAAGGCTGTTATATTTACAATTTTTGTATATTTAAGATTTGATATTAAAATTTGTACATATATATACAAAAAAATCAAGCACATTATAAGCTCTTTTTTTTTTTTTTTTTACCATAGAGTACGATTTAAAATGACTTTCATGTTCAATTGTTAAGTATTTTGGTTTGGCCTAACAATTTTGTTTATAAATAGATCAAATGTCTTGACATTTTTATGGACAAGTTTTCCATTCAAATTTCAAGTATTTTTGAATATGTTTAACTGAATCGCGACGAAAAAAAAAATGGAAAATAATAAAAGTATTATTATCCTAAATTGTCCTGTTCATTCTGATTTTTTTTATATTTGATTAACACATCAAAAATAAAAAAAATTAAAGACTTTTTTACTCACCAACTACATTGGCTAACAAGGTCTTTATGGTTTTCTATTGAAGTATTATTTCTAGAAAACTTAAACATTAAAAATTTAAAATAAAAAATTGTAAATTTATGCAAATTTATCATTTTTATTTTTCATCTTTTATTGGTTTTTCCTAATAATTATTAAAACTAATTGGGAAATCAAAAAACGACTTTCTCCGTGAGCAACTAGATCCAAAATTAAATCAAAAAAGGTCTCACTAATTTTTGACTGAAGCAAGATATCTAATACAAAACACCTATATACAAAAACATGAAATCAGAAATTGTTACACCATAGATATTATGTTTAACCAAACGTTTTTTCTGAACTATTACTAATACAGACATTTCTTGCTATGCTCTGAATCTAAAATTGTTTACTATATTATTACAGAAATATGAAATTATATGATTTTTGTGACTAGCATCCATGATTTCTTTGTATTTTTTTAAAAAATTTGTTTATATATTTATACATAGTTATTAATGTCTAAAACTAAAACTATTTCAATGGCTAGCAACTATATCATACAAATTAACAAACATTGTAATAATTTAATATCCTAATTTCTTTGAGTAGGTTAATAAAATAACAAAAACTAAATTATACCTTAGAAGGGTGGATTCCAACATATACAGTAGCACCATTAGCTTTTTCACGTTGAATCCTTTCAATGTAGATAACATATTTCTTTCTGTAGACTTGGACAATTTTGCCAACTTGCTGACCTCTAAAATGTCCTCTTACTACCTAAAATCATTAATAAACTAATATATAAAATTATACTAATACATTATATTTATATAACATTTATAATGTATGACAAAAACAATATTTTATTATAATAAAACAAACATTTATTGACATGAGATAATTGATTTAAGTATAGTATGTAATCAGAGCCTTCATAATATCATTTAACAGATAAAACTCCTACTATCATTCATCAATTGCAAAAACTGCAACCGAAGAATAAATGTATTTGTTATTCGTCTGTTTCAAAGAATGGTTTTAATTCATCACATAAATTTGTACAAACATAGAATAAGAAAATAATGCAAAGTATATAAAAAATAGTGATCACATATATATTATATTCTTAATATATTTTTCAAAGTATTGGAGTAATTTAAAATAAATTATTTAACATAAGTATTCAATCAGAGCCTTGATAATAGCATCTAACAGATTAAACTTTTACTATCATCCATTAAATTGCAAAAACTGCAACCAAAGGACTAAGGTATTCGTTTATATCTATTTCAAAGAATGGTTTTGATTCATCAACTTAAGTACTCATGAAATGAATATTATTTCAATAGCTTTGATCCCTTTGTTCATACTGAATAATATACTACTCAGCAGTAAAATGTGGAATAAATAATCACAATTTTTACATATTTAATAAATATAAGTTTTGTTCACTTACTTATCTTAAAAATCATTACTCAAATTTATAAATATATAAATAATTTATTTCCTTACAAAAAAAAGTTAAGTAGAAACATATTTCTAACTGAAATCAGATACTTTTAAAAATTAATTAATATCAATAAAACAAACAAGTTAATAGGCTACAAAAAATAAAGCCAAATTATCAACATTATTTTAGTACATAACTGGTGCTATAATTTAATCAAAGTTGGGACAGGTTTTAACTAGTTAAAGTTAAGTAAGTTAAATATAAAATCTAACCAAGTAAGAATATAATAGTTTTTAAAATTTTCAAAATGTTTAAATTGGTAAAAATATTAACTTAAGTTAGAAGTAATTTTTTTTTATTAGTTTAAAATATAAATTGAAAAACCAGTTCAAATGTAAGGTTAATTTAGAAAAAAAAAAAATAACTAGTTTCTTTTTTTGTTTTTAACGAGTTAAGATTTAAGAATATTTTCCACGTTCAATTCAGCTAGGCAAGTTAACAAAGTTACTACGAATAAAAACTAACTAGGTGAATCAACTTAACTTACTTTATAACTAGTTAGTGCCCAGCTTTGAATTTAATAAGTACATAGATAACCGTATAATTAACTCTGTTAACTCTTTTATCATATGTAATAAAAGTTAACTAACTTTACCATAAATTATATAGCTAATTCAGCTAGGAACAGACATTTAATCAGAGCCTTTATACTAACATTTAACAGATAAAACGTGTACAATTAATAATTCAACTACAAAAACTGTAACTAAAAAATATGATTGTACTCATTATACGTCCGTTTCAAAGAATGGTTTTGCTTCATCACTTCATCAACTTAAATACTAAGACATAAATACCATTTTATTACATACAAAAATTGGGACAAATAAAGAAGGAAATATAATAGTTCAATGTATAATTAGAATATACTAGAAAATTCAGGAATTACACGGGATACATATTGATGGATAAATAAATGAAATTTAATAAAAAAAAAACGCGAAAGTTCCAAAAAAAAAATTGCCAGACAATATATGCTATACATTAGGGTGGTCCTTAGCTATAGGTGTTGAAAATAAATGTTAAATACTTGAATTTGTAATTTGTAATTTTGTTAATTATAAAAATAATTTTTTAAAATGTTAGCTGTGATAACCACTTCATGGAATAGCTTTTTACATTAATTTTTTTTAATTTTTAACATACAAAAAATGTATTAAAAACATTATTATTGTAAAAAGAAATCACAATGGCTATTTTTAAAATTTCAACAAAACTGTTATATGTAAAAAATTGATTAAAAAGTTGACAAGTTTGAAATTTTACATAGGTAATCTTCAATTCTACTAACTTTTAAATAGATATTTTATAACAATAGAGTTTCACTGAAATATTAAAGTGGCTATTTTGTAGGAATATTTTTTTGTGATAAAAAGTTTCAGATGAATTATATGTTAAAAATTTAAAAAAAATTAACAAAAATTCTAACTTTTTGAGGATTGTGAAGGGGTTGACTTAACATACCTATAATTTCCAAAAACTATTTTTACAATGTATAAAGTAAAATCCTAAGCCTGCAACACAAAATGAATTAAGTTCAAAAATAAGAACCACCCTACTATATACCCTACCTTTATGTTGGCCTTATACAAAATTTACTCTAGTTTTCCACAAATTGCATAAAAATGAAAACAGGTTATGATTATTGTTAGGTATCGGTTTCTACTAATAAACAGTATATAAATAAATAAAAAATAAAATGATACTTTTCTTATTATTGTTTAATATTATAGCATAGAAATGTAATGTCTAATACCTACGTATTTACCAAACAATAAAAAGGTACAAATATTAAGTAGCCTAGTTATTACTAACCTGAACTTCGTCATCCTTTCGCACAGGCATAGACTTAACGTTGTATTTGCTCCTTAATTCTTTGGATAGAGGAGCTGACATAATACGACGTCTAACGTGCGAGGGGGCTGTGAAGTGCAATTTACGGGACTTACGTCGCGAAGACGTTTTGTAAATATTAAACTTCATGTTTTGGCAATTATCTGAAAATATTAAAGAATAAGTAAAAAATACAAAACTTGAGAATATACTAACTATAACTATTTTTTTTATAGAGAATTTTGATGACGGAAAACAACGGACAGAATAAATTAATCGGGAAAATAATTAATTGAATATAATAGGTAATATAACTAATATTGTAGAAAGTATGAATACTAACGTTAAAGGTTTGTAGTTATTAAGATTAAAATGGATGTAAAAATACTTACAAAGTTCTTCACAGCAGAACTTGAAATCACGTTCAAGTGAAAATTATTGTAATCAGAACGCAGAGGCCGATATTACACATGTCACATTTAGGTTGTAAACTTGTAAACACAACAACCGACTGAAGTATGTAACGTGGTTACCGAAAACCGGACTTACCAATTATAGTTCTTACCAAAGATGTTATAAACAAACTATATTATCAGAACTATGTGTAGACATTTTTAAATTATGATATGTGATAACCATGTATCTATATCCGTGGTGATAACTGATAATATACCATAGATAATAAAATGTATATCTTTATCAAAATTTGGACACAAAATTTATATTTGTCTTTTCTTGTCGTGGTAAAATTTTCAAAATATTGCAGCCATTTTTGGGCTTTTTATGGATATTTTATATTTGCGAGTTTTGTACATAATTTGAAATCGATATGTACTCAGTGATAAAATTGTTAAACTAAACCAAATTGCTTGATAATTTAACAAGAGATTCATTAAAAGTCGTACTTTATAGTCAAAAAACAAAAATTGATCTTCGTTAAGTATTTTTTATAAAGAAATGTTACTATCAAATTTTGACGAAAATTGTTTGAGTAAGAAATTATAAGGAACAAATTAATTTTTTCAATTTTGAACATAAGCATATTGCCGATTTAAGAACGATGGTGTAGTCAAAATTGAGAGGACTGACTTAGTTTCAAAATTATAGCTTTTTGAAATTTTGATATTATGCAGCTATTTTATGTGTTATGTTAAATAACTAAATATTGTCAGCATTATATGATTATTATGTCTGTCATAGTCAATTGGTGGTATGTATCGGTTATTATCTTATGGATCGAAATTTCAAATCCCTGAGTTCCAAAAAAACAAAGACATTTCGGGTACACCTATATAGATACCCAATCCATCGCCTGCTCTGACTATTTTAACCAAAATGTACCCCTCGATTTATTGTGCAAATTTTTCTATCAGCAATTTTGCTCCAATTTATGATAGCATTTTTTCTGAAAAATATGACTGAAGAGGTACTTTAAGCAGGTTATTTATTGATTTTCCCAAGAGTTTTTCCAATAAATAGGAAAAACCGGTAAACAATGGACGAAAAAGGGGGAAAGTAGGAAAATAGGTTTCTAAAATATAAAACAAATATTATTAAAGAAAATGTTTAATACATGTATATCTACTCTTAATTATTTTACAATAATGTGAGATATATATATTTTTGACTAAAATTATCTTTGTTAGACTACAATCTACTACCTTACCAACTTCTCACCTATAACAGTGGTCCATCCACATGCGACATATGTCAATATTTTTTTTTTTTTAAGTTACCGTGAAATTAGTTAAAAATATAATAATTTAGAATCGATTGACCAAACCAAAAATTCTGTTGAAGCATAATATACCTACTGTATTATACATACTTAAAATAAAATATGTACAGTAAGTATTTTTGCATCTCTAGGTATGATTATAGATATTTGAAAGATTTTGAATTTTTAAAAAAAAATAAAATGTAACACCTAATCAATATAACTATGTCTTAGAGGTTTTTTTTTTTTATATGAAATCAAGGTTGAATGGTGGTTAGTCATTTCACCCCCAACCACATCGTTCATTCAGTAACTTTTATTGCTGTAAATTTGTCACTTTTTCCAATACATTTCATGTACATTATAAACTATAAATTTGGAAACTTTATGAACAAAATTATTCAACATATATGAGTATGGCTTAGTAGGGATTTATAACAATAAGAAAATAATAAATAAGTAATTCTATAGTTATATGTTATATGTTTATATAAATATTAACTTTTATAACTGAGTTATACATTGTTTTTTTTGAAAAAATTGTTTTATTTGTATTACCTATAATAAAAATAAATGATACATTTGTATTTTATTTTTCTAAAAATTAATATTATTAGGAACATTTTATACATTGATTAAGGTGATTATTTTGTAAGTAGGTAAATTATATGTTTAAAACTTGACAAAGATATTAAATGTTTTACTATTTTATTAAACTCTTAAAATATAATACCTATATTCTAATAACACATGAAGATATTCTTATATTTTATTTTCAACAGGTAATTAGAAGTATTTTCAAATACCTACTTATATATATACAAATAGTATCACAATCACTAAAATAAAGTACCTATCTAATTTACTTTACTTCATGGAAAGTACACATCTTATTTAACAGATTTTAAAAACATTAATATTCAATAACAATACTGCTCAACAAAATTAAATCATAATTTATCACAGAATCGTGGTTTTAACAATCAGTTTCGGTTATCTGAGCATCCACTCGAATGCCACTCGCTAAATCTAAAGCGGTTGCGACCACTTCTCCTTGACCACAAAACCCCATTTGAACTAACAGTTCATTGGATAATTGAATGTCTTCATTTCTCATCAGTTTTAATGAACCACATTTTGATACTCCGTAGTCTGTAACAAACTGGAAAGCATATAAAATTGAATGTATTAAAATTTGTAATTGATTTACATTTTTACAAAGCATACATTTTTAAATCAAGTAGGTACACTAACCTTAGCTGACTGATTATGCACTAGATATATATTGATTACAATTGAGTCTTGCGAAGAATTTGCAGGAGTGTATTTTTTTATGACCGTCTCATTATCCCTAATACAATCATTTTCTTCTATTAAATAGTCCAACAAATCTGTACACCATCGTTTGCCATCTTGTATAACAAGTTTTTCTGAAATCAAGTTACCTATAGGTTTTATGTGAAATATGGTAATATATTATAAACCTATTATTTATCATAATATTATGATATTATTAGTAGTTCAGTAAACAGTAGACCTCACAAATCTTATTAAAAAATCAAGTGTGAATTCACACATACATGCAGCAAACACTACAACATATATGGCGTTCGGAGCATACGGCCCCATGAACAAAAATTAAAATCATCTAACCAAAACAAATAAATGGGAAAGTTGAACTTAAGTAGACTTCACGACAAATTAAAATCCGTTTTCAAAATCATCTCACTAGATCAATCGGTAAGTTTGAAATAAGCTTTTACGTCGCATTTCAAATGGTAGGTAGATAGCTGATTATGCTGACTTGTGTGTGCATGTGAGAGTGCACACATTACATGTTGATTAAACACGCATTAAAGATTTATTTAAAGGAGCTTGAATGAATTTTCGGAAAAACTACTAAATGTTCTAATCCTATATGAGAATATGTCATATTTTACTTCAATAACTTGTGTAGATTACTAAAAACCAACAATTTATTTTACAAGGAATTAATGGATCTTACCAATTGGATGAGTATCATCTATAAATGGTTTAATTATGCCCACAGCATAACTGTGTTTTGCTTTATGCGCCGGTGTATTCGATCTGTTTGATTCATATATAACAGCCCCACGAAGAACACTGACAAATGCAAAATCTGGTAAGATAATTTTTAAACGATCGCTAAAACGTTCGGCAATCTTTTCTTGGAGCCACAATGATTGAGCATAACCCCCAACCAAAAACATGTGAGTCACCTTTTCATCTTCATTTATTATACTGTTAATTTGCTAAAAAAAAATATACATATATATGAAAAATAATCAAGTTTTATGAATAAGTTTACTTACTTCTGAAATACAAACGAAACTCGGTAAAAAAAGGGGCTCAATAGCTTGGTAATGTAAAATAAAAACGCCATCTAATTCATTCCAAACGATTGCGTCAGATCCATAATCTCTTACAGCATCAGATACCTGAAATAACAATATAATTTAACGCTGATTTACCAAAGAAGAATAAGTGCAACAAAATTTAAACAGGTACAAACATCTTTGTCTGAATACTTCAAGTAATGTTCAATAAATGCATATGGAGGCCTTATGACAATAGGAGACCTCACTTTGCTAGACACAGACTTTTTAGCTTCTTCAAACCTTTGTAGAAGCTCCATATATGCCGCTGGTCTTTGAAGTTTGAAATCTGACATAAATCCAAAACCAAATAGTGTACATAAAAGCTTGACAAATTCTATATCAACACCTAGAAAATATAATCAATGTTTATAAAATAGCGAAGTATAATAATAAATAATTTAAATGTTATAGGTATATTATGAAAATATATTATTTGTATGAACTTTATGACATTGTAAGTACACCAAATTAACTTTGAGAAAATAATTTAATTCACTATACATATATTTATTAGATACTTACTAAAAAGCTACTTATATAATAATTAAATTTAAATTATTATATTTTATAAATATATGTTATATTTTACTTAGAGATCCACAGACTCCTGTAGAAGGTTTATGAAGTTTACTGATTGGTAATCGATTGACAGCACGGCACACTTGATGGACTGTTACGTCAACTGTACCACCACCACAGTTTACTACTAAGTAACTATATCCTGAAGACAAACAATATAGGTAATACAATAATTATCATTTATAACTATAAACACTTTTATTTACTTTTCAAGTTACAGTAAGACCAGTAACAGTTAAAGTAATATTTACCTTCGCCTATTTCATTCAAAACACAATAATCAGTTTCATAGTTTTCCTGAAAATTATTTTTAGAAAGTATTCTAGTATGTTTAAGTCGTGCGTTGCGACAGTGTACAGCTGCTGCTTCGGGTTCTAAAATTATAATCACAGATTCTGGGTTTTCAAAATTACCCATTCCAACCTATAAAAATATATGAAAAAATAATACTTTTTTATTGTTGGTAACAAAAACAAATAGTACTAATTAGGGCTCGGAACTTATTTCACTTAAAATCCACAAAAAAGCAAAATTGACAGAGCCCCACAAACGTCTTTAATTTATCAATTACAATTTTTTAATACTACAAAAACAAAAGTAGTTTTTTTTTTTTTTTTTATATATAAATATTTTAAAATTATTTTCTGGACTTTTTGATGTTTTTTAGTTCCGAGCTCTAGTATTAATTAATGCAACACTTGTATTATTTATACTAACCTCGATTGCAATTTCCTTTAACAATTGTTTTGTACTTTTATTCCATATAGCAGGTACAGTTAGAATCCATGAAATTGAATCAGGACTCAGTGCTTCAGAACAACGTTCAGTGAGTTCTTCAAAAATTAAATACCTCAAGTGTCGTAATGCTTCAGTCAAAATACGTGTGGCCGGGAGCGATACACTATTGGCCGCCATTATATGAGTGTCTTTGGAGATATCCTGGAAATAATCAAATTTCAATAAATTATTAAATATGTGGGTAGGTACCTCCGTGTATATAGTTAAATTTTACTCACGTCTTTATTATATAAAAACATTTTGAACTTGTCGAAGTAGTACCACTTTTGAGCTTCCTCTGGATGCATGTCGTGGAAATAATCGCGAGCTGCTGTTCCGAATGAATGGAAATTAAAATCTGGTGACAGCAACAGAGCAGTAGGTATTTTTTGGCCATCGGCTATTGTGTCGCTCTCGTCTATAAAAAAAAAAAGTAAAAATGAGGATTCCATGAAAATTACCAATCAATTATAAAAAAGTATTTTAAAATAATTATATCTAGTTACAGTCGGGTTTTTTCATAACGCTAATTCTGCCAGACCGTCTGAACGAATAAGCGTAACCGGTGTATGTCGTGCCGATGTCAACAGCGACGATGATGCCGTCCTCGGGAGACTCGTCCAACACTTGGAGTTCCGCGGTGTGGCATTGGTCTCTGTTATTGACATACACTTCTTCTACCAAATTGTACGTTTCGTTCAACGGTTGCGGGCTACAACAGTTATTGTTGGAGGACTTGACGACTGCGGGCACGGCGGTAAAGCTACTCATCGTAACTTCATCCGACTGTCGAAAACATTGTTGTTCCAGCGACAACGATATCAACCTGGACGAGTGCGTGTATAGGTTTAATATTTATTTTTATTTTTTAATTGCGAATTTTACTCGTATATACTTTTCCAACCTGTTCAAAGTGGTGTTTATTGAATTCGTTACTTCGTCCTCGTCGTACTCGGCCGGGATCCCGGAATCGAGCGAATTGTAACGCAAAGCGCATTCGATGTCTTCCAGCCTGTATTCCGGTTCCTCTTCGACACAACCTAAAACTATTATGCTAGTCGAATTATAGCGGATTGCATGCGTTAAAAAAATTATAAACAAACGAGTCTTTTTACACTCTACGTTACCTTGTTGAAATTTCTGAATGTTGTTGTGTCTGAATAGCAGGATCTCCTGTTCGAGACTAGACAACGGATCGTCGTCGAATACTCGTCCCCTCCTGCGCTCGTGGTACGTACCGGCAAAGTTCATGGCTGGCGGTTCTGTGAGAAAATAACCAGAAAAATAGAATAGAATAAAATATCATATCAAATCAATTGAATATAAGAAGAAAGTGTGCCGGGTGTGTAATTACATCGTGGTCGTGAGTCGTGACCGTCCGCGCGGAACGCCGCGGTATTATAAGTTATAACAATATACCTATACTATTATAAAAAGAATAACAAAAAAAAAAAATAAAAATAACCGCGGCAAAAATTACGGATGCATAATGAGACTTTAAAAATCGTTAACGATTTTCTAACTATCCGTAAAAATTATTAAATATATGTATATATATATATATAGGCATAATAAGAGTTTTCTTCGCGCGTTCCTCGCGTAGGTGGAGTATTTCCGTTATAATTGTTGCGTATAAAATAATACGACAATAACGGCGGTCGACAATGAATATTGCATTATACAGATTGTATCGTGGGTGTGTATGTTTTATGTACAATATACTATGCAGGTATAACAGTCGTCATTAACACAGAGAAGTCATGATTATTGTATTCTTTTACTTTCGGTTTACATATTATCAACACTTTACACAAAACGTACAAAGACGAATGCGGTATAACAATAATATAATGGCGCGTGATGTGCATAGGGCCGTAAAGTAAAAGCAAATTTACGGTACGTACCTTTACAATAATAATATGTAAGCAGTATTTTCATGCTGTTATATAAAATACTGTTCTACGTTGGGTAAGCCACGTCCTATTTGATATACTTCAGGTAAATACGCGGCATGCACAATAACGCACTCTGAATATAAAAACGAGTGGTGATCGAAAATTGTTATTGGCACTTAGGTGCCTATGTCATATAGATCGTTGATACTACAATGGCCTACGGCAGTGGCGGCTCGAAGCATTTTTACCCTGAATCAACAATTTCGTTTTCCACCCACTCTTGTCTGTAAAATGGTTTATGTTGTTTTTTTTCCAATAAACACCACAAATATACAAACAGGGCGCCTTGAATACAATAATATAGTTCGTGAATTCAGTGTTTGAGCACCCGTAAGGTCGGAAATCTATAATATTTCCTTTCACATTAGTGATATAACAATTCTGAAAATACCGTTGAATTCGGGAGCGCGTGTAGATCACAAGACAACCGATAACAATTTTTCCGCTATTTTTTTTTTTCATGTTATATTTCATTGCACGCATATATGTGGACATAGCAGTGAAAGTCTTAATATAAATGCGACTTTATATAATACAAGCACATGAGATTTTCAAATAAGAATAACTAATATCAGTAGCGTAATATTTGGGCATAATATCAAGACTTATTGCTCCCACACCTCCAACATTATAAAATCAAATTATTTTTTAATACATATTATTTTATATCTTATATATAAAATTCTCCGGTCACAGTGTTTGTTATTGGACTCCTCCGAAACGTCTCGAAATATTTTTATGACATTTTTATTTGTGTATATTTGGTAGGTCTGAAAATAGGCCTTATAGTATTTTTACCCTTCTACCCCTACCCACTATTTTTTAATCGCGATTTTAGTACTTTCGCTTATATATATATATATATATATATATAAACGAGTAACACCAAATAATTTAGCTTATAATACAATAAATACAATTATTTTTGTTGATTTGTATTACCCCGGTAACAGGGATGAAAAAATCGGTCCAGTTTGAGTTATAAATGGTGTAACTAACCCGACTTTGTTTTATTTATACAAGATTTTTGTTTATTCAAGGGTTGCCACGGAAAAGAATACAATTCTAATCATTAATATTACTATTATTTATACTATTCAAATTTTACAATAGAACACGTTTAGTCCGCCGAAGGTGGACTACCCACTTTCCACCTATTTGTTTTCATTCAATTCTAACACGGCAAAAACCAAAAATGAATATGGATAAAATAATAATACTAACTGGCACGGGCAACGCCGGGCGCGGGACAGCTATAGTTATTAATATAAAATACATTATAAATCTATGTAATATTATTCTTATACGCATAAAACTACACTAAAAAACTATGAATCAAATCACATAATCTTCAACAATGAATAAGAATACAAATTTCAAAATTTTCAAATTGTAACTGTCTCAATGTTGATTTCTATTTAAATTTATTTTTCGCAATGACTTATAAATTTATTGGATATTTCAATTTTACTTTTTAATACTTAATAACCAAAATATTTCATAACTCACATTAAAAAATATAATAAGTTTAGTAAAAATACGACAGAAAAGATTAAATCTAAAAATAGATTATTTTTTATTTTATTTATCATAGTGAAATAATGAATTATATCAATTATATTTTCATTGGTGGAATATTGAGAATATACAATTTCAATTTTATCAGTTTCGAACATGCTTTTTTTTCGTAATTAAATAACTAAATAATTACTTACCTATTTTAAATTGTTTACTAACGAAAAATCATAGATACAGAAATTTTGGGGGTTGCAAATCAATACTTTTACGATCCAGTATTATATTTGGGATCGTAAATGCGACCCTTTGCGACCTCCCAATTACGCTACTGGATAATATCAAGGCACCCTCCTATAAGTGAAAATAATTTATCATTACTAATAGCTATCATTATAATATATATACCTACTTGGCCAAATTTTCGGAAAGGAAGGCTCGTATTAAATCATACGGGTATGTAATTAGTATTATTATGTAATATAATTATAACAATTGTGTAACATAACGTAATATTTATCGTAAAAAGTTGAACATAAAAAAACATATTTTTACTTAATTGTAATGTTGTTGTCTAGTTAGATGCAAATATGTATCCGTGAATTTCTTTATAAAAGTCGATTTTAGATATTCAGGTATACAATTTATTTTTACTATTCGAATAAAAATTATTGAATAGATTCGATACCGCTCATCGCTAGTATAAATATATATATTTGGTAAATATAAATACTTAGGTACCTATTTAATAAATATTTTGCAAGATTTTTTCTTATTTGTTTTATTATGATGTGGGTTTTTTTTTTTTATCTGTTAACAACTTTTCTACCAGAAATTGTGTTTTGATCATTAACATCGCGGGTGATTTCTAGTAGAAAATTTTGTCTAGTTGGTGTATCGGTCAGATCTTTTTTCTTTTATTCTTAGTAGTTTTCTTAAGAAACTGCGCGCGACTTGTACCCCCCCCCTCCCCACTTAAACATGTCTTGTAGTATGGTCCAATTTCAATCATTTTTTTTTTTTATCGGAATGATTAAGACTTCTTACAGGGTGCAATGGTCTTGGATTTTGAAATGTATATTTCCAAAAGCTATAATTATAATTTATCAATATGATCTATTTTTTAATATTTTTTTTTGTGGCTTATTTGTTTCTATAACCAAAAATCGAATTCCAATCCAAGTTGTCCTCTTTCTAATAACAACAGTAAAATATATCCAAATCAGACGGCTTTATAAGAGACAATTAACTCTGTAAACCATGTTTTAAGCAAAAAAAACAGATTACACACATGACTAATATTCAACAATTAAAACCGATTGAATTTTTTGTTAAGACTTTTAAATTGTAAATGTTAACAAATTATATAAAACCATGACCAAGATCCTTTATAATAGGGGGGGGGGGCAGGAATATTTACGCCATAACGATTTCTGTTATTTTCGATTTTATTTTGTCGTTATAATTTGTTTACATATTTTGATTTTTTAATTGGGTACAATATATTTTATATAAACTAAATTACCCATATTTTTTTTTTTCTATGTGGAATTTTATAGATACAATTATGACAAAACATATTTAAAAACTGCTAATCTGAATTTTAACCAGAAGAATTTAAAATGTTTACCTATATGTCTTAGTACCTACCTACTATCACATTTATAGGTAAGTACCTACTCACTGACATAGTTTATATTAAAATTAAATTAATTATATACCTAGGTATATAATAGGTAGGTTAATACCTAATAATATGGTTTTATTTTTATTTTTATGCAAATTACCTAGACATGTCTAAAATCAGAAAATTTTAATAGTTATATTAAATTAGGACCTGCAAACATGCTTCAGTTAATTTCGTTAAAACATGATACCATGGTAGGTAGATATGATAAAGTGTAAACATAATAAGATGCGTGACTTCGTTCGTCGGCCCAACGGTACAGTCTGATAAATTTAACCGTGTCGTCAACCAAAACACCACGGTACAATAGTTACCTCAACAGTTGTAGATATTTATCAAAGAAAAAAATAAAACCACTAACCGTCAGTGACTTTTCTTAACGGATAGTTTTGCATACCTAACGAATAATATTATGTTAAAAAAAATACTAGGTAATTGATTTAATAAATTCTAAACTTACGTAATTTCAACTAGATACAAATAAAATCATATATATATAGGTACCTAATAATATTATGTTGTTGTTGTGTGTAATATTATTTAATTATTTTATGTGATAAAATAAAAAACAACTTGTTTTAGATTCAATAAAATGTAAAATTAAAAAAAAAAAATGTTTGTAGGCATAATATATACACGCAAAACAAATATACATGCACAAAGAATAAAACAAAGCCAGGAAAAAAGAATGCTGTATGTATAAATGACTGATTTCGATTTAAAAAAATCATTAAGTATTAGAATAACAAAGTCAAAAATATAATGATTCATTTTAAAAATAGATTTTGTAACTATTTATTTGCAATCGTTAAGTTTAAATATTTGGTTACATGTAGATAACATTTTTTTTTAATTAAAAAAATTGACTGAAAATTTGATATTATAGGGTCATGGTTCATTATAAGTTGTTTTTATTGCATTATAAAAATATCGAAACATCGCGGTCCAAGGGCGTTATTTCAATTTTTGAAAGGTATGCTAACAACTAAGCCGATATATATTTTACTATACAGTTATTACAATCAACATTTTTTTAACCTATTATAATTTAATATGGCCATAGTTACAGATGCATAAGACCATTTATAAAATAAAAAAATATTATTTCCCTATACACAATAATTATAGTCCAACCAAAATGCAATCTGAATTTTAGCCCAGGTATCCTGGATTACCCCAAATGCGGCCACTTCAATAAGGGTTTACTCAAGTAAAATTTTGAAAAAAATTTTAAAAATCTTAGTATTTCAAGCTTAATATTTTATAATCACCTAATGTGGACAAGTCGTTTATGGTTAAATGAAAATAATGCTCAAACATTTGAAACTAAAAAAAAATATAAATGAATAAATATATATATGAAGTTACCTATCTTATGTATTTTATCTTTCCAATGTTTCACCTACAATAGTGGCTTATCCGTAGTGACCATGTACAAAACACCGACAATGTTCTAGCGGTTACCTACCTACTACACTTGGCACGTGGTTACATGTAAATATATTAACCTCGATGTCTTTTTGGAAATCATAATAAACATTTTTGAAACTTGGTAGTGTATACAGTTTTTATTTTAAAAGGAATACTAATCTATATCATACAAAAAAATTATCCATTAACAATGATTCACAAAATAAGTAGGTAGGATATAGATAAATACCTACGTGACGTGTACCTGCGTATTTAGTGAATAACAGTAAACGAATATTTTGTACGTACCTATTTAGGTATCAACCATCACAAAGTTGTTAATTTTCGATATTTAAATTTAAAACAATTTTACATACCTCTACGATCGTGTATTTGATACACAGCAGCTTCTGGTTCGATTGCATAGGCAAATTCGCTTTTTTTCGAGTTTGTAAACATTTATAAATCTATAATACCGACATAAAACACGCAAATATAAAGTGTTCACTTGTAACTACGTTTTAATACTAACCAAATAACGTATGAATACGTCAGTCATGAAATCTCTGGACCGTGTCCATGAAGTCTTCACAGTCCAGCTACATGGTAATTATATACGAAAATAGAAGGAAAAAACCTAATTTTTATTCGTATGGAGAAAGAGAAAGGAGTATGGAGAATTATATTATGGCCAAGAAGCTAAACGCTGATTAAATGGCTGCCCTTAATTTGTTTTTAAACAACTGAATCTATTGTATACAGTTTTTCACTATTTAACGGAATTCCATGGATTTTTATTTACATTAACATAAGAGCAGTCATCCATAACTCATAATAAATAATACGCTCTATTGACCCACTGTGAATAAGTAATAATTGTTGGTTGACTACACATTATATTTTATCATTGTTATCTACCCAGCAATAGCTATCCTATAGTGGAGGTGTAGTGACCGCTTAAATTTTAGTTAGTAGGGGTTTGTATACATTTTTATGTGTGCATACAGAATTTTATGGTACAATAAAGTGTTATAGACTTCAATCTTTAACGGTTATTATGAAGCACAATTTTGTTTATCTTAAATTGTGTTATGAAGTACGCATATCATTTATGGGTATCTTAATTGTTTTTTTTTTTTTACCAGTTAATTACATTCTAATTACACTATATTGGGTAGGTGGTATGTAACATGAATAAATATTGGTGAGACTGGGTGGTAGTGGCATAGATTATTTATGGGATTGAGATTTTGATTATAAATCATATTATTTTAATAGGAGTAAATATTGAGAGTTGAACAAAGAATTGAATTCTGGTAGAAATTTTTAAATGGGTAATTTAACACCATTTCCCTTACCCTCTAATGGGTAATTACTTTTAATGTTTTTCGCTACATCTATATTTTTTTTTTTAGTTTAGCTGATATTGTAATCTACATTAAACACTAAAAGTTAAGGATATACGAGAGAATTTTTCTTTAAAGTATTATACATTTATAATTTATTTGTAGTTATAATTATTATTACAGTAAAAAAATAAGTACAAAATAAAATAAATCTTTTAAATAATGTGCTTTGTATACCTTAGTAACATATTTATATTTATTATAGGTATACAAGTGCTACTTTTATAATACAAATTAATAGAAACAGAATTTGAATATTACTTACCACAAATTAAATATACTAATTATTATAATCTATGATATTACTTGATGTTTCTTATGTACAACAGCATACACACGCTTGAATGATTCGGGAGGCATATTGTACAACTGTAAAACAATAATAATTATAAAAAAAAAAATAGTCCTAAAAATGGATTTAACAATTGTGTATAATTGTAAAATAATTTAAATCAATTTCTAAAGTATACAATTTTATAATTTCAAAAAAAATTTCATGAAAATATATAGTAAAAACTGATTGGATACAGTGATAAGTTATTGGAATTTCATATTTGTTTACATAATAGTTACTGTGTTACTTTACAAAAAAATATTATTATATTTTCTATTATGGACTATATTATAATGTTCCACATTATACTTGTACTCAATAATACAAAGATTAATAGTATTTATTATGTACTAACCTCCCCAACTCGTTTTAATAGCATTATCTGATTACACTCTACTAATGCTCTAGGTCCTAAAGAAAACCAATGAGTAGTTTTTTCTGGATCAAGCATAATATTACTATCATCAGTAGCTTTATATTGAAGATACTGATCTTTTACTAAATCCTGAAACAAAATAAAACTATTCAAATAAATGATGTCTAGTAGATGTATAATACAAGATATATATGTAAATTAGTGAAAATATATTTTCAATTATAAGACTTTTAAACAGACTTGATAAGTTATACATTAATTTATTTTATTCAACAAAGTGGATTGACAACACTAAAGACCACTTCTATTAAAAATTAACATTAATTTATGTAATATAATATAAAAATGAATCCTCGGAACTTGTATCAATAACGTTTCAATTTAAAATATTGCTAAAAATCAGTATTCTTGAGAATAGTCTACAAGTATATAAGTACAGAAATAATAAATTTAACTAGCAATAAAAAAAATATGATATCCATTGTCCATGCTATAACTCAGTCTCTAATTTAGTATAACGCAATTTAGTTTAAATTTACCTTACAACTGTCTTATTGTATAATTTAATGATGAATTTAATATTAGACTTCAGGATCATGTAGAAAAATAAAACTATACTAACAAAAATTATAGAAAGTATATACAATTTTGATTAAATAGGTAGACATAAATCATAAATACAAACAAATCTACTGAGAAATTGGGATAGAACAGTGCAATATTAACGTTTTTATTTTCTTACTATTCTAACCACCTTCTTGATCATATTCATATCTAAATTATGTTCATTTGAGTATCGTTCCAAAATATTCCACATTTGACCTGAAAAAAAAATATATATAAATAATTATCAAATAAAATATTATTTTAATTTTTTAGTAGAAGATAGTATAGTTTTATAACAATTTCAAACCTTCACTAATTTCTGATTGAAGCATGACTAAAGCACAAGTAATTAATTCAATTAATGTACGGTATTTTGATGATTCAGAAAAACTATAATGGACCTCAGGATCATTGATTGGTTCTATGTTATTAACAATCATAAATTGTTTTCCATCATCCTTAATATATGATAAAGAAAATCCAAAAATCTATAGAATCATAAGCCAAATAAAATTTAAAAAAAAAAATTAGATATTTTACATTATTATATTTCTTACATTACTATAAAAATAAAATTTAATTGTTACGTTTTTTAGGGTGTTCGAAACATCTTCCATAACTCTATCATAATTATTCTTCCCAATAACACGGCCTTTGAAGACAGTTTTTGTTAGATCTTCTTTTTTAATCAGATTCTTACCCTTCATATGTTTTGACATAAGATACTGAACACAGAGAACAGTAGCACTTTTACCAGTATTTCTAAATAATGGACAAACAATTAGTATTAAAAAGAAATCAGATTACTTTTATTTATATATTATACAAAATAAATAATGTTATATAATATGTCTTTAATTATGATATTGATTAGTGAAATAGTGACTATGAATAAAACAAGACTGATCAATTACTACAATTATATGCAATAATAATATTATGGGAGTACCTATTGGAATGTACATTCACTAACTCTTGCAAAAGTGGAATTTAAGGTATAGTTCAGTTTAACTCCCACACAATTTTTTGGATTTTTATTTTTCCAAAGTGTGTGTATTTTAAAGCTTAATCCATTGATATAATCAAAACTTACCCATCTTACTTATTTTTATAGTTTTTGCACATAAACCTTGAAAAATAGCAGTTTTGGAATTAATGCAAAATGAGGTCAAAAATAGATATATTTTTTTCTATTATTTTTTGTAGTTATTGATAATTTGATAAAAAAGTTTATTTTAATTGAAGTCATAATAAGTCTATCTGGCTTAATTTTAGAGTTACAAACATTCAAAAGTTTTGCTACATTTACTTGGACAATTTTAATCTAAAATACCGTCGAGAGTGACCACATTGGGTCTCAAACTCCACCTATAATGCTTTTCCCTATTACCTACCCACCTACCTTGCACAACAAATCGAGGGTTATTTTCAATTAAAATTATCCCAGTGAGCGCAGTGAAACACCACACGTTTGAACGTTTGTAACTCTAAAACTAAGCCAGTAGACCTATCGTGACTTCAATAAAAAAATGTATCATCAAAATATCAATAACTACAAATAATAATAATAAAACAAATGTCTATTTTTACCACATTTTGGATTTATTCTCAAAATGCTATTTTTCAAGGTTTATGTACAAAAACTATAAAAGTAAATATGATAGGTAAGCTTTGATTATACCAATGTTTAAACATTAAAAAATACAAATTTTGGAAAAAAAAAAATTGAAAATGTTATATTCTAAATAAGTAATACACGAAAAGAAAAAACCCAAACTTTATGAAGTTTTCCCTCATGATTCCAAACGAAGTTTGTCTGACTTTTATTTTTTACATATTCAATGTACAAGTAAAAACACATTTTTAAAAAAAAAATACTATGAAGGTTAGATTAATACCTAAATAGTAAATAAATTTATAGTAATTATTTACTTAGTTATTAAATTTCAATGATAATTTTAGATCAGATTGAATTATAAAATTATTTACAAAAATAAATAAATTGAAAATGTAATTTATTTTAACCTGGAAACCTATATAAAACAATAGACCTTATGAAAGGTCTATGTATAGTACATAATTCTCAAATTCAATAATTCCCTTCTTGGAAAAATTATAAATATGCTAATGATTCAAATATGTCATATTTATTTTATCTTTGACCTATTTCAGCTGGGTAGATATATACCATAGACCTAATAAGTAAAACGTTGCTTATATATAATTATAAGTTTTTATCGCTACTAATTGATGTTATCAGTTAAATACCTAAAACAACTATACCTATAGTAATTTATTTTCAAAATGTCTATAATCTTTATAGTCATACAATTTAGTAAATAAGTATGTATGTATTCAATTATTATTTTGTGACTATAAGGATGTATTTTTTTATTATAAATTTAATATTATTAAATTTTTACTCAATGTTGACTGATTGTCCTTCTTCCTCACCATCCTCTTTCATTTCGGATCTGAATGGCATGTCAGACACTTCAGATTAAGGATACATTAAAAATATTATTCACAATTGACACAATCTGAAATTCTTATTATAATGATTCTATTTGAGTATTTGATTATTTGGGACTAAATTTGGAGGGAATTACGAATACGTATCACAGTCACAAATTATGTCATCACAAATGATGATAACATAGAATAACTAGTTCACAAGATAATATAACCCGATAATAATTTTTTATCACCTGTTATTTCATATCTGTGTTTCATATTTAAAATGTTTATCTTTATCTACTAGTTTAACAACCAACTATATTTTACCTTGTTAGTTGTTGGATGAGTTCCAAATTTCAAAAATTTGGATTTTGTCGTAATATAAATATTAAAATCTGCACAATGGATAAAATTATTAAACCATTAGGGTGTGAGGTACATGGAATCGACTTGAAAACTGAAAATAGCCCTAAAAGTAATATTGATTTTAAATTTAAATTAAAATTACTTTACTTGTAAATTTTACAGTTATTGAACAGATACGAAAAGATGTTACTGAACATAGAATATTAATATTTAAAGATCAAGGTGTAATTAGTGGTGAAAGACATGTCGAGATCAGTCGTTGGTTTGGTGATTTAGAATCAACATTTTACAAACATTCAAGATCACCCCATCCTGATGTGTTTCGAGTATCTAATGATGAAAATGAAGGATGTACAGGTATACAGGGTGATCAATCCTTAATTAGATACTCATCATTTCAGAAAGAATTAACTTTTTTTACAATTTATGAAACTAGCAACCCTAAAATGTTACATTACTGTTATATATTTTTGGATATGAAACCATTATCCTTTTTTGATTTTAAAATAACAGCCTTTTATTAAAAATTCCATAAATAGATATAGTTTAAGTTTAAATATATTTTGATGTTGAAGTTTTTAATTTCTGTCAACCCGTTGACAAGATATTCCACTTTTAAGTTTCAGTAGAGAAGAATAGTAGATTATCATTTGTGTGGTGTTTCCTCAAAGTGGAATATTTTGTCAATGGTTATAAGTATTTAAACTAAAACTTCATTGATTTATGGTAGGTATTCTGAATATAGGTTGCTATTTGAAAATCTAAGGTGGATAATGTTTTCATTTCCAAAAATATAAATAACAAAAATAAACAATCATGTAAGCTTTTAAGGCTATATTTGTATCATGAATTATTAAAAAAATTAATACTTTCTGAGATAATGAGTATATTATCAAATATTGATCATTCTATAAATTAGATTTTATTTTAATAATTTAAATAGTTAATAAAACAGTAAATTAATAAATAAAAGTTATTAAATGCAGTATTTCATTTTAAACTTATACATTTGTATATAACCAATTAATATTATTAAATTATTTATACCTTTATTTATATCAGAGTGATCCTTTTTTCTAATCTTAAAATTTCCTTTTGGATACCCGCCTATCTTGTGTTGTATAATAAAAAATTATATCCTCAAAGTGTGAAACCATTTGGATAATATTTAGTAGAGGTGCACGCTATTTTAATATTTAATATCAAAAAGATTGTATGAAATCAATGAAAATAGCATACAAACAATGGCAGATTGTTTTGATTTGATTTGTTTAATAAAAAACAGAGGACCTACTTTAATCTAAAAATCTTAATGTCCGTTTTGATATAATACATGGGGATTCGTTAAATGAAGACGCTAATAAACTAATAAGCTTTTTATCATTATTTTGTAATTGAAATTCAGAATACGTAGAATTTTATACGAATTTCAAGGGGACAAAACGCAAAAATAAATTTCAATTTCAATTTTTTTTTGTTATCAAGATTTGAGTTATTGTGAGTTATGTCTCGAGGTTGTACTTTATTAATATTATAAGTTAAACTATTTTTTAACATAGAAATAATTGGTAATATTGGTTTTAGTTGATTTCTGAAACTCTTAAACAATCTAATCCCCATGTATGTGATATTAAAATAAAAGACTTACATTCTTCAGTAGTTGGGAAGGTAGAGGGAAAATTGGATGTATATCTGTATGCAACAGTTATTCATTGCTAATTAAAAATGATTCTGAGCAGAATCCGGTTATATGTGTTTTTAAAGACCATAATATTTATGATTTGAAAATAATATACATAGTTAATTTTCCCGTTTTTTTTTTTTTTTATTATAAAAACTCCTTCAAAAATGATAGAATGACCTCTCTAAAGTACCACTCTACAATTTCCTTTTTAGAAAAAATATTACATTTAAAAATCAGAGCAAGATTTGGTAGAAAACTTGTTTACAGATAAAACAAGTAATTATTGTTAAGCCAATACATTTCTCTCTTCGCTTATAATTTAAAAGACATTATGATCTTTGGATTTAGATAGGTCCTTTGTTTTTTAATTTAAAAAAAATAACTTGAAACTTGGTAGTAATACTTATATTAGGCTTACCTAGACGTGGTCAAATTTCCAAAATCATCGGACGCCTTTTTTTTTTTTTTAATAAGCGTTATGAAATCAAATTTAAACAAAAATCGCAAAAAAAATTACAGCTTTTCTAATTATGTATTAACAAACTACACTCAAAATTGTCTTTTGCCAAGCAATGGTTTAACATTGTTTACAGATATTAATAAAATAACCTTATGTATCCTACCTTTCCAGATTCTCACCGACAACAGTGGCTGCTCATCCCTAGTATCAACTCTTTTTTTTTGTAATTAAATATTACAACGATGTGCACCTCCACTAAATATTACCAAAATGGCCTCAAACTTTGAGGATATTGGTTTTTATTGTACATCACAAGATATGAGAGTTTCTTGAAGGAAATTTTGAAATTGGCAAATTAAGGATCACCCTAATATATGATATATTATAATAATAATCACAAATTAATTTGTGGTTAAAACCTAAAATTGGTTATAACTAGAATTAGCAGTAAAAACTAGTTCGACCTAAGAGTGTTCATAAAAACGTACTTTTACAGTTCTACATCTGCTTGTAAATTCTATTTTGTGTTTTTACTGAAACATTTTAAATAAATAATAAATAATTTACAATATAAATGTAAATGATTATTTATTAAATTTTAGACTTAATTATATTAAAACTATATATTTTAATTGTGCTAAGAAAAATGGGCCAAAATTATTGTTAACAAATACTGAAAATTTAAGTTTATGGGAATACTAAATATTTATAATTACATCAATATGTTTATTTTATTTTATAGAATTATAATTCTTAGTTAATATTTCTTTCTAATTTTTAGTAGAGTAATTTTCAATAGTTTAATGTAAATACTAACATTTTTAATTTAACATTATTATTTTCAGGTGTTGGAAGATCAGGGTGGCACATAGATGGAACATTTCAACCAGCACCGTTTAGCTATTCTTTATATCATATGGTATCAGTTCCTAAAGAAGGCCATACATTATTTATTCCACTTACTGAACTTATCCAAAGTTTAGATAAAGATACTTATGATATATGGAATCAAGCTTGGATGGTTAGTGATAGAAGATCATCACCTATACATCCACTTATTTATAAACATCCATTAACTGGCAAACCGGTATATTAGATTGATAACTGTATAAATGATTTATTTTATTTCAATAGTAATTTATTGTAGGTATTATGTTTTCATTTGGGAATGACTACTAGTTTTATTTGGAATTTTAACCTTCCATCAAAAAGAGTTGCTACTGATGAAGAATATAAAAAACTGTTAAATTCTATTGAGAGTAAAATTAATCAAAATAATGGACAATTTATATATGTGCATAAGGTATTTTATTTATATATTTAAAAAAAAATGTTATTATAATGATTGTAATAAGATTTGTTTATTTACCAATATTTATCTCACTTAATACTATTTAATTAGTAGTACCTAAATGATTCTATTTTTACAATATTATTTCTAGTGGGAACCTGGTGATTTTATTATATCTGATAACTTAGCTGTTGGTCATTTCGCTCACTCTAGTACACAGGCGCCTAGAAGTGAAGTTGGTCTTAGAATACTACACAGAACTACTGTTAAAGGAACTGTTCGACCAAAGAAATAGAACAATTTTTTTTTAAATATAATGTGATTAATGTTATTATAACTTTTAACTTTCAAGTATGTATGTGATTTATTCTTAATCTTGCTTTGTGTAATAAAAACTATTATTTTACCCTGTTAAATTTATATTTTTTTAATTATATTATAAATGGCTTAACTAACAAATATCTATTGCTCTTATTATATTGGTATCACAATGTTATCTTTAATATTCCATATAGAGAATATATTGTAGTTTGTAAACTTTAAATTTGACGATACACAATCATATAAATTATAATCAATTTTTATATTTTATATACATAGTTTGTAATAATAATTAAGTTTGATCATAATTTTTACAATACTAGGTGATGATGTATACAGGCTTTTGATTCTGCTGACTATTCAATACTTATTAATCTGCTACTTTCATTTGGTATTAGGTAATCATAATTTAAATGGTTTAAAAGCTATTTTAAAACAAGAAACAAAAAGTTAAATTAATGAAATAGCTAAAGATTAAACGTTAATAAATTGTGGTGTACCACAGACGAATGGTTCAATATTATTTATCTTATATATAAATAAAATATGTAATCTTAACATCAATTGTCTAATTGTTAAATATGCTGAAGAAACTTGTCTAATCTTTTCTGCTGACCTCTAATGTAATGTTTGCATAAAAGCATTTATTGGTTTCAAAAAAATAATTAATCATCTTAATCATAGAAAACTGAGACAAAATTACAAACAAATTTTTACTTAAATAATTTTGAAAATAGTTTTGATGAATTACCTATACAGATTTTTGTACTGATCTCAGCCTATGTAACAATATGGATTATAAAATTTTAATTAGTTTTCCTAGTATTCGATATTTATGTTTAATTTTTGATCGCAATTTATGAGATTGAATTCTCATATAAACAAACTAGTAATTTATTTATCTCTGTATTAGTCAATTTTTCAGTATGGTTTATCAGTGAGGGGTGGTTTATCTGAAAAAACACAAGGCCTTTATATAATTACAGCAAAAATAAATTATTAGAATCTGTCTTCGTAAATAAGAATTATAAGGCTCTATTTATCTTAATTTTAAAATGGTTTAATGTTCTTGTAGTGAAACTTTTGTTTATGAAAATATCAATCATGTGGATAATAAAACATTTAGGCGATTGATTATGATTAATTATACACAAATTATAAACAAAAGAGAACAGAGAGCATATGATGCCAGAATAAATTTTGTTAAAGTATTTTGGTCATAGATTCGTGAATAATCTTGATTCTGTATATTATATTTCTTTACTTGTTAAAAAAAAGCTTTTATAAATGGCATACAAGTTAAAAAATCTGTTCTGTTCAAATTCATTCTTGAAACTTATAAGTAAAATTTAAGTCCTAATCTGTATTTTATACATATATATATTTATTTATTTATTTATTAAATAATTTACGCCCACTGTGGGGCAAGAGTACACATACAATTTACATAAAAACAGATTAATTAAATACTAAGCTATATCAAGAATACATTGTTTTAATTTAGAGAAACTATTGGTAAAGAAATAAAAAAATTTTAAAAACCCATTATAGGAGTTCAAGGTCTGATATAAGTAGTTGTTCAGAACAGAATTTCTTTTGTGGGGTGTAATATAGAAACTACGAAAACTATGATTATTTACTTGTGGTACGTTAAAACATATTTTTTGCAATAAACCAAGACAGTCGATGGAACCGTTCAAGAATCTATGACAGCGTTTCCCAACCAGTGTGTCGCGAAATATGATTATTAATAAACGTTCACGTAAAATTCCGATAATAGCTTAAAATATGTTTAACGATTCTTTTATAGGCGATTACCTGATTGTTATAATCTTGAATTCTTGATAAATAGTATAATAAAAATTATTTTTGTTCATAATTTCTTATTAAATCGTTGTATTTACTTAAAGCTGGTTAGTCGTTAATCGTCCGTCGTGAAGCTAATTTATCATACCAACATTTGTAATTAAACCTTAATTTATTTTATACGCCCTCTTTGAACGTCACTGATATTCCACGTGTTACGCACGTATAATGGATCGTTTTTTAATTAAGAAATCTAAATTAAGTGAGGAGTTGTCTTTCCCAAATACAAGTGCTTAAAGTGTTGATGTTGAAGAATTGCCTGGTATTAGTTCTAATAGTTGTAGTGTTGAGGTAAGTGTAGGAACAATTATTGACGTATCACCAAAAAGAAGTTTCGACAATGTCATGAAAGCTACTTATCATTTGGTTTCATGTCAACTGGTGGAGAAATAAACAAAATGGATTAATTAATTGAAATGTTTAAAAGTTAATATTTTAATTGATGAAAAAATTAGTACTTATAAATTATTAATTAAATCAAAATCAAATATTATATCTACAAGTTTTTTTTATCTTCCCTACGTACTTTATAACATACATGTGGCCTTTCCAACAACATTTTTCTTTACTTGTGTTAGATAAAATAATTTTCATAACGAAAAAACAAAAATTTTACTTTAAATTAAAATGAACAAGACGTGAGATACCTGACACAACTAATTATACACTACATGAAGTACACTATTTCGCATTTAGATTTAGATAAGTATATTTAATCAAAAATAATAAAAGCTATAATTTAGATATTAACTAGTTTAGTTACCTACTATATTATTATATGCGCCTTTATAATAATATTTAAGTTGAAAAAACTAGATGTACATATTATTTTAATATTTGTGTTTATAAAAGATAAAACTATAATATTAAAAACCTATGTAGGTAGGTAATATTTAAGTCAGAAAATACTAAGAGGTACATAATATTAATAATTTTAATTTTCTATATTAAATAGATTTTAAATTATTATTATTTAACACTTTAAAAAGTATTAATTTAAAACAAATGTGTTTTCCATATTATTATTGTCTTTTTTTCTATACTCACATCCAATAACATGTTCTAGACTACAACTAATGCTGACAACAATGAAATAAATAATATAAGAACCTAGTACCTACCTAATGCAAAATTGAGATGTTTTATCAAATACAGCCATGCATTACAAAACAAGAGGTGTATTGTGGGTAGTATTTACTATTTGGTGATTAATTAAATGAATGGGAAGGGAAACATAATGCTTCAGAACCACATTATTTGGGAGGAATAACAATAATTGTCAGATGTTTACGTATTAGGAATAAAACTAATTTCAAAAAACAAGGAATATTAGCTCTTATATTTTTAAATGGTCAGAATAATAATTTATATTTCGTAGGACTGAACCAATTTGCCCCCGGCACAATGTCTTTACATTGTGGTCCCCGGCAAGCCTTTGAAGCCCTTGGGAGATAGGTCGGGTGGAAGTTTAGAACAAGGGTGAAATAGTAGGATGAAGGCAAAGGAGAAGAAGACTTTAAATGTATAAACAATAGTTTAGATTGTAAACAGGACTGTTCTTACAATATAAGAATGTGTTTGTTAACGCTTAATTTTAATACACAAATTAAAAATTTAATTTTTTAAATTTTAGAATTCCTCATTTATAACTTTCCAATTGATTCTAATGACTAATACTTATCCATATCTATGAATTTAATAATATTAGGAAGATATTATTTCATAACAGCAACTCTACCTCTCTAGTTTTTGTATAAAACGATTATGTACATAGTCAATGATAAATTCATTACACATTTTATTAATTATAATCAATAATAGAACCATGTGTTCAATATTATTTTTATAATTATGAAACTAATTTGTTAAGTAGTAGGAATATTATTTTTGATAAAAGTAGTAGATGCAAGATATAAAATACTAAATACTAATAATAAATAGTATACCATTTATACCAATAGTATAGACCAAGTTTCTTTTTTGAAACAATAAATAGACAAAATATAAACTTATTGAATAAATTTGGAAAAGTTTAATTCGTTTCCATAATATATTAATTTTTTCATCAATTCATATAGATGTAAATAGTAAATATATTAAAATATTTAACATAATAAAATAAGATCTAAAATAAAAGGAAACAATAATTTCTGCTATCACAATTCAATCAATTCACACCCAAAACACTAAATATACATTTCTGTACATAATATTCTTTCCTCATTACTGCATATAGATAACAATGTAAAGTGTTGTGTTATAATTTACAATAGTATTTTCCACTTAACTAACACAAAACACCAACTATATTATATTAATAATAATTAATCATCAATTAATGGACAAAGAAACAAAAATCATCTTTTATGTGCGTATTTAATACAATATTTTATAATGTTATGTAATATGTTTTTGTCGTAATATAAAAACAAATAAATTTTTTACATTAGTGCAGTGGCTTTAGTCAGTCAAGTGGGAAATTTCAATTAAAATTGTAAAGTTCTTAAATTTATGTGATTAGTGATTATCGGTGGAGTAATAATGGAAGGGAATTTGACATTGAGCGAGCTCAAAATGCTTAAAGAATGTATCGTTCAAATATTATATCATTGCTTATCACTGAGTACCCATTGTTGGAGGCGGAGGATCCTGTAAATAGAAAATTAATACTATTATAAAATAAACTTATTTGATTTAAATTGTTTTAATTAATTTCATACATCTGATCCACTATTGCCAGATCCACCACCTGGTAACTTTTGAATAGTATCATCATGTTTACGAGCAGGATTAGGACGCAAAAAGTACAAGGCCAAAGCAACTAAAATCCACATTCCACTTAATAAGATAAAGTTAGAATCTTCACTGTTTGATGCCAATGGTCCATCTAATCGTTGAACTATAAAAATAAAATAATAGATTAAAATTACATACTTTTCAAATCTTGAATACATATTTTCCTGTTTACTAATGTAGAATTCTTATTTGTATTATCTCTCATACGCTTATTGTAAAATAATTTTATTTCAGATTGCGTATTTTTTATATAAATTTATAAAAAGCATATAACTATTTGTCATTAAATAAAAGCCTTTTTCATTAATTAAAATATAGAATAAAGAATTAACAAATTCTTATATAGTACCAAAACTAAATTGTTAAAATACACTTAATATTCAGTAAGAAGTAATAAGTAAAAATGTTCTAATACTTATTGGGTTAATACTGAAATAATAGTATAAAACTATAAATGCTTTAAAAAAAATCACTAAAATAATTCTGAATTAATTATATTTACCTGAGTCTAAGCAATCGATGTCTGTGCATGCTGACTGTGACTGGCGGAGCTATAAAAATAAACATAAATACATTTTATTATAGTATTATCATATAATAGTATTACATTATGTTATTTAACGAGTTCTATTCATGATTTAAAATTGTGTGGTGCATATTTTAAGTGTTGAAAAATAAATTTGTATGTAAAAAAATAAAAAAATTACATATTAAAAATCTAAATTTGATTTGTTCAACACGTATGAGCGTTATAAAAATATTTTATTTTATCTAACCAAATAATTAAAATACAGCCTTCCTTTCTCCAAATATGTTATGTTATAGTTCAGTAATATCTGCAGCTTTTAAGGCTGTGTATTTTCAAAACATGGCAAGCATTTTATTGCTTTTATATGTACCATTGGTGAACTATAGTGTATCCACTTGTTCCTTAAATCATTTTATGGTTATTCAAATGAAAATGTATTCTTCTCTATTTGTGTCTCATTATTATCTATCTGAATGACAGATTATTCATATACTAAAAGTATACAGTAACTAATAGACAGGCACAACTGAATAATAGTTATCTAACTTTTAATTTAATAAATTGTTTGGGTTCAGAAAATCAATTACTTATTAAATTGAATCAAATTGCTTGTAAGATAAAATTTTGTTGGTGACAGTCGAACTGACTTCAAGTTCAAATTCTATAACATATTAAATACAAAATTGCCAAAAAAAAGTTATAGTGTCAAACACTGGTGCTATTATTCTAGTTATTCTGTATGCCATATCTAATCTGGGTCCATCCACAACGCCGTCCAATTAATTAAGAAATATCTATATCTGTGCATATGAGGGGGTTAAAGCTATAGTGGTGTAAGTCAAGTTTTTGTCAAAATTGATTTAAGTACTTTACACATTTTTTAAAAGTAATTGTTCAATAGTCAAAGTGAATTAAGTCATAACTCACAATTACTACAAGATGGCAGGAAAATATTTGAATGGGAACGAATCGGTTGACGTACACCATTATGAGTGTAATTGTAATTTATTTGTTGTTATCAACGTATGATATTATGTTATTTTACTCCATATTCAAACATATTGTATTGTACAGTGATTCGTGTACTGATCATAATAGAAACCTAAATTTTGCATTGATGCTATTAAAGCTCTTTTAATGCTTTTTACCACTTATACATAGCGATGTAAGTCATGAGAAATTATAATAGTCGAATAGCATAGTGGTTTAAGTTATTTTTCACCCTTAATAATCATATCAGATAGAAAATTTTCTGAAAATTGTCTTCCCAGTATTTGCTTCATACCCATCTAAAATGATTGATTTGATCACCCAGGTGATAATTTCACATGGGATATTCTAGAACTTTTAACAAAACTTTTTATTCCTCAAATTTTAATTAATGTGACTTACACCACTATGGATTAACCTCCTCATATATTAGGTATTTTAACAATTACTTTTGGTAAAACAATTTTGTTAAACATTAATTACATAATAATAATAATTATTATTATTATTAATAATAATAATAATAATAATAATTAGTAAACATTATTATTTTAAAAATTTGGTTTATAAACCTGCAATATATTATATTTTGTCTTACCAATGACAGTAGACGTTGCATAGACAGTTCATGATTCCAAAAGCATTCACAAGGATCGTTCTCACTCATGATAGAACAACAGATGTCAACAATATAATCTACAGTAAAATAAAAACATTAGCTATCCAAACAATACATAAATATTACATACAAACTACTTTGAAAATGATACCTGTTATTATAATAATAGGTAATAGCCAACAATATTGTATTTTGTCAAAAAACAACAATTAAATGAAATAGTTTCAATATAATTATAATTTGAACGAAACTATAAAACAATAGTGACACGACAAATTTGGACTAGATACACTATTTCTGGTGGTAAACACGAATAACAATATTTTGCGAGTTGTAACAATGATAACGATCATGAAAGTATTATCATGAACCTAGTGAACTGTGCCAACAGCTGATGAAACGTAGTATAGACTACTATTTATTATTGTTTGTATTATTGTAGTGTAAAAAATTCTATGTACGTGTACAATATTTACTCGTTATAAATTCGCATCATCAGATTGAACCAACTATGGGCTACCAACTGAAATCTGAATGATAATATTTACATTTTAAACATAATATTTATTTTGTCGCACCCACCTATGATTCCGAACTACTTCAACTCGATGTTTGTTGAATATATTATAATATATTATTGCATAGCTTTGGATAGGTATTATAATATAAACCTTGAGTTTAAAATGTTCACCTGCATAATAAATTAATAGTTATACCAGGTATACAATTACAGATGTTACAGAATAATATAATACCTATATTATATGTATTAGGTAGGTATGAGTATCTGTAATCTGTGAGTAGTATCTGCACTATACGTTTTAAAAATTTTAACTATTTGTATTATTTTTTCATCATTATAGTAATCTATCATCAATTAATATTTTATAGTGAAGTAGATAGGTATAATTTATTTTTTTTCTTATTATTTGCATTAGTTGCTGATCGTTGAAAATATGCAGTTAATTGTCTATGGCAAAAAGTAAATTTGTCTATATTTCTGAAGTCCCGGTGAAATAAACTACCCATATCTAATAAGTACCTATCTATCTTAAAATTAGTTATTTTAGCCAGATAGTAGGTGTTGAAAAATCTTAAAATAATTGTTTGTTAGTCCATCTCTCCAACTAGCAATCACCAGTGTTTAAATGTCTTTAGAACATTGATGGTAAAATAATTTTGCCGTGAGGGGTGCGTCAGATGAGGGTGGTTTTTAACGACCATTATTTTTACCTACATTGATATGAATAAATAGGTAATATTATATACATGGTTATAAATATTTAAGGGGAACAGGTCAGGAATATTACCACCTATTTGAGTGCTCCTCTCTGAAAATATTCCTAGATGTCCACTAGTGTAGGTACCTATGTAAAGTAAACGGCATTTAATACTTAATAACAATACTCTTGTAAGTTGCAAGTAAAATACAGTTTAGTATAACAGGTAATATTGGTACCTATCTATACTCATATATTTCATAAGTGTTGCAAGGAATAAACAAGTTTTAACCAGGAATGGGTTATGGGGACCCGGGGCTAAAAATTAATAAACAAAAAAGGTCAGCAAAAGATTCGTATAAAAACAAAACAAATGTCACTAACAAAAACACGTATTATGTGGATCCTTTCAACTTACGGTCCGGGGATATAGCCCCCCTAACACCCCTCCTTGATCCAGCCCTGAATTTAACAGAGGCGTATTTACGAAAGAAGATTAGGGGGATTTAATATCTCCACTGACTTGTTTTTAGTGTCTATTATTTATATATCTCCTTATTTTTTTTAATTGAAATTTGTTTGCATTTTAGTCAGAGAAATTAACAACTAAATGTGTTGGTACCTTTGTGACTATGTGTCGATTATAGGTTTACAGAGTCGATACATATGAAAAAACTGAACATATTCTGAACATTTTCTTGTTTAAAACGAAACCTATGTCCGAACCACTTTTGAATGAATTTATAATGTTTAAATAGTAAATTTATAAATAATAATTACTTAGCTAGCTAGGTTGTACCTTATACCTACAATATGACACAATTTTAAAATTTCCTTTTTGTCCAATGTCCCTTTTGGCCCAGTGTCTTTTTTTCAGATAGTACTAGGGTTGCCAATCGTTTTATATTGAGGAGGGATGTCTTACATTGGTTTGATTTGTCTTACAACCAACAACGCTTTAAACTTTATGTAGATCCATTCTATATTTTAAATACAATGTACAGACTTGAATAGATTATATAGTTTAAGGTTAATGAAAAAATACCTTTTAATATTTTATTATTATGTCTTTTAATTGTATTAAGTTATCGTTTATCCCTTATATACCTACTATTGTATAATTTAAGATAATAAATAATGATATGCTACTATATTCATAGGCGCAACTAGACCACCAACCTAGGGGGTGCTAAAATTATAGAAAAATCACAAACCCATAGAGAAAATACCCCCGCAATCGCCTTTACACAATACTTATAATAAGAAACTACATATTTTATTTAAAATTGTTTAACTTTGTTTTTTATACACACATGCATTGTCTGTAGGTCATTTGTATTTTGTTCTGCTTATTAATTATGAAATACTATAAAAGAACTTATTGGGTATTTTTGGGAATGCTAATTTTAAACTTGGGGGTGCTAAAGAACCTCTAGCATCCCCTTAGTTGCACTTGTGACTTTATCTTAACTTGTTACAAATTTGTTAAATTTTATTTACTATGTCAAAAACAAAATGTTATTAGAATATAGGTAATATTTTATTATACGTTGTAATTTATAAATATTAAAATATATACTAACCTATTAACTAATAATTTGCAATTATAGTAAATTGTAAGAATGTTAGCTGAATTTTCTAAGTTAAAAGAGTAAATAAAAATCAGAAATAAAAAGGTATAAATAAAATGTAGAAAATTATTTATTAAACCGTTTATTATTACCTATTATACCGACATTACATTTTTTATTTTACTAATTATGATATAAAATAATACATGAAAAAATTTGTCCTACGTCACATAATTTTAAAGTTGCCAACCCTAAATAGTACAGTTTTATTTAAAATTAAAATATTAAAATATATCCTCATGAATATGTCCAAAATTAAAAAAATTAAATTTTTAATGATCAAAGATAATTACTACATATTACATACAACTGTGAAAAAATCATAAATATAAAATATGTTTGATAAATTAAATATTATATTTTATATTAGCACTGGCTGATAAGAGAAAGCTAAGTTTTGGCTGTAAAAAGACAATGGCCCGAAAAGGAAAGGATAAAATTTTGGCCAAGAACAGTGACGTCTGCGGTTGTTGATTGTATTATTGAAATAACTAGCCAATGTAACCTGGAAATTATAGATATAGCTTATAGTTTTTTTTGGCCCCTTCCCTATTGACAAATTTTGGCCAAATCATTGTTATACTTTATATATATTTTCTTTAATAATATTTGTTTAATATTGTATTTATTTTTCCGTTTTTTTTTTAAGATTTTCCGATTTTTCACATCTAATGGGAAAACTACTGAGAAAATTAAAAAATGACTTCCTTAAAGTACTTCCCCAGTCAGAATTCCTTTTAGAAAAAGTGTTATAATTGTAAATTGGAGCGAAATTGCTGGTAGAAAAATTGTCTACAGAAAAAAAAAGAGCTGATACTGGGTATGAGAGCGGCCACTGTTATAGGCGAGAAGTTGGGAGGTAACCTATTACTGACGAAAGATAATTCCGAGCGCAATTCGGTAATACATTTTTTTTTCCCGATTATTATGAAAACTATTTTGAAAATCAAAAAAACGACCTGCATTATGTAAAACAAGATTAATAATTCAACAAAAAGGTTTCTTATTGTTTTTGATTTGGAGTCATATTTGTGCTAGAAAACGTAGTAGGTACTTATTTAAAAATAACGAATTCGTGAAAAATCGCAATTTTTTCCCGGTTAATCGTTTTTATTTTAAAGACCGTTTCGAAAATCAAAAAGTAACCTATGTATTTACCAAGTAGATAAAATTGTCTTTCAGAAAAGGTGCTACACTTATACATTGGAGCAAGTTTTCTAGGATAAAAGTGATATACAGTATATATGAAAAAAAAAAAATTATAATAAAGTACCATTGTAAAAAAAAGAAAAAAAGTTGTCCGATGATTTTGGAAATTTTACCACGTTTAGGTAAGTCCAATATAAGTATTATTATCAAGTTTAAAATCTCTACGTGTATTTATAACAAAATAACAGTAAAAAACTCCCAAAAATTTTAATTCTTTAAAAGTTCAAAACTGGCTTAAAAGTTTTGGCGATTATACCGTAAGAAATTAAATCAAAAATCTGTGATTTTTCGATTAAATTATTTTTTCTGATAGAAAACGTCCGTGTTTTTATAAAATAATGAAATCGTGAAATTGTACGTTTTCCTACGTTTTTTTCTCACTTAAGTGCTTTTATTTATAAAATGGCGTCGAAAATCAAAAAATTACCTTTTTAAAGTACAATCTAGACTTCTTGCGCTTTCAGAAAATGTGCTGCACCTATACTAGAAAAAAACGTGTCCATAGACTAGAAGAAAACAAAAAATAAACAGCATTGTAAAACCAATAGTTCCCTCACTATGCTTGGAATCTAAAAAATTGTAAAAGCATAAGCTTCTTCGCTCCACTCAGAATCTAAAAAATGTAAGTAGTTGGGTAGGTAGGTATACACGATTCTTGTCGAAGTTGGTAGGTATTCATAAAGACCGTTATGTCATTGTTAAAATATTTTCCTATAACATTTTAATTTATTAATAAATTTATTAGTATAAGTATACCTACTTATTAAAAACGTATTACGTGTATGTCGTAGAATCGTATAAATTATATATTTAAACAATTTAAAACTTTAAACTTCTCACATATTATTGTTATAATCAAATTAGTTTAATTTTTTGTATGAATTTTGTTTTAGCAGTACACCTATTAAAATTTAATAAAAATAATTATATTGAGTACTGCTGATCAAAACGAAAGATATTTTAGGTAGATATAGATATTACTATAAATTACTATTATAGGTACATATGAATAATATATAAACAGGTTAGTCAAGTTAACCATTTTTTATTTGAAATTGTTCAAATAAAATCCTAATACTAAATACTAATTTAACTAAATATACCATACAGTTACATTTTAAATACACGTTTTTATACGCGTTGTGACAAAATATAAGATTTAAGTAGATTTAAGCATTTACTTACCTTATATATACGGTATATATATATACATACCTTATATATATATATATATACGTGTCTATTACACTAAGTATATATTAATATTGCAGGTCGTAGTTACATAGAATATTGTAAATTTACAATGCATAGCAATTTTAACATTTAACTATTTATATAAAACTAATAATATATTTTATTCGAGAATAGTTTATTATATTCTTATTAAAATGGCAAAAAAACAAAAAAAAAATAGACAATTTATAATAATATATTACCTTCTTAAAAATTGAAAAATTCTATGGAACGTCGATAGAATATTGAAAACGTGGCGGAAAATATTACAATATTCAGGTGTGTATATTATTATAGGTACGTAGGTATTAGAAAACTGAACGACTCGGTTGTTATGTGGCGATTAAAAATTGTTTTGTATACGTGTAATTTTTTTTTAGAAAAAAAAGAAAAAAAAGAGATTACTTAAAAAAAAAGAGACAACGTAAAAAAAAGAGGGACAGCGGCGTGTCCGTCCCGAGTGTTGTCGAAATCAGTACGCAAGCGCCAAAAGATGATTTGCACGGTCTCTATTGGTCGGCGCTATTATGCGAAAATGCACAAACCAGCAACTGTACGATTTTGTCGGATCTCGCGCCTTATTTAATCTTCATACGCATACGACGTCCAATCTACGCGGGTGCGCTGATGCTTCGGGGACGGGTATCCGACAAGCCGAAAGGCGCCAGGTATGTGTACCATTAAATTATTACATTGTTTTAATGTAAATTACATCGTTGTTTTATTTTTTATTTTTTTTTTTTCTTAATTTTCTATCGTTACCATATCCTACTATTGAATGTCAATTTCGTTGCAAAGTCGGTACTTTCGGGGAGAAAACAAATGTATACCCCCGGGTATAACATCTGTACGTAAATTAATTTTTATTTCCGATACATATTTTAGAACATTATTATTTCTAATATATTTTGTCCATTATCGAATCTCGACATTTTAATCGGTATATATGCTGGTTGAATTAGAGTTACAATAATTTACAAAATACATGGCTGCGGTTAAAATTATTATAGTTATTAAGTTATAACAGTAAATAACATACGACTATGTTAAACGTATCGAAATCACGTTACAAACAATATTATAAATATTATAGGTACTTGACTAAAATATTATTTGTTGAACTGAATGATGTAAAATATATTTGAATATGTATATCGTGTATACATATAATTATATAGACACAAATATATATTTTCTTTTAATTTTATTTCAGAAACTAAATAATTTAAGATCAATTTTATTACCTGTGTACAATACGTATATGATATATACGTACATTATATTATATTTAATTTGTCAGACATTTCAATGTATATTTTTTTTTGGTTTTTAATATTTTTTCAGGTAGAATATTATTATCAATTATTATTTTCCCGGGGATTATTGTTATATTTGTCATTCAGTAACATTTGCAGTGGTAGTTACAAGCATCATAATATGTGCTATGGTTCCCATTTAATTTATTAGTAAATAGTATTACATCAGCATAATATGTAGGTATATAATATTATAATAATATATATAGTTAATAATGTTTAAAACGAGAGTACATTTTTTCGACAACTTTTCGAAAGGCGAGATTGAATTCTAATAAGTTTTGTTATACAATTTTAATGGTAAATTCAATACTAAATGATGTTTTCATGTATATATTTATATGCAGTATGTATTTCATGTATAGTGTGTATACCTATCGGTGTTTGAATCGGAAAAATTAAAGTAGATGAGCTCTGCGTTAAGCCAAAAAAAAATATCATTTTTTATAATATACTATATAAAAATACCTACAGTAACCGTTATAAACGTTATGACCGTGGTCGTTTCCTTTATCATTTCACGAATTCCGACGCTTCTTATATCAATTAACTATAGATTACTATAGAAAGCAAATAAAATGGATATGGATAATAAATGCATAAAATAAAAAAAAAATGTATAACACTGCGATACATTTTAAATAATTTTATTCACCGTTCCTCCGTACCGGAATGATAAAATAGTAGGGTACCCCAAAAAAAAAAAAAAATGTTCAATACATCAAATTCAAAAAAAAATAGTATTTATCTTTTCTTTTTGTTATTTAAAAATTAATGTTGATATATGTTTATAATATGCGGAAAAAGAATAAAATGTTGAACATATTTTAAATAGGATCATTAAAACGATTCTATATAACTACTGAAGAAATTCAAAATCAATTTCGTAAAAAATTGATGGATCATAATAAAAAAAGTCACCTGGTATTTTGTTTCTCTGAAGTTTATATTTTTATATCGTTAAATAAACTGTGACGGATCCAAGGGAGACAATGGTGATGATCGCCTCCTCCCTATCGTTCTCAAATACACTGTTAACCAATTATATGACATAAGCGTCAAAGGTGTAAAAATAACAGATCATTTGCGCCAAAATTAATATTTTATACATGTTATGTTATATAAGTAGATATTTAAAAATATTCAAAATTGTCAATAATCGATAAAATATAATGTTCATAAATATAATTTTAATGAATTGGTTGATTTTTTCGATCTTTAAAAATATTTAAAATTGTCAATAATTAATTAATTAAACGTTTGGAGTTCAAAACTGAATATTACAGAGACACGGTTAATAAATAAATTTATTATATATATATGTATCTATTAACCGTGGTACACAGGTATAGGAAGCTATAAAACAGCCGAACATGAAATTAGAAAATATTAAAACTGAAAAATATTTTTGCTGACAGTATTTCGGCCGAAAATAAAACAACCGATTCGCCCGAAACTCTACTAATTATCAACTTGTAAATTTCTTATCAATGTTTTTAATTAGAAAATGTTGAATAAGAAAACTTTGAAGTTTGAACGTCGATATTTTGATCAAAATTTGATAGAACGTGCAAATTTTGAGTTAAAATTCCGACACAATACTGAACAAACAAAAAATAATAAAATGACAACATTATACAACAAATATACATTGTTTAATTAAGTATTAAATTATTATTATTTTTAATTTCAACCGTTTGTAAGTTTTTAAATTATTCAAGTGTAGTTAAACATCCACTTACACATGTTGGATTTATTATCAAAACTAAAAAAATATACTTTCCAATTAACTTTAATTATTAAAAATTCAAATAATATAGAAGCGGATTAATTAGGGCATCTGAGATGCGTTGTCTGAACAGCCAGACTGACGGTGGCCCGTTCGAATATTCAGATTTTGATAACGACATGCGGCCAAAATTTTTGACCGTTGGAAGGCAACGCAAAAACCGCTATCAGCGATTTATAAATTATCAATTATCATACATTCACCTATAAGTATACTCAGTAAATAGAGCTATTTTGCCTATAGGTATTTGGTTGTTTGTCGGGAATTCGGAATGGTCCTAAAGGTGTCCGTTAATCTTAATAGTTCAATATCCATATTCAATAAAATAATTTTATTTTAGAAAAACTGTGCTATTATTAACAAATTTATTATCTTATCAGTGACTGACCGTCAACAATTCTGTTCGACGGGATGACCGATTTGGTGATAGCCAGGATACACAAAAGCCGTCCAGGCAACGCATGCGACGAGCGGCCTAACTGTTTAGGCAACGTACCAGTGGTTAACTTTTCTCTCATTTTTATTTATATATTATCAAATATCACGCGTTATTGTTTTTTGGAAATTTTAACCTAATAGCTTTATGACAGTCGGCTGTAGTATTTTCAGATAAAATACTATTGTCTTAAATATGGTTCGACCGAAATAATTTTCGGCTGAAATACTGTTCGGCTGATTTATTTTCGGTATTTTGCACGCTCCCCACAGGTAGGTACCTAGGATTTTGGCGCTTTCGTACGATACGATTTTTTTTTCTTATCTTATTTTGGTGCTTACCTCTTCCGCCGTATTAACCTTCATAGCTTAATTTATCATTGAAATATTCTTGAATTTATGCCTTATGTGAATTTTAAAAATCATCCCCCTCTCCGTTATCGTATCTTGGATCCATCCTTGTCTATAGAAAACACTTATAATAAGCATAATAATAATTATTAATTATTATTATGTCCTATACCCATACCTATACTATACATAAATAGATTTAGAAAATCGATCAAAAATAATTGGAACCCTTATTTTATAAAATAAATTTCCTCCGTTTATTAAACTTTCGACAAAATTTCAGGATTGTTTAATTAAAATATTGATAAGTTTCGAAATAGGTAATTAGTTCATTACGAAGTATTACATGTTTAACAATATTAAATGAGTACCTTCGTGTGGATGATGCACGCCTGTGTTAGATTATTCTTGTAATTCAATTCCAAGTGCATTATAAACTGACGTGAAAGGTGAAATATTGTTCGTTTTTTTTTTTCTGTAATTTACTGGTGGGTTTGTGTAACACTGGATAATGGTGGATTTTTATACTGTGTATATGTGTATATTTTATCGAGAAATCAAAAAATTAGTTTTCCACAATCGTGCATAATGTCATATTATAGCATTGTGCCGCGGTCGGGAACGTTCCCACGGGAAGGAAAGTTTGATGGAAATATTTCTGGAAATATTCCCCAAGTCTACTTTTCAAAGTTTCCGAACGTAATTATTGTATAATACATATAATTAGAGAAGCAGGGTGAGAGAAAGCTATACATAATATACGGTTATACGATAATAGTGCAGGTTACGTAGAATAATAAATTATCTATGAAAGGTCGGATAACAAGTCTGATATTATTGCTGTCAAAACATTTACACATTATCTATTATTTTTTGTTATTAAAAAATCTATAATCTGATGATTCATAATTTAAAAAAATCAGTAAGAACATTTATTACCCAATGTATATTTTTTTATTGGTAAAATTGAATAGATCATTGCAGAAATTTGGTATAATTACAGGCTAAGTTCTTTATACTCAATGCATCAACACCAGCATCAAACGCTTCATTTGAAATTTTGAATTACACACCGAGTACCAACTATAATTCAAATACTTATTCGAACAAAAAAAAACTTTCATACTAATTACTACAGAAATATTAAAAACATATATCCGGGGTTTAGTCCCCTCAAGCCCCCCTAATTTTCACCTAAATAGCCTGCAGACAAGTATCGCGTAATTTTTAGATATACCTACCTATTTATAAAAATTAAAGTTCAATTACAATACAGCACGAGCCATTTTTGATTTGCTGAAATCAAAAGGATTTTACAGAACAGAATTATTGTTTATGAATATTAATATGCAACCTTCGATACCAATGCAATTTAACTACAGAAAAACCAATCGAATACATTTTATTTAAAATCTTCGTAACTATATAATCTGGATATAGTTATAACTATTCAATTTAAGACTGCAACAACTCAAAACAGGACTTAATGGTTCCATGATCATAGGTCAGGTTATCGGACCACTTTATTCAATTCATATAATATTAGTTTTTTGTTTTATACATTTTCAAATAAAAATTAAGGATGACTATAATTTAAAAAAGTGTCCTGATCGATCTCGTGAACATCTCACGCTGCAGATAATTATTGAAATCTATTTTCAGAATTTTTATTGGTTCACTATACAGAAATCGAACTGATTGAAGGAAAATCAGTTTGCAACCGGTATCCAATACAATCAACATATTAATATTTTAAACACACTATAGGACGATCACTCAATTTCAAATTTGATTTGAACATTTCATAATTATTTTATCGTTATGATAACTTTGTTTAACCACTCGACAACAGATTTGTTTACGTTCTCGGCACGTATATATCCCTGCACATAATATAATATTATATACTATACCTCTTTGTATTTAGTGTACTTAATGAATTAAAAACATACGGCAAACGTGCACATGTAATGGCATAAATGGGCTTTATGTTTTCATATTTCGACCGCGAGGGCATTGTTGTTTGATAATTGTCGGTTAATTAAACTCGACGTGCGCCGCGCGCGTCCAGTATGATTGTGTGTCGACGACAGTTCAATCATGTACACTAGCCACGGCTAAAGTCATCGTCACGCATCCCCCTCCTCCCTCTCACGCGTTTTTTATATTGTACAATATTCCGCGGTCGCGGTAAAAAAAAGAAAAAAAAAAAAAGAATAAAAAGTGTAAAATAAATAACATTAATAATAATTGGTTTAAAATTTACTAACAGTCGAACAAAAAATCATAAAAATAGTTATATTTATACGAAAAGCTACATAGTTTTAGTGTTTGATAAACTGACATTACATTAAATTTTCATCGCAGGAGAGCAGGTGGTGCGGGATAGTTCGGCGGTGCTGTCGGGGGGGTGGTCGCGATGGCCATGCAAGACGAAGAAGAATGTTGTGACGGTGGAACCGATACACCGCCGGCGATTGTGATGGAACGGCGTCGGCGACCGGGCAGAGAACAATGGTCGAACAAAACGGATTTCTTGATGTCCGTTATCGGATTCGCCGTAGACTTGGCGAACGTGTGGCGATTCCCGTACTTGTGCTATAAGAACGGCGGAGGTAAGCAATAAGCATGTTCACGGGATTATATATAAGGTTAAAAGTTGGGAAGGTATAGAGGGAATATTTAATGTACATCTGTATGCAACGATTGAACGATTAATTATTGTAACGAAAAACAATTTTGAGTGGAGTTCGGTTTTACATGTTTTGAAAGGCCGTTGTATTTACGGTTTCAAAATAATATATTTCGTAAATTTTTCCACTTTTCCTACCTTTTTTCCTAATATTATGAAAACCATTTGGAAAATAAAAAAATGACTTCACTTAGTACCATCCAAATAAAATTTCCTTTCAGAAAAGATGCTAAACTTTAAAATTGGAGCAAGATTTCTGGTAGAAAAGGTACACCACTTACCTTCCCCCTCATCCTAGTCATGGTCATGAGAACTTTTATAATTTAAATAAAAATGTACAAGTAAATCTAAGAATTATTTATATAAAATTGTATAAAGATAACAAGTTAAATATACCTATATAGATATCGCACAATTCTTCGATAGTTATAATTCGCAATAAACCATTATTCTTTTTAGAATATTTTTTAAATTGTATATAACTATAAAATCGTGTTTTGTAGACAACGATGATTATTTGGAAAACGTAATAAGTATGCATCGAACATTTTTTAGTTCATGTAATAATAATAACTATAATAATTGTTTTAATATGGAACATTTTGCTTTTTGAAATGGAATAATAAAAAATTAAACGGAAACCATTTTTTCTACTACTTTGGTAAAAACGAAGTACCTATCTGTAAAGTCTTGTTATAAGATTTTTGCAATGGCCTTGTCATAGTTATAAGTATAAAATAAATGCAGAAAGTGAGGAGAAAAAAAACGAACCGTTTAAGGAGTAATAAAAAAAAAAAAAAAAAGGAGAGAAGAATGAATATCTGCAAAAGAACGAGTGCTCCGGAACTGATGACAATTTTCTTGCTCGATCGCCTTTGCTAAAACGTATTCAATGATATTATATAGATGAATTCAGTTAAAAGGTTTTTGAAATGTTAAAATGTATTTACACGTCGTTCGATATTAATAAAAAGAATAAGCTTAAATAGGTAATCACTAATAGAAAATGTTTAAATAAAAACCATTTATTTTTGCATTTGTATACAGGACAACTTAGGAATCTGAAATTGTAGTCCATTAATACCATATTAGTGTAATATTATAGATGATACTTTAGATTTATAATATATGTAATATATATGTACAGTAAACGTATACTTATACATCATTTAAATTAAATAAACGTCGGCAAGAATATTTTTAAGCACTAACATGCTAAAATGGCTTTTTCTTAGGCCGCATAATGTTAATTTTAATTTTAATTTATTGTTGTGCAGATTGTTTTTATTTATTTATAATTAGAAAAAACTATTCATATAGTTCTCAAATTGTAATAACGGTTCTGAGTGTATATAGCTCAGCAATCAAATTTTAACACTTTCTCGTATTTTTCAGTTTTTTAAATTATTAAGATATAGCTAAGCAGTTACCTATCTAAAATATCATTTGTGTTTTATAATTCGTTTACTATAATATAATTGTAACTGTAATGTAACTATGTAACTTTTTAAACTTTTAAACTAGGTATTCTAAAAAGTGCAGTTAACCGAAAAGTTAAAGTAACAAAAAAAAAAAACATACTATTCGAAAACATACTTTCGCTTGGTTGGAATTCAAAATTAGGCTATATTATATATTGTTTTCGGGACAAATATAATATGATGATTTATTACTTATTGGTCCATGCCACTCCATGCGACATACTAGAGTACATAATTTTCCAATTAATCCTTTCATAAAGAATCGCTCTATCATAATATTATGAGTACTTAAAACTGGAAAAAATTAGTTAACGAGTATTAGGTTTAATGTATTCTCTCGACAAAAAATGAGTTAAAAAAAAAAAAAACATACTTATAATACCTTGGACTATGGTTGATACAATGAGGGTGCAAGCTAAAATCGTGTTATATATGTTCTAAAAAGTATATTAACCGAAATCATATATGAATAATGAAAAACCTAGCTCCTCTTCAAATTTAAAAAATTACTATATTATAATTACTATGTTAGTATGTCATAGTGATATATAAATATTACACACACATTATACATATATTAAGCATAGGTAATAGGTATAGGTGGTTCGTTAGGTGTACCTAAAGAAGACAGATCATATACTTATTTCTATAATATGTAACTATTGACGTCAATTGATTTTAATTGTTTAGAAAATATACCTATTGACATTTGCTCATAAAAAATGTTCGAATTATTAAAGTAAATAAAGTTTTGTTTTTATTTGTAAATATTATATACATAATCGAGTACATTTTTGGATAACAGTGTATATATCTAAATATACTGGTATCGTTCACCGATCAGTATTGAACTCTAGTTCAATGGCGCGTCTGAGAAACAAATTTGAAGAGAAGAGCAAAATATGAAATAGCTTACTATACAATTTTATATAATTTATGTTTTATATTAAATCGTAGGTATTGTATTGATATACAATATGTAAATGATATACAAACATTCATTATTATAATTTTTTAAGTTTTTACGGGGGCAAATCCCCATGGTACCCATGGCTGCAACTGAATAGGTCGCAACAAGAGTATTACGAGGCACATTTTTTAGTTTTTAAAACGAATACTGTATTATTATATTATGATGTCATATAGACGTCACTTAATTTTTATTTTTCCCCTCACAAATTATTAATAACCCGAAATGAGTAAGGCGGGTGCGCCGGAATATTTTAAAACAATAGACGTCCCGAGTGATACATGTATATGACAAAAGTGATTTATGAACACCCGTACATAACATATCCATAATGCACTTGTCGGACCATGACTTTTGGTCCACCTTGTGCATTTCGTTCGAACCCGAATCATGAAAATATAGGTATATGACGTACATACGTGTATAGTTTTATGAACATAGGGAAAAGGGACCCTCTGAGTATACGGATTTAAGTAGACGTGGCGTCAATTAAAATGATAAATTTAAAAATATTAATATGCCTTTGAATTTGGTTATTAATTTTATAAATAAAAATTATATAATTATTTTCAGGAAGATAATTATTAACTATTAATAGTATTTTTAACAAAACAAAAAAAACACAAGCATTCTAGATTTTATCCTGAAACAAATTTTAAAAAACCGGATAAATAATGAGGAGACTAGAGAAGTACCAGCTATAGTATTTGCAAAACTTTTCCAGTCTGATTTTTACAGATCCATAGTAGTTCGTAGATGATCAAAGGGCTTCCTACAGGAAATGAGAAAATTTTGTTAACAGCAGGAAATAATGTTCGAACACACGGAAATAGCTCATTACTGATAAGGTGTATGTAAAGACCAAATCCTGCATATTATACCTTCAGGGATATTGAGAATCAAACAGTATTAACGTAAATTATATTATCGTTTTCAAATTATTCACCATTCGGAATTATTTTCACTACCTATATGAATTCTTATAATTTAAATTTCCCTGCGAAATACTATATTATATATTTCTTTAGATATATATTATTTATAAAGGTAGGTACTTCACTTACATTCAAATTAAGTAATTTTTTGAGGAACCGATTTTAATTGTTTGTTTTTATTTTTAGTAGTTCTATAATTTGTTTAGTACATATACCTAATAGTAACTAATAATTATATAAATATCGATTATTTTTTATAAATTTTGTATCTTTAATAAAATATTTTCAGTTAAACATATATTTTACAGTTTTAATAAAAGCTGCTTGAATATAGTTTTGGGTGTTCACTGAACTTGAAATTTGTTTGTGGGTGGCTTAAATTTGTTATGAATTTATGATAAAATTGATTGTTTTTCAAACCGTAGATCGTGCCAATTGTATTTTTCCTTTTAGTAAGTATTGTTTTAGGTTGTATTATATTCGCAGAGTGTGATGCGCTAACTGGACATTATTTTTCTACTAATTGAACCACTAAATAAAATATTTAAATCCATCTCTGCATTCATATATGTATAGGTAGGTAGTACAATATACATACTTGAGCGGAGAAGAAAACTTAAATAACTATATCAGTAAATCATTCTATGATTCTTACAGGAAATATAACGTCTTTGTAGTATAGATACCTAAGGATATTAATATTGAAGAACTACAGATGTAGCTATAGAATCTATAGTATAAAGTATAGTTCTTTTTACTTGTAAAATTTACTTGAATAGTTTTGCATGGTGGTGTATTCACTCATGTGTAAATCAGATAGCGATTATTATTTTTTATTATTATTCATAAACTCGTAAATAGTAAAATCGTACATATTTTGTAAATATTTCACGTTTAGATTTCTATTTGAAATTTTGATTTGAATCTATATGGATTATAAAAAAAAAAAATATTTTCATTATAATATTTTATTCAGTTTTTTTATTCGTGGCTATACGTATAAAATTATGCTATAAAAGTATAAAATGTATTATTATAAGTAGGTACCTAGATAAAAATCTATTGAAAAAATATTATAGATATCAATACGTATTTTAGACTTCGAATATAATATTGTATTATAGGACTATATTATCGTACTATGTTTTATTTCTTAATTCGGATAAAATTAGATTTAAATTCGTCTGAATGAAATCGGAATAATATAATGTAATACGTTCAATAATATCGTAATGTTTCATATATAAAGTAACACAGAGTATTAAATAGGTACTCATCATATTTTTACGTTTGATATAATATTTGTCTCGTTCTTTTGGACCGAAATGAAACATAATGTACGTTAAGTATCGAGCATTTATTATCATTGTTCATAATAATATTATATTATTCCCCACTTTAAGGATTTTCCTCTCGTCATTCTTATATACTATATATACACCACGTTAGAACGACTTTTCATGCTCCGGATATATGATATAACATAAACCTCTTACGTGGAATATTCTTGAATTACAGTGATGAAATTCTGACAGATAATACCCACCTCTGCTTCTTATTTGCGAACGGTAATAGTCTCGGAAAAATATTAATTTGAATCAAATCCGTACTTTAGGCGTATAAACAAATTAACTAGGTACCTATGTATTTAATATTATATTTTATTAAACCGCGATTTCATTAGTTCGAGAAAATCTCTGCAATTTTCTTTTTTTCATTTATATTTCAAAACAATTTTCCTCAGGACAATATTCAAGCATATTTGTATGTTCGTAAAATATTTTAGTCGTTGAATAACATTTTTATAGTTGTTATATAAAATAAGTGAGTTCAATACCTATTCAAATTATTTATAATATAATTTGAGAACACAAAGTATGTTTTAATTTTAAAAACCAAATTATAATTACGTTATACTTATGTTACAAATTGTTTAATTCTATGTACGTCTTTGATATTTATAATTAGCTCGTGCACATGATGATGTATTATTTTATTTCAAACATGATAGACAGTATATTAATATTATTCAAGGTGTAGAAATACACTATACCGTATCCGTATAATTTTCCTTCTACTATATTAGCTTGATTCGATAAATTATAATATACTGTACTAAAACAAGATAATGATATTATAATAATATTTGAGTAGCTATTATGCCTATAATTTTAATGCAATATTCCGAAGCTCTTTGTCGTCTTTCATTTATATGATCACTGATTCACCTAACCTATTCAATTATTATTATGTACATACTGAGTTTCCTTTATCATTAATAAAATGTACTTATGCATATTAAATTTCATACCACTTTGTCTTGTCATTAAAGAGAAAGGTACTCATGCTTAACACTATATGAACGTTTGTAAGCTAAAAATTAAATTATTTTGAACATGGTATTGTATTATATTTTACACATTCGTGTTAAAAAGCATTATCTGGGTGTAGACACGATACTGTAAATAAAGGCAAAGTTATTAAATTGATATTTTAATTTCAGATTTTTAAAAGACGATAGGCTCATTGTTTCAAATAAGTTTACAGTATTATATATAATATACATTTCCTGTAGAATTTTATCTATTCCGTCCTTATATTTCCGTTGAAAGGAAAATTAAATAATACAAATAAATATTTTTCGAAACTCAATTGAGCGATACCAATAATGATTCTGACGAAAATAATTCAAAATATTATTATAATATCAAGCCACCAAGTTTTTTTTCGCTATCAGCTTTAACGTAACTGAATAATAATAATATATTTGTTCAATAAATATGTGGCTCTAATATTATTGCCTATATGAAATGCCTACTATATAATAAAGTACTTAGTGAAAATAATAAATCAAAATGCAAATTCAAGTAAAAGAGCTGATACTGGGGACGAGTGTGCTATTGTTGTAGATAAGAAGTTGGGAAGATAGGATGTAGAGGAAAATTTAATTTATATCTGTACTCAATGATATACCATTACTAACGAAAAACTATTTGGAGCGAAGTTCGATTATGTGTATATAAATATATATGTTTTGAAAGGCTATAATATTTACGATTTTGGTCGAAATCTGGTATTAAAATTCTTATAAAAAAAAAAAAACTAAATTACTCAATTTTTTTGTTTTACCACAAAGAACGACTTACAATGAAACTCCTGTTAATTTTTCTTGAATTGCTATTTAGCTCAACAACTTTATCCACATAGTACCTACCGAATAAAAATTTCATACAAAACGTACACAATTAAAAATGTTTATAAATAGCTCAAAAATGACACAATAATGTTCTCAACATTTTACCAATTCTGTCCGAACTTCAAGTCCCTGCGAATATATTTAACTGAATTACAACAAAATTGAAAATGGCAAAAGCATTACTTTCTTAAATTTTCCAGTTTTCCTACGTTTTTCCCAATCATTATGAAAACCACTTGGAAAATGACATCCTTAAAATACCAAGCAGATAAAATTACTTTTCAGGTAAGGTATTACACTTGATATATCGGAAAAAGATTTCTGGTAGAAAAGTTGCTTATAGAAATAAAATAAAAAGATAAATATCATTGTAAATCCAATACATTCCTCGTTATCTTTCGAATCTAATATATATATAGTATAAAATGTATTAATTTGTATTTTCTAAATTCGTACTATTTTTCCACAGGGGCGTTCTTGATACCGTACTGTACCATGTTGTTGGTCGGAGGCATTCCTTTGTTCTACATGGAATTAGCCCTAGGGCAATTTTATCAAACTGGCGCAATAACATGCTGGGGTAGATTGGTTCCATTGTTCAAAGGTGAGTGACAATTTACTTCCGGTCATACTATAAATAATTCATTTTCAATTCTCAGATTTTATTTTATTATAATGTATGTACCTTTGTATATATTTACATAATTATGCATACATAGGTATTGGTTATTCGGTGGTTTTAATTGCGTTCTATGTGGATTTCTACTATAATGTAATCATAGCGTGGGCATTGCGATTCTTTTTGGCTTCATTCACGGATATTTTACCTTGGACCACGTGTGATAATGACTGGAATACAATGTTTTGTCAACCGGTAAATTGTATTTTTAATTTACTATAATATTATTATGTGCAGCCTATAAATGAATGGCTAAATGTAGAAAGGGCACAATATGTTTAAGAAAGACAAAAAACTTAATATTTCTGAAAAAAATTAAAAATTAATTTTATGTTAATAACTAATATTAAAGTGTTAGATATTTAATGATATCTAATGACAGCTTTTACTTACTCTTAAAATTCACAAAGAAAGCGCTTAAAAAAAGCTTTGAAAAAACACTTAAAAAATATTTAATAAATCGAAAATGATTGAGGAGTTTAACAAGCTCTCTAATAGCTTTAAATTATTAGATACAATTTTTTAACACTACAAAAAATATTAACAATTAAGTATTTTTTCAAAAATAAAATTGTGAACATTATAAAAAAATTACTTTGTGATGATAATTTCTATAGTATTTGTTTTTTTAAGTGTTTTTTTTTACATTTTTAAGCGCTTATCTATAATTTTCTACAGTCATTTTATGACATATTATACAACTAGATGCTTTTTGTCTTAAATTTTAAATATGCATCCTTTCTGAACTTAGAGAGTATCGAAGTATTATTAAAACGCCACGCACTCTGCGGCCACACAAACGATACTCCATTATTCTGCCCTTACCCAAACTTAAAACTGTAATATGTCGTAAACGGGTTGATGGAAATCAAAAATATCAACACTAAAATTTAATTAAACAAACAATCCGTTTATTTATGGACATTTTAGTATATGTTACCATTTGAAAATCAAAAGTAGATAGTTCTAGTTCAAAAAATAAGGGTGACAAAAAATAATGGCGTTGTAAAATTTTAGAGCTACTTTAATAAAAAATTGTTTAGTTTCTTAAATTGTCAAAAAATAAATCCGAAAAAAGTTAATACTTTCTAATATATCAAGTGATCTTAATCTTCGTAGGATATGCTGTGTACCAATATATATTATTTATTACATTTTATTTAATGATGTATTGGTATTATATAATTGAAATAATAAAAATCCTATTTTGCTTTAAATATTGATTGTTATTTAATCGAAAACTTTAATTGTTAGAAATGCTCTTAAACTCATAAGTATAATAAATCGTACAAATATATTATTTTAATTAAGTTAAAAATCTTACCATTAAATATTCCATCAATATAATAAAAATTTATATCAATAAATTAACATCATGCATATGATTGAAATATTTTTTTGTTAAAAGTTTTTTACTATACTATTTAAAAAGACTGTTTTATATGAATAACAATACAAATAATAAATAACAGATAATTGTTATTGTTATTATTTTGTTTTTATAAAATCGACGAAGAGTTAAATTTTTAGACTATTGTGGTTTGACTTTAAAATTTTTAAATTTAGCTTACAATATGGTCAAATGATTCAAGTTTAAACTCAATAGACAATGTTACAGTCATGGCAAACGATTCCCGTTTAGCAAGTGCTTCTTCGGAGTATTGGTTGTAAGTATAATACTTACCAAGTTTTACAGCGAATTATTAAAAAATATTATACCTACTGCTTATTATTTATACTAATTCATTATTGATATTGTTAGATTATTAAAATATGTTTTTCTTTAGACGAAAAGTGCTGGAATTAAACCACAGCGAAGGGATTCATGATTTAGGTTACATTAAATGGGACATGGCAGGATGTTTGTTTTTGGTTTATGTGATATGCTACTTCAGTTTATGGAAAGGAATATCTACGTCCGGAAAAGTTTGATATTTTACATTTTTACTATTTATTATTAAATGCGCAGTGCATATAAATAACGATTCTTAAATTGATTTGCTACCCCACAGGTTGTTTGGTTTACTGCATTATTTCCGTATGTAGTATTAATATTTTTACTCACCAGAGGAATTACCTTACCGGGTTCCGCTGAAGGAGTTCGATATTACTTGTATCCGAACTTTTCTATGATCGCTAAACCAGAGGTAAAATTCTTCAACTATTTATTTTTTTTACACATTTATTATTTATAAAATACCTATACTAATAATACCATTATGTATGGATAATAGATTCATTAAGTTATTGTACGCACAAGTACGAGTATGAGATGCTAATAAAACAGCCAAAAATAAATGTATGCAAATTATTTAATCCAAAAAATATTTGAGTAGAGGTGTTTGAAACGTATTTTGCAGACTGAAGAGTATTTGATACGAAATATAACGCACGAAAATATTCAATCTGAAAATAAATGAATCAAAAATATTTAATCTGAATATTAGTTTATCAAAACCGTATTTGATTAGAAAATTAGGTATTTTAGACGAAAATATTTTGTCTAAAAAATATTTCATCCAAACCGTATTTTATCCAAAAATGTTTCGTGGATAAAAACATAGACATATTCAAATTCAATATAACATATTTAATATATTCAAATAAAGTTTCAACTACATTATCTATCTAACTATTCGTACCATTTAAATAGGTACTTACACATAATAGACTATTAGTTCAACACTGACTTAAATGTTATTTTTTAATGTGACACTGTGAAACATTTTCGGATAAAATTTTTTCTGATATAATATTTCGTGTAAAATACTTTTCAGATCAAATACGGTTTTGGCAATATATTTTTCGGATTATATAGGTACCATTCGTATAAAATATTTTTTTAAGCACACTTTCGAGTAAAATACGTTTGGGTAATATACCCTTTGGCCAAAATACAATTTTCGAATATTTTACGTGGATCGACCACACGAGTATATATAGAAAACAAATAATAATTTAGTAGAATTTTATTTTATAGGTAGTTGTCAACATGAAATTATTATTATTGTTATTTTTAATTAAACGATCGAATATACCATACAATTCTGCAGAATTATTTAGAAATATCAAGAAAAAAATATATTATACATGTATAATAAAAAATAATAAAATCATTTCGCACATCAAAACACTTCTGCACATAATATCTGCTTAATATTATTCGCCACATATTTTTATTATACCAAAATTATACAGCTGTTTACGTATTCCAACAACATTTTCACGTATAAAGAATTGTATATAGACGTCCATTATGAGCACCCATCAACGAAATGGAATTGTCGTGTCAAAATGAGCTTTCCTTTTCATGTTGAATCCCATATTGACCACTATAAGCACTAACCAGTCTAAGTATACCTACGTATAAAATAAAATATCAACAATTTGGAATATAATATACGGCTTTTTTATACTAACTTTTTGAATTATTTTATGAACAATTTTGACATACGATAGGATACATATACTTGCTATACTGTATATACACATGACACACATCGCTGCACTCTGTGCTTACTATATATAATGTATATATTGTATATATTATATAAATTATTCTATAGTTGCCGTAAGTACATAATATAAGTAAGTATAGTATCTAGTATAGTGAAGCATTGGAAATCCTTAACTATATTTCGTAGGTTTATATTATTTACGTTAGGTTGTATTATTATACAGTACATAGTTTAAAACTCGAAAGTTCTATATAGACTATAGAGGGATAAAAACTTTTACTTTGGCGTTTTTCGAGTTATTTATCAGCGAGATTTTGTTAAAAATAAAACATTTAGGGTTAGGTATCTATTATGTAATTTACAAACACGTATGAGATTTTATTTTTGCATAATAATTGAATACATTTGTATACCTATTGCACTATCCTATATAATAAAACACCTATTAGTTCTATGAAAGATTTAGCGGTTAAAGATTGTAAGAAGTTAAATATTATTATAGTTAAATACCAATAATGTAGTTTTGTTGTAGGTTTGGGTGGACGCGGCTACACAAGTATTTTTTTCACTTGGTCCTGGATTCGGGGTATTATTAGCCTATGCCTCGTATAACAAATATCATAACAACGTTTTAAGGTAAATGTATTTCGATTGTTTAATATATTTTAAGTAAAGAAGTGAAAACTGAGCCATATTAAATAATAGGTATCTGGTATATTAAATATAATAAAATATTATTGTTTACTTTGTTATAATAAAAGTCTCCAATTTTACAATTGCGTATAAACCTAATTCAATTTCAGCTTTCTAAATAATTTAGTTGTTGTATGTGAAAAATTTAATACTGTGTCGCTTTTCTTCTAGCATCGATCCTTTTTCTTATTTTCTAAAGCGTTTTTCATATAGGTAAATTAGATAAATAACGCTACTTATCACTAGAATCGTATGACTAATTTCAAAAATAATAATAATCAACTGAAAAATATAATTTTTTTTTCATTATATTACAGGTTATTTGAATGAAACGTTAGCTGAGAATAATATTGATATCAGAGTCATTATTATTTGCAAATCTAAATTATAAGAAATAATATAATTAACATACGCGTGTTGTTTTATGTGATCGTTTAGGGATGCGTACTTGGCAATTATGTGCAATTCGATAACGAGCTTTTTGTCCGGATTTGTCATATTCACTGTCTTGGGTTACATGTCCCATGTTTCTGGTCGGCAGATTCAACACGTGGCCACCGAGGGACCCGGTTTGGTCTTCATCGTTTACCCAGCAGCCATAGCAGCTATGCCAGGATCCGTGTTTTGGGCTTTAATATTCTTCATGATGTTGCTTAACTTGGGCCTTGACAGTTCGGTATAATAAACAGTTAAATAAATAATTTTGATTTTGTGAATGTATGAGATCAATCTATATATATATGTACAGTTTTTTTTTTATATTTGATGTTCAGAATTGATTATATTTTTTTTATTAAATAATAGTTATAATATATATTCTATAATATATTACTTGATATTACTAATATTTATTAATTTCAGTTTGGAGGTTCGGAGGCAATCATAACTGCAATGAGCGATGAATTCCCATTGATCAGACGTAACCGAGAAGTGTTCGTAGCGTTATTATTTCTTCTCTACTTTGTAGTAGGTCTCGCGTCATGCGCTCAAGGAGGATTTTACTTCTTCAATTTACTCGACCGTTACGCTGCTGGATACTCAATGCTCATTGCCGTACTGTTCGAAACTATTGCTGTATCGTGGATCTATGGTATCAACGTTTATATTATAATTTTTATAATTTTTTTTTTTTTTTAGTATATCGAAATATATATATAAATAAATGCAAATCCAAATTTACGAAGAACTAATAGATATATGTAAAGTAGTAATTAAAATAATGGCGTACCTGTGAGGGGAGAAGGTAGCATCCCACCCCTGTGGGTCGTATAATTATATGTGTGCATTAGTATTTGTGTATACAATTATTTTGAAGTAATTATTAACAATATAACATGGTCAAATTCATAGATTATATTATTTTTTTGTTATCTATGATCAAATTGGGTCAAGGTTTTTGGTATCAAGATGGACCAGGATTAATTATGAGGGCTTACACTGTTAATTTCATATTTACCAGAAAATAAGTATACCAGCTATGAATTATATAATTGAAAGATTTTCTTCTATAGACAAATTCAAGTCGAAGTTAGACTTTGTATTATAATTTTTTAACATACATTATAAGCTATATATACCATTATATAGGTATATATATAGGTGGTATTTCCTTTTGGATGTACGCCGATAAATCTACCCATTGTTTGTTTTAACACTGTACATAGGTGTATAACACTATTGTGAATCGTTTTGTGTGTTACACAATGAAGGGATAAAAGTACTTACGGACGAACGGTTTCCAATTGGATTACCTCTTATATATTCTTATAGAGACGCGATTTGACGATAGATAAACCTACTGCACAAGTACAATATATATATATATATATATTTTTTTTTTTTACTAGACTTTCTAAATTTTTTTAAACCGTATTATTATTCTGTAATAGTATAAAATGCAATCATAATATTATACAAACTACCAGTGACGCACCCAGGATTTATTTTCGAGATGGAGGGAGGTTTTATAAATTTAAAAAAGTTGATACTACTTACGGGTATGTCATTGTTGCATAGGTGGATAGTTGGGAAGATAAGTATAGGATATACAGGATAATTGAATTTATATACTGTACGCAACTTTAAAAAACGATTCTGAGTAAGGCAGAAATGTAGTGACATTAGTCGTGCTATTTTTCTTGTTGCCAAGATGACTCGGAAATCAAAAAAAATTAAACAACAAAAAAAAACTGCTGAAAATGTCGATAAATGTTACAAATAAAGTACTATCGGTCAAAAATTCCGCATCTTTTGAGATATTACGTGAAAAATTGGAGCTTTTCACTAACCAAAAGTGTTAAAAAAAAGAACAAATAATAATTTTTTATTTTAAAGTTACTTTAAAATATGAACATTTCGAAAAAATGTTCAATTGATGTACCATCAAGAGTATTTTTATTAATCATAAAAGTATTTTCCTAAAAATAAAAAAAAACATTTCTTTATCACCCCTAAAATCTAAAATTGATCTTGATATATTTTAGTTCATTAAATGAGATTAATGGCCAATACCTATAAAATATTCGATTATTTTTGGCAACGTCTGGTAGACCTTAATGCGGACATTAATTTCGTCGATTTTGTTTTCATTATTTGTCAATAGTGTATGTAATGTAGTTTCTTTTTGTAAACTACTGTACTTTGCTAACGAAATGAAGCTCTTTAGGGAAATAAAATCAGCTGATATTTGTATGAGTCTACAAAATAGTTTTGATTGCTAACTGGTGCGTACAATAGGTCTTTAAACTAATGCTTCTAAATGCCGAGTTAAGATGACGTTTACTAGATCTCGTAGGTACTCCTGGAGCTATCATATCTCAAGTACTTACTAAAATTTTACGCATTATTGGCGATGCAATAGGATTTCATTTTGAATTAACGAGGAACCTTAGCGTGTCCAAGTTCACACAATGCAATGATTTCTAGTAGAGCGTTTAAAAATTTAGGGTTCATAATGCGTCTATTAAAAACTTTAAACTACTTAGTAAAATTGCCAAAATCTTTATATTATGCTATAGGCTATGCTATTTTATGATATTTTAGAATATGGATTTATTCTCTGGGATTCGAAAACTGTTACTGATTCTGAACAACTCGAATGTGTCTAACGCAAATTTTTGAGATTCGATTTTTTTTTTTACTATGTTTTTCCTATTTATAATTACTTAGCCTACTCTTGTAGAACGCAGAAGAATAATATTAAATTTAAAATTTATTCGCGGTCTAATAGCAAACCAAATTCACTCTTTATCTTTGCTATCACAAATAAATTTTAAAGTCCCTTCACATACATTTCGTTTTTAAAATATCTTCCATAATCTTAGGTACAATACAAACTATTTATAAAAGGAACCTCTATCTGAGACGTATTGTGTCTTATTTTGTAATGATGACATCCTCATTTTATAATGGTTTGTTTTAATATTTTTATTTTTATTTTTACTATTTCATATTTGTCCTATCTTTGTTTAATTGTTATTTTTAATGTTTTATTTAACTATTATAATCTACATTGGTGCTATTGTACTGTTACACTATGCTATAAAAAAAGGAAGGAGGAAACTCGTATATTTGTAATAAAAAACCTATTTTGTTTCTATTTTACAAATAATTTGTACTATTTTACAGGTGTTGATCGATTCTGTGACGACATCAAAGATATGATGGGCCATATGCCTGGCGTATATTGGAAATTTTGTTGGCGTTTTGCTGCGCCTTTGTTCTTAGTTGTAAGTCTAAAATACCCAACTACATAATAACAAACTGAAATAATATATTATTTATAAACGAAATTTGTATTTTTTGTTCGTTTTTTTTCTTTAAGTTTATCATAGTGTATGGACTGTTGGGCTATGAACCGCTGACTTATGAAGGTTATGTATATCCAGCTTGGGCAAATGTTCTTGGTTGGATAATCGCTGGCAGTAGCGTTGCGATGATTCCGGCAGTTGCACTTTATCAATATATGAATACGTCGGGAACGCCTTTACAAGTAATTACATTTGCCATTATAGGTATTGTAAAATACTGGGTGTATTATTTGTATTATTGTATTGGAATAGTCTATAATAATAGATATAATGGTATTCATTCAATATGCTATCTACCATGAATATTTTATCTATACCTATTTACCATAATTTTATGTTGATTTAATGTGCTATCTACAAATAAAAATTGTCTTACCTTTATATTGCGGTATTTCTAATTGTCATTTTTTTCTGAATTTTTTTTTTAATAACTTCATTCAATTCACCAGCACAAATTGTTAGGTTTTTAATATTTTACTAGGGAGATGTTTGCTAATTAGGTAATATTATAATAAATCACGGTTTTTTAAAAAACGTTCACACATTTCTTTATTTTGAACTAAAGTCAACACAATAATACCTAACTCGTAAGTAGTTGATTCATTTTTTTTTTTGTAAACAGTCTAATTCTTAATTTCAAAATGATTACAATGTTTTCAATATTATTAGATATAATACAATTTGATAGAAGTATAAACTTAATACCAAAATAATAAAGTTTAAACAGATGTATAAGCATACTAAAACCACAGATATATAAAACAATAATTGATACAAACATTTGTATAGATCTGTGACTAAACCAGTAAAAGTAAACCATCAAACGTGCGGTTGATAGCATATTGAACGAATCAAAATAATTTTAAAAAATCTGCAGCAGAGCATTGTAACTTAAGGCAAATTTTCCTTCAATAAAATAAAACCAATAACCAAAGACTATAATAATTCATAATGCAATACTACACTGCAATATTTTACTAGAATTTTTGGGGAAAAAATCTTGAAATTAGAGTGTAGATATGGTAGGGGTGATAAGATAGGTGGAAAGCTGAAACCCTCAAAAGACACATCCTTCAACCATTGATAGTAACACTATATATGAATGTAGGAAAAACAAGCCACGGAAAATATTATCCATGGGACAAATAAACAACGAAAAAAAAGCCAATATTATATTATAATTAGTTACATTAAGTGTTATTAATTCTAAAATTATAGCAATAGTATTTTATACTTTAATAATATTAATGAATGTATTATTATATTATTGTTTACTGATGCCTTAAAGAATAATTTTTTTATATTGATTGTATAATGTGTATTTTATTTTTTTTTATTTTTATTAAAAACTTTATTCGACTTATTTTTAACTTCAGTAACTATTCTAGTGGGGAAATTAATGGTTGGTCGGGGAAAAACAAAAAAAAAAAATTAAAATTACAAAGTATACAAATTGTCCTTTTTTTTCTTTGACTTTTTGTTCTGTGGAATTTTTCTAATTACCCTATGCAAATACAAAATTTCACATCCCCTCTGGCTTCGTTAAGGAGATCTTTAGAGATGATCAAAGCTAAAAACACATATTCCTTCCACAACAATATGGTGAAATTCATATTAAAATTCAATCAAAGTTTTATCATTTCAATGCAACTATGAAAACTTTAATCCCCAAGTTAGAACTCATTTGGTTCAGAAAGACCTACTAAAAGTAACTATCAAAAAGTAGGTAAGTAGATAGTGGGAAAAATTTATACATTTATAACAAACATAATATGGTGAACAACTTGACAATAATGGTAAGTAATGATGATTTTCAGAGATTGAAAATTTTGACTACTCCTTGGCGAGACGAACATGACGACGATCCTATTTCAATAAACGGACTACACATTCTGACTGATCCAGCACAAGTGAGGTTGACCAGTCCTGTAGCATCTGTAGACGTTTAAGTTTTAGTAGAAATGGCATCGCTCATGTCAATAAACCCTATACTTAGTTCCGAATGTTTCAATGTCATCTATACTGCAATAATTTATCATAGTTATAGTTAATAAACTAGGTAGGTAGTTATTTTATGTTAAATAAATGTAATATAAGTACTATGTAGATAACACTACGTGTGAAAATTAGTATAGGTTTAGATAATTATGAAAAAAGTATAGTAAAATAAGTTTATAAAATAATTTTTAATTTGCATAGGTACCTAGTAACTATTTTATCTTTAGAATATTGATAGGATTTACAATATAAGTATACTACATAATATGCAAATTTTATTATTATTCAATTTCTAACTTAAATAAACTATTTATATTACGTTGCAAAGTCGAAATAAGTTGTTGAATATTATATTGTTTTTTGGTCATTGATCTTTAAATTACAATAACTCTATATTGAACAAAACTAATATTAGTCATTTACATACATTTTATTAAGTAGGTACATTTTATTAATGGTTTTGAGTACTTACCTACTTATATAAGTAGGTATCTAATAAATAATAAGTTTATAAGTTTGTGTTAGAAGCAATATTATAAGTACTTATCTATATAATTAAAATAATTTTTAAACTAAATAATTATACCAATAAATACCTATGGAGATAGGTACTGCGTTTAGATGCCAATACGATTATTATAATATCTCGTAAGCATAGAGATTTAAAATTTAATATATAATTAATTTATAAAATAATATAGATAGGTAGGTAGGTATCTATTATAATGTATGAGATACGTTGATATAATAAATATGAATACTTCTTTCAACACTATAATAAGTGGTTATTTTTTTTAGGGGAGTAAAAGTCTAACAATAATCTTAAGATTTTAGTCGAGTAGGTACTTAATACTGTATCTATATTGATCTACATTTTTACTTCAAGTACGATTATTTTTAATTTTATAAATCCATAAATATTTGAGAAAATTAAAGACCACAGAATTCAAATTTTTATCTGAAACATTAAATGATTATAGAAATAGGTATTAATGTCCTAATAAGTGGAATATAAATTTATTGAATAAAAACATAGAAATATGTATCTAAATTTTTAATGATAATAAATATATTTTATTTATAAACAATGCCTAAACATTTGAAAAGTTAAACAATTTACCTACAATTAAAGCAGAGAACTTGTTACTTGTAAAACTTAAAAAGTAATCAAATTTACATTCATACTCAAAATATCCAATTTTAAATTAAAAACAAATTTGTTTTATTAATTAAGATAGGTACTAAATATATTTTACTTAGTCAATATAATTTTGGTTGTGTTATTAAATGAAATAAAAATGTTGTCAGGGAAAATTATTAATTAAATAAATATGTCTGTTTCAAAAACTATAAAATAAAAAACTATGGCCTATAAATAAATAAAACTCAAAATATGCAATATAAAATTACAAATTTAGGTTTATCTTAGCATAAAATGTATTTATTTATTACAAGACTATTTTTTGAATAGTGTAAAACAAATATTCAAATGCTACGAGTCCACTGGTCTATCTATAATAAATTATGCATTTATACCTCAGTTAACTTAAGTAAATTTTTTTTTTTCCTGTCCTGTTTAGTATTATTGCAGAAAAGCTAAATAAAAAAATTGTTTGAAAACAAATAATTCTTTTAAGTACCTTCATAGATATAGGCATGAAATTATGTTAAATGTGAACAATCAGTTTAGAGTGTATTATTAATGTAGCTAAATGACTTTTTATAGTTGAAGTAAAATTAATAAAAATAATCAATACGGATTTAAGTAATAATGATAAAATACCTAAATACCTAGTTAAACATACCAATTAAATTTAATTCAATTTTCAATTATATAAAAGTCCTAAACAATAAATGTGCATGAGGTACCTATTATGATATACTAGGCACCTACATAGCCACATAGGTAAGTACCTATCTACTAAAATCACACGGTGTTCAATAAAATCTATGGGCATTTAACACATATATCTTTTACCTATACGTCTAGTATTGTCTACACAGTTAGGTAGGTGCTTAATCAACAATTTAGTAAGTTTAATATAGGTACCTACTTTTTATGTAATAGTCTATCAAGTAATATATTATCGATAACTTTTAGTCCTGCAAATAGGAGGAAAAAAATGAATTTCACAAGAATAATATTAAGCCCTATCTAGTTCATAATATAATTCCATAATATTATTATATTCAAATGATAATTGGGATGAGTTGGAATTGGGGCCAAGTTTGTTTGTTCATTTTTTTTTAGCACATTAGGTATTTATCTATATTGGAACAATCTGAATTTTTTTTATGGTTATTAATTCACCACTAACAGATAGTGATATACTTAATTAAACCTAAAATATATATCTTTATTAAAATAATTTAAATTTTATTAAATAGATAGGTACCTACAGTAAAAGATATTTGAAGTTTTCTGATGAATAGAATAATTTAGTAGTTTTAGGAAATGAAAGGTAGAATTGTAGTTATATTATAACAATACAATTACAAACATATTTAATGTACCTACCTTGCTTCATTATATTAAATATAAATGTCTTATTTAAAAAGGAATATCTTTAATTTTATAAGGTACTTTTAATTTCCTTTTAAAGTTTGAATAAAGAAACATGATATTATTACAATAATAATTATATACAATAAATATCTATTAAGTAACTATATTTAAGATTTTGGCTGACACTGTAGAGGTTAATATTAAGTACGTATATATTTATTTGTTGTATGAACATCTTAATTATAATTAAGTAGATATTATATGAGTCATTTATATTATAATTAATACTATAATGGCAACTATAATACATAATCAATTTGTTTTTGAAATTATATTAATCAATATACTATTAAAATAATATCTATATAACTACATATATATTATTATTATATTATCATTTAAGTATTTAAGTATCTACTTACTATTTTATTTTATACTTTATAAAACAGTCTTAATCAACAAAATGTTAATGATACAAACGTAAAAAATGTTTGTATATATAATAATGTGAAATTAATATATACCTATAAATTATTAGTATAAGATAAGTTTTACAATACCTTATTTCATATTTTACATTGTTTAAAAATTTAAACTAAATACTATTTTAAAATAATCATTATTAATATTGGATATTATGTAAAAAATATTTTACTCAATAATATAATATAATTTTTATTCGTAGATATGCTAACACTATAATAATATAATATGCTTTTACTGTAACAAAATTTATACAAATATACACTTATAATAATTAATGAAAATATGTTTGTATATAGACATTTAAATTTATGTCATGAACTCATAATTATAGTTTATAGTTAATTACTATATACCAACGTCTAATCAAAAGGTTAAATAATTCATTTTAGTTTGATATGAAAATTATATATTATTATAGCTTTCAGGTGTGGTAGTCGGAAACTGAAGATTTAATCTAATTACTTAATTTTAGTTCTATGTAGTTGAAAGGCTTGTAGTTTTGTTTAAAAAATGGGTGTGCCATTGCTATCTTCTGAAATAAATTGTCCCATTGTGTTGGACTTTTAATCATTTAATGTGCCCGCACTTGTGTTACATAACTTACCCAAATAATCATTTTATAGATCATATAACCTGTTACATTAATGAGAGAACTATGTATTACCCTATGGTATTTTTGACGAGGTCCAAACATACAAGTAGTGTGTTCACTGAGCAAAATCAAAGATGGAAAATCAACGAAATTATTGGAAAATTATGAACCGGAAATTACACTTGTTACCTGCTATAGTAAGAACATACACGAAAAGAGTTCATTTATTTGTAAGACTCAAAATTTTTTATTTATCTATTGTACAATAAAACTTAAAAGTAGTAAAGTAAAAACTATTTACAATTTATATCTAACATAAAAATATTAGTTATATAATATAAAATACCTACTAAAGAAACACACTTAACAAGAGTCTAATTTTTAAGTATCTTGAAATAGGAATGCATACATTTTAATGAAGTAGTTTATTACTTAATATATGTATATTGAATAATTTAGGATGATTCACCTTATACCTTAAATATCTATGAATTTAAGCTAACAGTAGAAAACATTTTTTCACACATAAAAACTAGAGAGAAATTGAACCGTTAATTTTTCAATGAAAAAAAATATATAATAAATAGCATGATTCTTACAAATTTAAACTTTATAAGACTAAAATTAACTTGAGAAAAAAGAAAATTATTAAATTATTAAACTTATATAGTAAGTTTTAAGTATTTTAATACTTCAATAAACTAAAGTAAAATTAATAATTATAGCAGTTATTAAATTGTATGCATAGAACATATTATATTTATAAAAACTGTTTAACTAGTGTCATGCGCAACATGATTACCAAAAAAATTATTTTAAAACTATAATGATTTAATTAATGTAATATGAATAATTTTCTACAAAATAACTTTAAACAAGTATTAAAATATATAGTACAAAATCATATGAATAAGCTATATAATTAATAGGATTTTTTGTAAAAATTATTATAAATATACATGAAAATTAATGATATGACTAATTACAACTCTATAGATGAAATATTATGTAAAGAATAACAAACAATGGCCCACAAATTGATAGAAACTATAGGTATTGTTGATTTGAAATATGAATATTGAAAAATGTATTTTAAAAATAGATTCAGGTTTTGTTATAGAATTATTTCATATGTTGAAAAATGATTAAGAACTGCAATCAAATATGGAAATATTGTTGAGTGTAAAATTTAAATAATTATCATTTTGAACTAGTATTAAAAAAAAAAAAATCAAAAATCAAAAACACTAAATAAGTAATGTCATTTAAATACAAAAAAAAATATTGAGTGTTCGTATTATATTGTTACATTTGAATCTACTATTTGTCACAGATACACTCATTCAATATGCATTTAAATTTATCCAAACTTAAATCTTCTTTTGTGCAGTTGTCATCGTTTGCTGTATGCACTTCAAATAACCAAGTTTCACGTGTTTCATAAAATTCCAATAGCTTTGCTTTATATTCTAATAATTTATCAATATTTTGTTGTTCATTGTATATTGCTACCAGTCCTTGCAAATCATACAATAATCCCGTGTATTGATGTCCATATGTTGTTTCATCTAAAGAAAAATAATTAGGTTTTTAGTGAAATTTGTTAACTTATATATAATTATATTATTTGACTCACAAATTTTTTTCGATCGTAAAAAAAGAAGTTCAGCATCTTTAAATTTTTTTAATTGATACGTGTACAAACTTGCTAAATGGCCCAAAGATAGTGCAACTTCTGGATTGTCTTTACCTAAGATAGATTCTTTAATTTCAATTGCACGTAAGTGCATTTCTTCCGATTTCTGTAATACAAGAAAACTCCTTTTATAAGGTACTAATAATACAGTATTTTATTAATATTTTTTTTTTAATGATTTCGGTTAAATATTTATTAAAATAAAAATATAAAAAATTAAGTTTTACCGCATATTTTTCTTGACTTTGATAAAGTCTACCAAGATTACAGTAAGATTTTGCTGTAAGGAGTGCTTTTTCTCCAACTAATTGCAATGAAACTTCTAATGCTTTAGAATGAAGTTGTTCAGCTTCATGCAACATATTTGTATGTGTTTTTTGCAACAACTTCTTCATTTCTCGTACATGTGATTCAGATTCTTAAAAAATATTTTTTAAGTTAGAATTATTAGTGCAAATATAAATTTAATAATTATGAGTTACATGAATTATTATGTTTAAAAAGTAAATACCATTATGAAGATGCATATTGATTCCATTTTCTAGTAAATAAAGAGCTTTTTCTTCAAGTATTAATGCTTTTATTCGTCCAGCATTTACTAACAACATATTATCATCTGGTACTCCAATTTTGGACATTATAAATATCCCTTGTAATATACTTCGCCTATGTTAAAAACATAACCGTTAATTGACAAATTTAAAAGTTATTTTTGAATTATTAAATGTTGAAATGATATTTATTTCTTACATAGCTTCTTTAAAGTCGACTGTTGAATAATCACAAACATACCGAGCATAAGCATAATCAATAAATACCATTGCAGTGTTCAAATTAAAGTAACCAAATAGATTTCTTTTAGAATCTAATGCAATCTAAAAATTAATAACACAAGTGTTTTATTTTTCATTCATTTATTGATTATCACTGATAATTCATACGTAATAACTGTGAATACTGTCTTTTGCTAGATCTGCTTTCAATGAGTAGCACGCCTCATTTAATAACATATCAACATGAACGTTTTGATCAATTGTTTTGTCATATGTATGTAATTGACAAATCAATTTTTTTGCCATGGTCAAATTATTCAAAACTGAGCAAACTTTAATGATATGGCTTATGACTAAAAGTTTCAAAACATCACCACTTTGATCATGAAGTTCATTAACAGCTTTAACTGCCCACAACTTAGCCTAAATAATCATAATATAAATAAATTATCAAATACTCAATAAAAAATAATTTACAAACCTCATTAAATTCCATTAATACATAATAGTACTGTGAAACTGAAACATAAGCATAAGATATACACAGCTTTTTTCCTTCTATTTTTTCAAGGATGCTGATCGTTTTTAAAATATGTTCTAAAACGACATTTGCTTCATCAAAATTATGATAATTTGATGCTACCAATAACCACCTAGGCAAAATAAATTTGTGATAAATTAAATATTATTTGAAATTATAAAGTATTATATAATTCAAGATTTTTTTTTAACTTGGCCAGACATTGAATAGTTTTCATCAGTTTTAAATTTTGATCATCACACACCCACTTTGTAGATATTATTTGGTATGTATATGAAAGAACAAGTGCGCTTTCACAAAGCCAGCCAGCATCACCAAGAAAAATGCCTAAACATCACAAATAAAATAAATTGTTAGGGTTGAGCGAGTAACAGACTCTGAAAAAATTTTTAAGTCGGGTCGAGTTCAACTTGAATCAAGTACTCGTGTCTACTCGACTATTTGAAAAATATAAAAAACAAATGAAAAAACTATAAAAATCTCGAAACCCAAATATTTCCAATAACTGATAAGAAAAACCCAAGGAATAACTAGAAGGTTCATTGTTTGAATTAATAAAAATAGATCATTATTTTTTTTAAGTGTTTATTATTTAGTTTTATAATGACTGTTATAACATGTATCACCCTAAAAAAATATTAAAAATATACAATGAAAATATTCTAGCAATTTAAAATAATCTAGATTCTAGAAATTTCGAGTACCCAAGCCTTTATAGTTTTTAAATATCCGAGTACTAACTAATGTTTGGGTACTGGCTTAAGTTCGAATACTCGTTAATTTCGAGTACTTAGCAATTTTGAAATACCCAACAATTTTCGAGTACTCAACAGTATGACTCGACTATAATTGAAAAAAATAATACTCGCCCTAACCCTATAAATTGTTAACATTTAAATAAAAAAATATACTAATACTAATTTTACAAACCTAATTTTAAACCTTGCTTAATGCGAATAAACATTAAGTCATTATTTTCATTTTCATTAGTGTTCTTTATCCAGGCTTTAGCAAATTGTTTTGGAAATTCAAATCCTTTAACTTGTATGCAAATCTGAACAATACATGTTTAACACATTAATAAAGTACTGTTTACATTTTATTTGTATTCATGTTTTACTTGAAATATAGTAAACAGTTTATTTCGACAATCAGTTACTTCAACTAATTTGAAAAATAAATCCACATTGAAATAGTTGAAAAAATTGTGTTCATCAACAAATTTTGTCTAAAAACAAATAAAATGAAAAATATAATATTAAATGTATTAGGTACCTATACCAAACAGTGGTGTATCCAGGAAAAAATGTTAAGAGAATTCATTTTATCAACCTCTTTATTCACTTTATTATATTCGATTATTATACATAATTTTCTAATTATTTAGTTATAACAATGCCCAGACTGGTTACATCACTGATATCAAACTTTATTTTATAAGTCATATTTTAAATGTATAATGCATTTTCTGGCATAAGAAGAATATTCTCCCTTAAAAGTTATCACCAGGGCTCAGAAGTATTAGCATTTACATATTTTTGGTAACTTGGTGACACCCAGAACACTAAAACATTCTCTATAAAAAACAAATTGATTTCATACTTTGTTGATGTCATATCTAACAATTTTTATTGCTTTTTTTTTGCATATTTTCCAATTGGTAAGCCTTAATTTGGAGCTATTTTGCTGATTTACAGTATAAAGTGATTTTTTTTAGATAAAATTGTAAATTAAATTTGATTGTATTTTTAACATTTTTCAAAAATATATTTTAAGGACTATGAAACAAAAAAATTATTTTGGCTTTTAATAGATAATTTATTGATATCATTAATGGTGGTGATAACAAACGTTAGTAATAGACATTTACATTTGTATATGTTGATTCATTGAGGCAGTAGAGCTTGAGAGAGATAGCCATAGTAAGAGTAAGAGAAGCGGAAACCGACCCAATAATTGTGAATTCAAGCCTAAGACAGGGGGACTCTATGTCACCTGTTCTCTTTAACCTGGTATTAGTAAGTTATAAGGGAAACTAATATCAGTCCTCAGGAAGGGATGCCACTACAAGGGTCCATCATAGCATTATTGACTTATGCAGACGATTTGTTCCCTATGGATAAATCACAAGATGGTCTAAGAACACTATGTGTCCATTTAGAGGAGGCAGTAAAGAATGTTGGCCTACAAATAAATAAAAGCAAAACAGAATACATGGTGGTGGGGAGAAGAGATAGTGAGAGAATGCCTACTTTTCTCTAAGAGTAGGCAACCACAAATTAAAAGGAGTCAAATGATTTAAATATTTAGGTTTGTTAATGACCAAAAAAAATGAAACTGAAATGGAAATAGTAGCAAGAAACCTGCCGGGAAACTAATGTCTTTAAGGACTCACAAAGATACTAAGATTACAGTCCCTATCAAGGGAAATAAAGTTACTATTATATACTACACTATTATGTCCTATAATTACATACGGATCAGAAACATGGATATTAAGGAAAATGGAATAAAATAAATTGATTATTCTAGAGAGGAAAATCCTAAGAAAGATTTTTGGCCCAGTAAAAGATGAGATAACTGAAAGATGGAGAATAAGGAAAAACAAGGAACTAGAGGAACTCTTTTAGAAGCCAAACATATTGGATATAATCCAGAGTAGGAGGCTAAAGTGGGCTGGTCAAGTGTGGCGTAGTCAGAATCCACTACTACACATAGTATTGACAGAGAACCTAGTAGGAAAGAGGCCTCTTGGACGATCCCGTTTAAGATGGGAAGATATAGTAAAAAGAGACGCAAAATCATTGAACAATGGCCCAGATTGGAGAGAAAGACAGAGAGACCTGGAGGATTGGTTGTTGGCGGGATGGTTCTAGTGACCGGTAATTAACCAAAAAAAACATAAGATCTATATTGGCTATATTAGATCACAATAAAAATGCAAATAAACAATAAAACTGTATACTGAAAATCATTAGGAAAATATACAATGCAAAATATATATAAGCGTACAAATACTGATTAGTGAAAACAAATTATTCAAGAAGTATTCGATTAGGCTAAAAATAAAACGATCATGTGATCCCAGCCATAAGATTCAGTCACTTATCAGATTCAAAATCACTTGAAACAGTCTGGACATATATAAATACATTCAATCCTTTCTTTACTTTGCTTATAAGGTTCATTCACTTAAGAGAATCACTTTGTGCTGGTGCTAAAATGAGTATTATAAAGGGCGTCCACTGTATAATAAAAATGAATTATGTAAATTTAAATTTAGTAAAACGACAAAACACACACTAACATTTATGAAAACCCATGTGTTTCACATTCATAAGTCAGTACATATGATAATTGTCTTAATTTTTAATTTTTGTTAAATATAAAAAAATAACCTAGACTGTATTGGTGATTCCTGTGTAAAAGTATAGGCCGTCACAGCACCATGTGACGTCACACGGCTATCTCTCGGAATTTAACTTCTCAATGAATCAACATAAACTATTATGAGTACCACTGTTAGTTATATTAATTGTACCAAAGTAATTTTTTTTTTATTTCATGGTCCTTCAAAGTATTTTGTCTTTTATTTATGATGAACAAATTTCAATTAAAAATATAATTCTTAAGTATCCCAATGAAGAACTATTGTAGAATCATAATAATCATTCAAAATTTAAATATGTCAAACGCAATTCCTAAAACTGAATTTTCAGTCTAAAAATTATATCAAATCATAAAAACATTTTTGTACTCCATCCTCTTACATGGATATAGGGCAATAGACTAGTGGAAGTTTTTCCACTAGCCGGTCATTAAAATGTAAAATTGATAATGTGAACAAAACTAAAATACATTAGCAGTGGAATATTTTAATATGGACCCAAGATTATGTGTACATTGTGGGGAATATGGACCAATATTATGTATCAATAGTAATTATTTACATGAAGTCTATTTTAATTTATATTATTATTGAACAATTTAGTTAATATTATTTAAATTAATAAATTATCGCTAAAACATCTATAAATATTATGTTATTATTAAGTAACTATTATTTATTGTCATCACTTCATTTTATTTCAATTTTATTAAATATGTGCATGTTGTTTATTTACACATTAATATCATTACACAACAAATATATTACTGTCCTTCTTAATTTTAAAATTACTTGTTGGCCTTGCATTACAAAATCAAACACATTTCAAACCATAGTAATAGTTTATTATAGGCATATGTAATAATGCATTAATAACACTCATCTATAAGCTTAAGTACAGTTCTACAAACATTTTTTAGAATAGATTATTTTAAATTCCTTTAATTATTTATGCACCATTTGGAAGAAAATATGAAAAAGCATAAAATATTGAAGTTCAATTTTTAACTTGTATATTAATGATGAAAAATGGTCGCTGAAAAACGTGTGAACTTTTTATTTCAACTGATAAAAGTATCGAAGGTGACAATAAAATTATTTACCACAATTTCTGAATATTAATTGATAATAAAGGAATAAAACTCCTCAATCACATATCAAAAACTGGTTACTAGCCGTTACTACAGCGGTAACCAGTAATAGTTATATTTGGAAACATTTAAAATATGCTAATACTAGGGAAGGGTGTTTAGTAATGTAGGTTAAAAGTGCGAAAGGTAGGACACATTAAGTTATTTAATTTATATTTATAAGCAATGATAAACCAATGCTAACATAAAAATAATTCTAAGTGAAGTTTAGTTATACATGTTTTGAAACGCCGTAATATTAATGATTTTCATCAAAATATGATCTTAAAATGCTTATAAAAAATGACTACATTTCGCTCAATTTTTTTTTTTTTTGACCACTTAGTTAAAGACAGACTAAATTTTTACTAGATAACGTTACTTATGTACTTAGGTACTAAAAATTACGTAATATAATAGATTTACTTGTTCACTTTCTGCAAATTTTTCATGAGTTTTATCACTTAGTTGTTTGTAAGTAATGTGCTGCCCAGGTTCTGTAAAATTTTTATAGTATAATGCCATTTCAGCAATTTTATGACCCCGAGCAATTGATAAATGTACACTGTGTGTATTAGTATGATCATACTCATAATCTTTACTTTCATTATTTACACGTAAAATCTATAAAATACAAGATTTTATTTATAACAAGGCATAATTTCTTACAAATTCTATAATATTTCAAACCTTCCATATGACATCAAAAACCATTGGAGCTGGATACAATTTCAACAGATTTTGTAAGATATCTTCATTTATAGAGCAACATAACTTATCTAATGTTAAATTGTAAAGTGATTGAACTCCGGGGATATAGGCAGAACGGATGGCAGCACACATGGCGATCTAAACAATAAATAATTAATTGTATTAAATAGTTTCAAAAATATACATATTAGGTATTTTGGATTAGGTATATTATATAAATCATTACTAAATATTAGAAACTTTAATATGTGACTAATATATTATTTAGATACTAATCGATTAATAGTGAAACCAAAGATACCTAGTATGTAATGTTAATTTGATAAAGACTTCATTAATTTATAAGTTGTGTTCACTTAATAAGAGCATGGGCAATTTGGACACTGGACACAAAATAACAAACTACAAATAGTACACGATTCACAAACAAAACATTTCCATCTGGAATTATTAAATTATCGATGTGTGCTACTTGCGTTATCATTATGAGTCGTGAGTCGTGACACTGTTTATGGTTATCTGTTGCTCTTATATTTTATCAATTTTTTCTTTTCTTTTTTTACAGTGTTCCTTCGATTCGTTTTGTTCACTTGTGAACATCATAAATGCTTAATATTATTATTTATTTTATGATTACATTAATTATGCCCATGAACCATGAAAAATAATTCTCCCTGTCCTAAAACCGACGGACATTGATTGAACGCATTTTTTATTTTGTAAACATACTTTTCCAACCGTATTGGTATATTATCTCACTATCGTATTTCATTTAGGAGTTTTCTTGTAGTATTTTAAATCTATTGCAATGGAGTCGTTTCAATTTATTTTCTAATATGCAAATGTTTATTCAGGTCACAAAACCTGTCTAGAATTTCCAACACAACAGAAATAAAATATCTACATATTATGTTTTTTTTTATTATAAAACAAAATAGAACGAAAATTAATATTTTATTTTTTAAAATATAAAAAAAAATATATGTAAACCAATAAGTAACTACGATATATATTATTCAAACAACTTATAACGGGCCAGATTAAATACTTAAATATTGAATTTTAAATACGCAAATGTATACCTTGCACAGTTCAAATAAGTAATGACGCTATTGATCTATTGGCGAGTTGGGAGGTAGTTTTTTTTAATTCCTTGTAATTTAACTCATAAAGGAAAAACCAAAAATAAAATCGTCAGAAATATTTACGCAACCCTGGTTTTAATCGATTACGCGGAGATTTTGTGGGCAATTATCACAGACTGCTATTCAAACATGAAAATAGCAGTTACGATTACTACTTTACCCTTTTACTGCTTACACCAAAAAGCAGTATGAATATAATTTTATTATCGTACCAGTCAATATTCAATACTCAATGTTACTTTTTAGTAGTGACTGTTAGTAGGTACTTGGAAAAATATCACAATTCTAATATCTATCTAAAATTACAATCTTTTAAGTTTTAAGATTGTGACACAACCATAGACTTATAAGTCTACGGGTACAACACACAACTATGCTGCTAATAATAGTATACTAGATGGCGCTTTTAACCTTTTGATAACAAATATAATAGTAAATAAAACAGAAAACAAATGAACAGATAACGTTAATTAATTTGTAAATTGCCGCGTTGTAAATTAAATCACTGATTGAAAATCATTGCTAATTAAATAATTATTTACCCAAAAATATTAAGTTATAAATCAAACACTAATGACAAAGTCACCATCATTTGTAATAATGGAAAGTTTTAGTTTAAAAAATTTATTTTTTTCAAGTATAACAATCTTAGTATTAATTTTATCTATGCTATTTTTTTATGAACCTGCTCAAAACGTAATGTGTAGCTTAGCAATATTCGAACGATTTTTGATTAATACTCCAACTGTGTGTTCTCTATTCGACACTAATCGTTTAAGTCGATACAATGGTGTTGACGGTGGAAAAATATATTTGTCTATTTTGGGTAATGTATTTGATGTGACAGAAGGCAAAAGGTTCTATGGACCAGGTGGTTCATATCATGCATTTTCTGGTAAGTAAAATTAAAAAATGCAGTTAATTTACATATTATATTTTGTTCATCATAATAGTATTTATTTGGTAATGTTAAAAATTTTAATTTACAATTAAACATTTTTAACATTAAAATGTAGAGGCATACATTTTAACCATTTTGGCTCATACACCATTAAACAATGAATCTCTATGTAGCACTTGGTTATCTGATCGGTAAGGCTACACTACTGCAATTACCATACAAATTAAGTACATGGGGAATCGAAAGAAAAATATATTAGAAAATAAAAGCTTCATAATAAATTAATACATAAATTTAAAAAATAATAGTGAATGCATAAGTTTAATCATCACTAACATCACATAAAAATAATTAGATAACACAATGAACGAATGGCGTGTGGTTTTTTTTATTAAATCAAAATGATAAAACTGTAAATGTTATAGGTCGTGATGCTAGTCGTTCATTTATTACCGGTTTATTTGATGAGGAAAACTTAACTGATCACGTTATTGATATGGATCCAAATGATTTAATAGGTTTGGATACCTGGCTAAATACTTATAAAAAAAAATATAAAGAAATTGGTAGGTACCTATCTGTACTACCTATGTAAATTAGATATTTTGTATTATACAGGGTATATTTGTTTCAGGAAAATTAATTGGTCTATATTATGATTCATCTGGTAAAGAAACTGATTATGCTAAAATGGTGTATGAAAAAATAGAATCAAGTAAAATGAAAAAAGTAGCTGAAAAAAAAGAAAATGATCGCTATCCAAGTTGTAATGTAGAATATGTTCAAGAACACAAAAGAAGTAAAGTCTGGTGTACTACGTTAAGGTTAGATATCTAATAAATATTAACAATTTGTTTTGATTTTAAATATTTTGCTTATGATATAATAGTGGTGGTGTTAAGAGAAAGTGGGTTGGAGTACCTCGTATGCTTCAAACTCTTGACAAAAATGGGAAGTTATCTGTCCGTTGTGCATGTATACAACAAGATGAGTTAAGTAAAGTTGAACTAGCACATATTGTTGAATATGATGATTGTGATACTAACTCAACTACTTGTTATGTCAAAGTCAGTTAACAAAACTTGTTTTAATGTTTATTTATAAAAAACTTTAATAAATATTTAGGTATTTCAAATATTAAATTACTTATATATAATGAGTAATATTGTAAAATAAATGTAAAATAAAAACTGTACTTGTAGCTTGTAGTATTATTAGTTTTGTATCTTGCGTATATTAATATTTGAAATATTATGTATTTATTTTATTTTTTATTTCTGAGTTCTAATCACCAAAACAATATTTTGTTCTTTGTCCATTGATTGTTTTTGTTATATTACTTATGTGTTTAGTATTATTCAAATGTCAAATATTTTCCTGTGATAATGTCAGAAATGATATGTTAAATGATCAATAGAAAGTTGTATTAACTTTTTTGAATTAAATTGTTTAGTGTAAGTTTAAATTATTGTACTTATTAGTTATTACTCTTGTAAATAATTATTGTTATAAACATTTTTTTCAGTTTATATTACTTTATAATGTCTGTTTCATAAAACATAAGGTAAACATACAATTGTTTTAAATGTTAAATATAAATTATACAAATAAAATAATGTATTATATTTTGATTGCCAGAAGGTAATCTATCTGTAATACATTTAATTTTGTGAGGTATTACATTACAAGTTTACTTTCGCTGCATAACTTAGTACCAAAGTCTTTAACAGTTCATTTTTTTCCCCTATTATTATTTTAGTAATGATTATTGTTTCCTTGGTATTTATATAGTTCTTTTAATTACAATAGTCTAAAATAATATTATAGTATATTGATCCATACATACTTTAAAAAAATGGATTCACAGAAAAATAATTTTGCAGTGATTATTTGGACAAAGATCTAATATCATTGTTTTAACTGTTAGAGGATGTATACCTACATGTGTTGTCTTAGTCTAACAGGCAATATAGTAAAATCTACCTTAATTAGACTGCGTAGAACTTAATTGGAAATTTTCCCGGTCTTTGTGTGGGCCACTAATAGATAGTAAAGATATGGATAGGCTATCCATACCTTATCAGTGTTCTAAAAGAGACGGATACAGACGAACAGTTATTCCAAGATTGATTCATAAAGTGATTTGTTTTATCTATATGGTGATGAATATAGGTCAGATATTTAAGATTTTATATATTTGTTTCAAGTGAATGCAGTTAAATGTGAGTAAAATATCTTCATGAGTTATAAAACATAGAATTCAGAGGAAAACATTTATTTTGCATAAAAAAGCATATTTTAGGGTTTAGAGAATTTTCAATACATTAGGGCAGCGGTCCTCAAACTGTGCTCCGCGGAGCCTTAGGGCTCCGAGAGAGTAGTCTAGGAGCTCTGTGGCTCCCTGGGAATATCTGTATTAATTAAATTAAAATTATTAAATTATTATTATATTTCTTAGTTACATTTTTATAAGCCCGAAGATTTATCCATAACGGAGTATGAAGAATTTATTGAAATGACCACCAATTCATCTTTAAAAACTTTATTTGATAAAATATCATTAACAGATTTTTGGTGCAGTAGCAGTATTACTAACGAATATCAATCTCTGGCTAAAAAAGCTATCTTAGCACTTCTTCCTTTCGCAACAACATATCTATGTGAAACCGGATTTTCATCATATGCATCAACGAAAACCAAATATCGCAATAAATTAGATGCTGAAGCAGATATGCGCATTCAACTTTCACCTATCAAGCCAAATATAAAAATACTGGTCAATAAAAAAATCCAACATCATGGATCACATTAAAATCACTAAATATTAAAATTTATAAATTACTAAAATATGTTCTTTTTTTCTTATTAAATAAATTAAATAATTTGTATATATTCGTATTTTATAAAAAATAAAAATAAAAAGCAAATCATTTACAATTGACATAATTTTTTATGAATTATTGTTGTTTCAAATACATTTCTGATTTTTGGGGCTCCGTAATTTTTTTTAGGAACATAAGGGTTCCGGGAACAAAAAAGTTTGAGAACCGCTGCATTAGGGAATATTTGAGATTTTGATATTTTTATTTTTGATCCTATTATTTGTATGGACATATATCGACGAGAGTGCTTAAAACTCTTAGTTTTAAAATTGGTTTTCCCAAATGTTTTCAGTTTTATAATATCTTTTGATGATTACACAAAGTATTCTGAAAAATACCAAATTATTGAAATTTGAATGTGTATTGAAACAATTGAAACTAATTTGTTGGACCGTTTTCAAAAGTTGCTGGAACTTGAAAGTAAAAAAATTAAATGAGTTTATTGAACTTTAAAGCGAAGCGTGATCATATACTTGGATCAAAAAATGTAATATGTGTTATCCAACTTGGATTGATTTCTAGGAAACAGTTTACCTAATACTTATTAATTTAGAAATTGTTTTAAATATTTATTTAAATGCTTGATAATACTAGATAACCAAATAGGTAGGTAGATAACATCAAATGACAATTAAATATTTCACCAAAAATACTTAAAATTTTAACTATTTTAAGTAGTTAACAGTTGTAATATTAACATAATATTGTAGCATTAATGTCGATGAAAACAATAGCATAGGTACCTACTTGTATACTACTTACTTCGTACCTTAGTGTTAGTATTGTGTATAGATGGCAGCACGGCTATGATTAGAATAAACATTTTTGTTGAGAGCAGCCATCAGTTAATAAAAATAGATGTGCGTAATTTTTACTAGATGTTGGTTAAACATGATATAAAAAAAAAATACATTTTTGACGTTTATAAACCACAGTGCCGTATAACAAGGGGTTAACTGTTAACCTAATCCTATCGAATCCCCTTTGGACCGTATAAGTATTAATTTAAAGTTTTTGTTTATCATTTATAAATTATACCTAGTTTCAAAGTTTTAAAACGTGTTTTAGAAATACAAACTAGGAGAACAGATTAAATAGATTAGCTCTACTTAATATAGGTATGTGTTGGTTACGATTAAAGAAATTGTAGATATGTTGAAACTGAAGAACCAATGGTAGGATTTTTTTCTATAAATATTGAATATTGTACACCAAAATTATTTTAACTTACTCAATGTAAGTTAAAGTACCATTAAATAAAATTAGGAATTTTTTTTTTTTTATTCAGTCATGTACAATTTTGTATTAATTCCTATGGAATATGTAAGTTTCTGTCTTTTATGTTTCGAAATTCTATTTTGTTATTATCCGTGACATAATCAGGATTTATTGTAGGGGATTTACTCACATGCTTACATTGTAAAAAAACACGCTTTTTTAACATATTTAATACATTTATGTTATTTTAACATAAATGGAGTGGGGTATACAGACATTTAAAATACCCCCTATCCCGGTTGGCCATCATATAGCGGTGATTTCTGGTAGAACATCATTAGTGGTGTTTTGGAGGGTATACGACGTATACTGGTGAACCATCTTGGTGATTTAGCGTATACTTTATAAAAGTAACACCAATACGCACGTATACCTACTTCAAAAATAGAAAAAAAAAAAACATTATCAACAATGAAAAGAATTATAAGCATGAAGAGTAAACCCATAGGACATACGTTTATTTTTAGAAAATTTGTTATTGGTAGGTTAATATTACTTAATAATAACATTGATAATTGGTTATTATTTATAGCAATCGATTATCGTCTAGCTATATTCATTTGGTATCAAATTATAATATCTACAAGCGGCCTTTGGACGTTTCTATACAAGTATATTCCAGATAGTTTGGCGAGTGCTATCCCGAGTGCTGACTTCCTGTGGCATTGCTCGTATTCCATTATTATTTATTTTACATTTCGTTTCTTAAAATTTTTTTTTTTTGTGGCTTGTCAAGTGAATTGTTAAGTGTTGACAATATGGATTCTACACACACAAAGAAAAAAAAAACACTATTTTCTTATTTTTCTACAAATACAAATAAAAAAATCCGTTTAGAAATTGTTGAGGTAAGTAACTATAAAAACTAAAAAGGTAATACATTTTAAATTTTCTTTATTTTATTAATTCGTTTACTTGTGTGCTATTTAGATGGCATCTAAAGAAGTAGAAGCTCAATTATTGTCATCTATCGCATAAATAAGGGTATAAGGTATATTGTTTTCTTTTTCTATTACTTGTTATTATTTTGTTTATAATATAACAACATAATGACATAAATAAAATTGTTACTATATTGTTATTATATTTGTTTACTTCATATAAATGTTTATCACATTTATATAAAAATTATATTTCTTTTTCGATTGTTATGCATTATTTTTTTTCTATTAAAAGATATATTTTCTATTTTTTTTAAAATAGGTAGGTATACATTTTTATAGAAAAATGCATTTTAAATTTTGTTTTTTACAATATAGGTACCTATTGCTCTATAATAAAATGTAAAAACTCCTAGTATATACAATGCTTAGGTAGTTCATATAGGTACATATAGTTGCATATTTGAGACTTAATAAAATTAAAATTAAATTTTTAGTTATTTTTCTCATACTTGAGAAAAAAGCAAAATGTAATTTAAAAATAATTATTTGTTTTCATTTTAAAAATGCATGCAGTAAATGGTTAAAATCGTTTGATAGAATTTAAGTTAATAAGTTAATAGAAAACACTTCACGTTTCAATTATTATTTATTTGAGTCAGAGTAGTACCTACTGTACTAACCTAATTTGTATATTATACTACATATACAAATTAGAAACCACAATTTTAATATTTTGTTTTTCGTGATTATTAATTGTGGTAATTTATTAAAAGTTACAACCATCGTCAAATAATTTGAATTAATTTATTTTTAATAAATATATTAATTAATTTTTAATTAAAAATTATATTGGTGCCAAATATCTCTTATTCAAGATACTGGAAATTCTGAATGATGCCTGATCTAATTATATACTTAAATGGTTTTATTTGATGTAGATAAATGAAAATCTGTTTTCCGAGCCATCTTCTCCATCTATTCAATTAGACAATGTTGAGTCTTCTGAAACTGACTGTCAGGATTCACTGTGGCCGTCTGTGTGGACATCAGTGCAATGGACAGAAAAAAAAAAAATTTAAAGGACTTTACTCTACTGATGGAAAAATTGGATGTGATATATGCAGAAAAATGGGTAAATTAAAAACCCCTCAAAAGATTCAAATATCTCAAGAATGGGCAACATGTGAAATTGATGGAGGAACAAATACTAACAAGAAAACTCACCTCACTGTTTTAAGAAATAAACTTAAAAAACATTTTGAATCCAACTCACACAAATCTGCTGTTCAAATATTAGACAATAAAGACAAGAATATGTTGTCCAAGTTTATGGAAGAAAAGGATTACCAGATAAACAAAGCTACATATTCTATTTTCCGTACTGCTTATTATATAGCAAAATATAACTGTCCATTTGATGATCATTTAAAACTAGTGCAATTACAGGAACTTAATGGTATAAAATTAGGGTTTACCCTTCATTCTAGACACTCATCTACCAATATTCTTCAACATATTTCTGAAGAAATGAAACATAAAATTATTAAAAATATTATTGATACAAATGCAAAATGTTCCATACTAATTCACAAATCAACTACACTCAGTGATTTATGTAACATGGTTGTTTATTTAAAAGTATCAATATCAAATAATGAACCTCTCTTTATTTTTTTAGACTTGGTTGAATTAAAAAATCAAACCGCAGAAAATATTGTAAATCAATTAATTAACTGTTTATATACATCAGGGCTTGATGAAAACTATTTACAACAACATTGTGTGTCCTTTGAAGCGACGGAGCAAACATTTTGTTGGGTAAAAAATGGTGTTGCTAAAAAACTCAAGGATAAGTACCCTCTTATCTTTAGTTGGCACTATATGAATCATCATAAGGGTTATAACTTCTTTTAAAACTAATAATGGTGATTATATGCACCAAGCTGTAGTTGCAATAAAAGATATGAAGTTCAAAAATATTGATTTAACTTCAAACAAAAAAATGATAAGCATAAATAAAAATCAGTTTTTGACAAGCATTGAAAATAACTTAAAATCAAGACTTCTTGACAATGACAGTGAAAATAAAATTATTTTGAAAAATATTTTAGTGTTGGAAAAATCAACTTGGCCCGAGGACCCAGATATTCGATATGGAGAAGATGATATTAAATACTTATGTAAAAGATTTTCACTGGACCAAGATGAAGCTATTAGTAGTATGAGAAAAATTATTTACGATCAAACCATTGATCCTAAAAACGTGATGTTTGCATTTTACATTTTTCTTAAAACATTTCCATGTTCAACCGCAGAATATGAAAGAGGATTCAGTGTTATGAATAACATTTGTATGGATCTTTGTTCACGGTTAACGATAATTAATATTTCTAATTTAATGTTTATTAAAACCTCCCCTAAGTGATTGGAATCCTGAAGATTATGTGAAAAGTTGGTTCTTCAATCATAGGTGTGCAGAAGACACTAGGACCAAAATAGCAAGAAATAACATAGATAAAAGTAAGAGCAAAGTTGTCAAAAAGAGTCTATGGCAAATTCTGTTAATTATTTAGTTTTCAAGTTTTGATATAATGTTAAGTAGAATATAAGCGTTATATTTTATTTGTTAATTTGTTACCCATTTAAAAAAGAAAGTTATTTTTATTAAAATACTAATCAATTTTGTTAAACCTTTTCCACTCACTAATACAACATTTTTATTTATATAAGCCTAATACACTTTAATATAAAACTTGTTTAAAAAAAAATTATATTTTTTATTATTTATAGACTCTGTTAAAGTTAATTGTATATATTTTATATTTTTTGTAGTTACCTATTTGACTATTACATGATTATGCTTTTATTTTATAATTATATTTATATTTTTTACCTTTAAAATCGGGCAATTATTGAACTTTGTATGGAAGCTTTAAATACTTAGATAAATCAAGAAATAATATGGTATACAATTAATAAACATTTTTTTTTTTTGATATAAAAGTTTATACTTGTGAAAAGGTTTAAATACTCGAAAAGAGTAAAAAAGAGACTTGAATACTATCGAGCTTCATTTTGAGTGGTAAAATCTGATAAGTTTTGATCCTAATAAATACACAATAGTCATTGTCATAAATTCTTAAATGCGCGTATACCCTCTAGTTTTTTTTTGTCAAAACAACACTGAACATCTTAGAAATGTAATGTTTTTACAGCAGTTGTACAGTTGTATATACAGACGGTACTAAAGTTGCCGTAATTTCATCAAGCAAATCCGGAACGGACCCAAAAAATGACAAATAAAATTTGATTTAAAATTTGATTGGACCTTGTACTACCTTGTGTATTAACAAAAACCTACATATTATTTTATTTATCTACACATAATAATGTAACAAAAATTGTAGATTATAAATTTATTATTAAGCGAACAATATTTTTTTTCTTGAATCATCAAAAAGATTATTAAGTATTAAGATACCTACTATAATATAAGGTCTTTTCATCATTGTTTTATCCCGTGTATATTCGTTAACAATAATATTTTTCATCTCTCGATTACAATATTAATATTCGAAGAAATTGTCGAAATAAAATTATATTAATTTTTTCTCGAAACCGGGACACGTAGGCGTTCTGACATTTCTGACATTTATTTTCGGGACACCGGTACACCAAGTCTAAAACCGGTCGACACTCCCGGACCCCGATTTTCCGGGATGTTTGGCAACTTTGATTCTTTAGTATTATACTTGTCTACGTTGATACAGAAATCCGACGGATTAGGCATAATCGCGACACGACTACACGGGTCATGCTTATCATTTTTCGACGGATAAACCGCGCGATTGGCCCTTCACCGATAACAGCCACCGTCTATGGACCAAGCATATCGTTTTTTATTTACGTTTGTCGTCTTGGCCGTGGGTCTGTGGCCCGTGTTCAGCACCACACCATAGGCACAACTAGCGGGGTGCTAGATAATCTTTAGCACCCCCAAGTTTAAATTCAGCCCCCCAAATAAACTCAATCAGATTTTTCACGGTAAAGACTTAATATTTTATCATGTATTTCATAATTGAGGAGCAGAACAAAATACAGGTAGTTTGTTTTGCTTCCTACGGAATTCAATACCGCATGCGTGTACGAAAAATAATGTTAAAACAGCCATGATAAATTTGTATGTAGAAAATTATAAATGAATGGTGTAGGTGAGCATTGCAAGAGTCGTATAAATAGCCTGATAAAAGGGACTGTGGGAGCATAACTCCAATGGGTCTTTGATGTGTCGATAATGTTAGCATCCCCGAAGTTGGTAGTCTAGTTGCGCCAATGACCACACATAGAATAAGTATCGTATCGCGACCGTTTCGTTTCTTCCCTGACACGCCAACGATTCAACGATGACGCTCATCGATTGATCGGCGTCTCCCTTCCCCTTCCGCCAATTGAACTCGATTTTCTCCCGTACGCGATTGCGGCTCGCGATGTTTCCGTCGATTTTTATTACGCAGCGCGTAAAAGTAATTCAATTTTATTTTACCGTGTCGAAGTACCCGCGCTTTTTTCTCCTCGTTTACGATAAACGCGTCGATCGTCCGTTACGGGTTGAAATTATACGGCGTCGGTGATGGCGACTGCCTACATAACTGCCTACAAACTAATTCAAAACGGCCGAGAATTGATAATAGGTACGTTCTCTGTGAGCTTCGCGGACCGTGGTAGATGTACCTACTGTAAATTGTATTTTCTACCTAGTCGCCGGCCAAATTAATTTTATTGCGACTGGAAATACCTATTCATTTTCGTGTTTTCGATTTCAAATCAATTTCTGAATAGGTACGTTTTTGGGATAATAAATTACTAAATACGTGACGCGAACGACGTATATTTAAATAAATTTACCAGGACATCTCTGTAATTGCAATACAAATTGTGCAACTACCAATACGTATTAACTGCCATTGGTTATAATATTAACATTACTATAATAATTACAATTTATTATCGATCATCATTTTCTGGAAAAAATCTCGCAGGTTTACCTCTACTGCACTAAAATAGATGTGAGCCACTGATGTAATTGAGAAATTGGAATGGTAGTAGATATACGATGGACCTGTTTATAACAAATTGTTGAACATTTTTGTTGATCTTGAGTTAAATAGATGCTACACTTGAAAACCGGAGTAAGTTTCTGGTAAAAATGTTGATTCGGGGTGAAATTCGATTTTACATGTTTCGAAAGGCCGGAATATTTATGATTTTCGTCAAAATTTCATTTTAAAACTTCTGTAAATCAAAAAATAACCTCCTCAAAGTACTAAGTTGATAACATTTTTTTTCAGAAAAAATGCTACACTTGGTACATTAGACCAAGATTTCTTTTAGAAAAGTTCTTTATAAAAAAAAAAAAAAAAACGTTGTAAAACCAATATTATATTTATATATTTTTTTTATATTTTCTCAAATAAAATTGTTTTTAATTTGTAGTAAAATTTAGGACTTCCGTAAACAGGTTAACTCCGGACAGTAATTTCATCAATCCGGCTCTGGTAGTAGTAGTAGTTGTGTACATTTCCGATGAGTATTTATGGGGGAGTTTGTGTGGGCTGCAGCCCCCTCCCCTGAAATTGTTTTTGATTTATTATTATATTTTTTATTTAATTCTATGACGATGTTTATACATTTTGATCAACCCCTCCCCAAAAAAGAAAAATTTTAAATAAATACAATTTTGGATACGCACCTGGTATATTCAGGACTTAAATTAGTACAAAGTGGCAAAGGTAGGATTGTTATATGTTAGAAGAAACGATTTAAAACTATAACTGTTATTTATATTTTGTTTCAGATTAAGCATCTGGGCTGAGGTGAGTAGATTATTATTTATTACTGATTAGTGTTAAGACGAAAATGATTCAATCCAAATAATTTGTATGTACTAGAATAGATATCTATTCGATGCGTAATATGACGTACACTTATAAAATGTTATTTAACATTCTGCAAAATATGAATAATTTTGTTAGTATAATTTTATACTGTTTTTGAATTTGAGTTTATTGTTCGAAAATGAATTGATTAATTGAAATAACATATTATATAAATAACTAAAATAAGTGGTTATTAAATTTGTTTAAACGAAATATGGGTAAAATAAATAATTTAAAATGTTCTTCAAATTATATTACACTATTATACATAGATACCATTATAATATTAAAACTAGAAATTAGGAATAGGAATTGTTTATTCCTTGAAAATTATGAAGTTTTTAAATTATTTTTTGTTTACATTATTTTTTTACATGAATGAACTTCTTTAGTTTAAGTTCATTTTAGATTTTTGAGTGTTGCAAAGAATGTATTTGTTTTACTAAGATTTTTAATTATTATTTTTTTTATATTGTGTACGAAAATTCTACCAGAAATCTTGCTCAGATATATACGCGCGATATCATTTTTGAAAGGGAACGTTGTCCAGATGGTACTTTTGGGAGGTCATTTTTTGATTTTCCCAGCGGTTTTTATAATATCTGAGAAAAACCAAGATAAAACTTAAGAAAAACGGGAAATTTACGAAAATAATGCTTTTATTATTTTTCAATTTTGTTATTTGTTGTAATTCAGTTAAAAATATTCGTAAAGACTCTATAGACTTCAAATTTATATTTGCCTTTTCTAGATGTGGTAAATTATTCAAAAACTTTAAGCCATTTTTGAGCTATTTATAGACATTTTAATTTCGCGAGTTTTGTACGTAATTTTTATTCGGTAGGTACTCTATGGTAAAATTGTTAGAAATGGTAGAAATGCTTGAAAATTGAATAGGAGGTTCATTAAGAGTTTTACTTTGTGACCAAAAAAAGGAAATTTGAGTTTAATGTAGAATTTTTTTTTATAAAGGAATTTTAATATCAAATTTTGACGAAAATCGTCGAGTAAAAATTGTGTGGAACAAAACTAATTTTTCAATTTTTTTTTTTTTGAACATATATTTATTGCTGATTTAAGAACGATGGTAAAGTCAGAATTGAGCGGACTAATTAATTTTCAAAATTATAGATTTTTGAAGTTATGATATTATGCAGATATTATGTGTTATGTTAAATAACTAAATATTGAGTACAGTATGTTTGTCGTAGCTGAATGGTTTTATATACCTGATTTCATCCTAGAGATCGCTAGCAACAAGTATTTCAAAAAAAATGTTTGCATTTTATTCCCTTTTACCTAAACAAGGAACAACTAAATGAATTTTGAGTGTACCTAGAGACCCATGCCATCGCTCGCTCGGATTATTTTAATCGAAAAATACCCCTCGATTTGTTGTGCAAACTTAATTACCAAAAATCTTGCTCCGATGTATCAAGTGTAGCTTATTTTCTGAAAATATATTATGCCTATTCAGTTATTTTACTAT